AAGGTCTGAAAATGTTTTAATGATTTTGTTACACTAACAGTATTGTCCTCATCCTTGAATTCTCTTTATGAGCGCGGATGGTGTGACTTTATGAGATCTCATATGAATTTCAGTTGTGACATATTGCAGGACTGGTGACGTCATATATTCCGTACAATTCTATTAGCCTTTCATTCAGAACGTTCCAAAAAGAACCAAAATACAGACGATTATTACTCTTAGCGCAGAAAACTGAAATTGTGCAATGCAATCTGTTTGCTATTGAGGCGCTAGGTTCGAAGGGAGTTAAGGTGTGATATAACAATTAGTACCCATAGATTGCATGCTTACATCATACTGATAAAACTATTATGATGTTTACCCTATATGAGTGATAATATTTATATATTTATGCTAAATTAATCATTGTTGAATTAAAACGGGTAGGAATATTATTTAATAAAACATTTGAAAGTTAACGATGTGATTTGATTTTATTTTAACGAGCCAAGCCGCAAAACAGTATAACAGTTTGGCAATTCATTGGTAACATAATCATTAAAGGGGCATTATGCAGAATTTTCATTATCAAAAACATTATATACTATACCTGAAAATATTTCTAAAGTACGCTGTTTAAATATATGTAGGCTATCTACTTGACCAAACTGAGATGTTTTCAAAGGATGAATTACAAACGTACTAAAAAAGAATACTAATTGTTAATTAAGCAATTGGACCTCGTTTTGGTGTTGGGATTTATAATGGCTCGAAATTATTAGTTGAAACCTTTAGGAGACATAATTAGGTATTTATTTTACTTTTATCCATTTGGTAGTTTTTAACAGCTTCCAAAAAGCGTTAGGTTTAAAGTTAAAACTTATATTACATTTCTCTAAATTTTTGTGTATAGTTTTCACAAATTTGAGCAAAAGAATTTTTTGACCAATAAAAAGATAGCTTGCCAGGCAAGGTAACATACGCCGACTGCAGCTGTCAGAAATGATTAAACAGTCTTTAGTGACTATAGGGTTGCACAATATAGCTAATAGAGTGAAACGTCAAGTCAGACACGATATTTCGGTGAAAAATTATCCGATCATCACGAAAATCGATAGGGATCATCTTCATAATGACATTGACATACAAAATAAAAATCAAAAGAATCTGTAAAGAATTGTAGCCTGTAGAGTGAGCACGAGTTGCACAATATAGCTAATAGAGTAAAACGTCAGGTCAGACACGATATTTCGGTGAAAAATTATCCGATCATCATGAAAATCGATAGATCATCATGAAAATCAATAGGGATCATCTTCATAACGACATAGACATACAAAATAAAAATCAAAAGAATCTGTAAAAAATTGTAGCCTGTAGAGTGAGCACGAGTTGCACAATATAGCTGATAGAGAAAAACGTCAAGTCAGACACGATATTTCGGTGAAAAATTATCCGATCATCACGAAAATCAATAGGGATCATCTTCATAATGACATTGACACACAAAATAAAATCAAAAGAATCCATAAAGAACTGTAGCCTGTAGAGTGAGCACGAGCCAAATGTGAACGGACGGACGGACCGACGGGGTGATTACAATATACGCCCGTCTTACGTGTGGGCGTATAAAAACGGAATGCCCCTTGCAATGCAATATTCTACAATCATGTTAACGACTCATGAAATTCCTGCTCTTCAACAAAGGTAAAATGGGCAAAACATAGGCTGATGAATGGCAGCCTTTAAATACATCTCCGCTGTCAACAATAGCAAAGGTCAGTTACAATTGTATGCCCATCTTAGAAACTTTAATAAAATCTAATAATAAGAATTTGGCTGAAGCCGATGACAAACTTTAACATACATCTAAACCATGTAACTGTAGGAACAAAGAATTAATTCCACTAAAAGGTGAATGCCAAACTAATAATATTATATATAAGGCAGGAGTCACAAACATTGACACAAATGAACGTAAAACATATCTGCTACTGACTGTAAACACTTTTAAACAAAGATTTTACAATCATATGCAGTCGTTTAAACATCAAAAATGTGAAAATAGTACTGGACTTTCAAAACACATTTGGCAACTTAAATTGAAAAATAATAATTACAAAATAACCATGTAGATTGAAGATCGCATAGCGTGAAACTCAGAGTAACAACATGTTTTTTTAGGTCCTATTTTAATATTTCTATATCGCTCCACAACTGATGATTGAGCACTATTTTAACAGTGGTATTTCTATACCGCTCTACAGTTGATGTATTGGACACTATTTTAACAGTGGTATTTCTATACCGCTCTACAGTTGATGTATTGGACACTATTCTAACAGTGGTATTTCTATATCGCTCTACAATTGATGTATTGGACACTATTTTAACAGAGAGAATGTTTTATTACTAGCTGTTTTAGATGAAATAATTTTGGTCTCTGAGGTACACACAACTGGTCTTAATTTGCTTTTAAGGTTTGTCTTCACAAAATAACAGTTTATACAAATACCTTTAACATTTGATAGATTACTAAATCCACGACATGTTGTTGATCTGATTGTAGTTTGATAATTAATTACATGAGGACATTCCATTTTAAGTTTGTCTGATTGATATCAGAGTAGCTCTGTAGATTTTTATCAGGGATCCCTTAACAGAATTCAGAATTTTCAAAATTGTATAAAAGAATATAAATCAGACTGAATTATACCAGTGTCTGGAATCCTATAGTCGTTGTAAAACCTTCTGCATACTAAATCCGAGTCAACATCCACCTTTAGAGATCTTCCATTTTCAAATTTATAAAGTATTAAGTTATTTTCATTTCGTTCGTAGATCCATCCACTCGATACTTGAATATTTTGACTTATATCAATAAAAGATGGTTGAAATGTAGTGTTCGTACAAGGAAGAATTCTTACGACCTGCAAGAAAGTAAATATCTGTATGAACAATCTGTAAAGTATTTTCAGCATTTCATATGTACATAATACTTCAATCATACTAAAGGTTAGGGAAAGAGAAGTTTGTAGGATTTCAAGAACACACCAATGTCCACTAATTAAATAATTAATTTTTATTGATGGAACACAAGAACTTTTTCATCCTATCCAGAATAGTGTTTTAGAGACACTTACAAACTGATGTTATGCTATAATTTAATCTATCTTTATTATATCTAATAAAAAAAATTAAAAATGTTTTTCTCTCAGGAGACTCTAAATTGGCAAATTTAATCATAATACCATCCAGAGGAACTGTAGGCCCTTGTATTCAAAACCACAATCCAATGAACGGCCAAAAATTCACTCTCCTCCCCCAAATGCAATTTTCAATTAGATGATTATTCATGTAATAAAGAATGATAGGCTTAGATATAGCTCTAACTTACTGGTGGTTTTCTGGGAGCATTTCGTTTAGTTGGAATATATTTCTCTAGTATAAACAATGTTGGTCTGCTGCCAACCTTCAAGGTATATATTTTTCTTTTGTCTGAAATGTTAAAAATATAACAGAAATTATATAGATAATATCTCTGCTGAGTGCAACAAAGGGAATTTTCCCCAAGGTTTGCAGGCAATGTCAATTCATGAACATGTCATAGGCTTACTTACTGTTCTATAAATCTGTAAACAAACACATAAACATATAATGTAGTATCGCGGGAGAGAAATAGTGAAAATCATTATCTAAGTAACAAATATTAGGGTACTTACTGGTACCGGTATTTTCTATTAAGTATTTTGGAGTAAAATGTCACGAACATAGTGTTAGTTTCTCCAAATTTAATGAATCTTTCCTGACTGATCTTATAATTTGAAGAATTCTTGACCGCTATTCAGGGTGTTTTTTGGCATTTGGAAGGTGAAAAAAACTCAAACCTGTTTTTTGCACGACTTGTTGTACAACCAACAATACAACAATTATCACCACCCATATGTTATGTTTAAGTTGTATTCAGCCTAATCAATATAATAAAGGAATTTCAATATAACATAATGAAAGTAAATTCACATTATTCACAGAAATTTACATCATGTGATAAAGACACATATGGACAGAAAATGACCCTCTGTAAAATCACATTTCCAAATAATATTTTGTTTCATTTGCTGTCTCGTTTCATCCACCAAAGACAATCTAAAGGTGTGAGCACACGAGCAGTCTTGTTCGGAGACTTTTGTCGTTGATTAGAGTCTTGTCTTGAGTTTCAACGACTGGCACGGGCCACGAGAAGACAAAAATCATCAGTCGGTCGTTTTCGACCTTGTCGATAATCACGTGCGGAGCATGCAATTGAAATCAAAAGGAATCTGATTGGATGATGACGGACTGTCTTGCAGACGATAAAACTATCGGAGACAATTATCACACTTGTTATAATTCCTGTCGGTGGCGCGATAATCTTGTCATGGAAGCACGGGCACACGCGAGATTTTACTCAAGATTCGAGTCGGAGATAACAAAATTCCGACCGAGACCTCTCGTGTGTTCGCACCTTAACAGACAGCACTATTTTGATGTTTCAATTCTTAGAAAAATAATGGGCGAAATGCGATTCTGCGATTGTAAACATTGTGATCGGAAGAAAATGATGTATTAGGTCAACCACAAAAATAGAAATAGAGAAGACGTTAGTCGGCGTTCCAGTTCTATGCGTAGCCATTCTCAATGGTTCTACGCACAGATATCCTATTCCGCATGTCTAAGGTTCTTTGGTTTAGCCAAGCAGGATATAAGTTGAAGGGACCCAACTCTTATAACCAAATCAGGACCAGTTCAGACTACAACAAAACTATCAGTTTAATACAAAGACTGACCTGACAGTATTGACATTGATAAAAAGGTGAAAGTGTTGTTATTTAGGCTAATCATTTTTTTTACTATATTCTTTTTCTAAAATTCACACTTTTGAGTATCTATTGACGTCTTTTGTTCTAACCCAAAAGAAAAATACGAAAATTAGCTGCCAACTTCACATAGTCAAAATGACTAAACGTACCTCTAAAGTAAAAGTTAATTGTAAATAATGGTAAAGAAGGAAGCTCTAAGCCTCAGTAGGGTAAATATCTCACTTCTTTATATCAATCGAATGTAAATAATTTATATTATATTATAAAATCTGTTTTTGTGATATAATACAGTTTACCTGCATTACTTAATATGCATGCGCTTGAAAAACGATATCGGAAGAGTAACACAAGGGAAGTTACTCTGTTATTTTAACTACAGACAACAACTGTTTTATTCTCGTATGTAATACCGCTTGTTTATGAGCAGTTTTTTGTGAGGTTTTTTTCAGTTTATGCTTAGAACACAAGTATTGAAATTGTACCGAGATATTTTTAGATTGATAAAAAATGTACCTGACAAGAGCTACCGGGAACAACTAAAAGAATGGGCACGACATGATTTTAAAGCTAACAAACATCATACAGACGAGGTAAGTCTACAAGTGACCATGGACTTTATAATACATAATCTGTAGCACAAGGGGGGTAGCGGGGGCCGCACACCCCCCCCCCCCCCCTCTCTCTCTCTCTCTCTCTCTCTCTCTCTTGAAGCAAGTTTTTTGGGCAAAAATCTCATAGCTAGGTAAGAGATTCGGGCAATCTCAGATATCTCGCCCCCTTCGGACATAAACCTGGCTCCGCTACTGTGAAGCACTCTCAATTACATAGAAAATGAAATTGTTATTGTCATTCAGATTCTAGATTCTCAATAGTGACTTTTTAGAGAAGGTCTGGCAATATAGGTATGATTTTTATAAAGGTTCTCAAGATTAAAAACTACATAGCTTTGTGGGTATGCCCATTCGTAAATCCTAAATGACATATGTGCTTATATTTCAGATGGCTATAAAGATGTTGTTAACTAAAGGCAAGATGACGTATGACGAAGTTCACCAAGCTATTGACATGTCTAAATGATATGATATCGAATAGGAATTTACAGATTTCAAGCTAAGGAAGCAAATCAAGAATTTGCCACACCAGTTGAGTTTGTAAGATGTGCAAGGACTGTAAATGGAATATATCTATACGTAACTTTGGACTAGGACACGTTTTTTTAGCAAAAGATTGTAATTGTGTCAAAGATTCTTTATCTTGAAAAGGATTGCGGTTTTGTAAAAGATTTGTGATAAAAAAAAAGGATTGTTATGTGATACATTGTTTATTTTGTACAGAAAGAAGAGTTGGTGTATAGGTAAACTAACTGTCGGTCTGAAGAAAAAAATTGATACACCTTTATTCTTTCCAAAACATGCGAGTGTTCATTTTGCCAATCACGAGTCATCGTGCGCTGTGACAAATATCGTCAACATATCTTGTGACCGTCTTCACTGGCTCCAACGAATATGCTGAAAAAGCCATTTTATTTCAGTGCCTGTGCCTGCGTCTATTCCTCTGATTTTTCACTTTCTTTTGTCTGTATTCGCGTTTTCTGGCTTGTGTTTTATTTTGAGAAATTTGATTCTTAAACATCCCTTTTGTATCCTTTTGATTTAAATATTTCTTTTTTGAGCAAACCGAAACATCACAATATTGCCACTTCACTCCCCTTTTGGCAGTGTAACACCAGGGACGTTTCCGACGTTGACCAGACGGATTTCTACAGTAATTATGATCTCCAAGACCGTCTTTATCATCTTTATCAGTACGTCCAGGTTTACTGTTATGTTTATGTGGATACTGAGATGACCATTTCTGACAAGTTGCTCCTTCCATTGTATGATCTAATGATCCTCTATAATCTCGACCATCTTTATATTTTAATGGTAGACATTTTCCTACAATGATATATGATACATTATAACATATGATTACTGAGTTAATCAGTATTATGTTAAAGTGTCAATGTATTGGGGATTTATACATTACGTTATAAAGACAAAGTATTTATAGAAACGCTCTGTGTTATATATGGCAAAGATTCTCTTGCGTGAAACTGAAAGTAGGTGGGTGGAAAGTAAGCGTTCGCTTGCAACAATCAGTCTGTACCATTGCCCTTCCGGATATATCACTTGCCCCTCCGAACGATCAAATCTGGCTTCGGACCTGCAATATTCTCCTTATTAAATTTCCTTTTTCAAAGCGACTAGACAAATCCCTTGTAAATCTGATGATCAAGGGCTATTTCCTTATCAAGAGGGCACCTAACGTTATAACTGAAAGAACGACACCATGACTTAGTGGTATTGGGTACAATTAGGTGCAGATCATCATGTTAGCGAACAATTTGTTCTGAAATGCACAATACTTACGTTTAGCTCGCTTTTCACAAATAAACGAATACATGTAATGAGGTAGTTGAGATACAGAGCCAGTCCATACACCACGCCAAGTAAATTTGTTGGTTTTCATGTCACGACTGAGTGCAATAGAGGTAAAACTCTGCGGATGGTTGGTATCCCAGTTGGTATAAGATACTTTTTTAGCTTTCTGGTTCTCTCCACGATACCATTTAAATGTTCTGTTTATTTTTCTACCACCAGTTCGCCAAATATACACATCTTTGTATTTTTTCAAGCTGTGAGCTTCTATAAATTTCTGTTCTTTAAGACTATTAATACTTAACAGATCTGAATGAAGATCGCTACATTTTTTATGAGCAGCTGAAAATTGCACTTTTGGATGGTCGAAAAATTTGTAACAGTTGGCCTTATGTTTAATCCAACCTTTAGGACAGACTGAAAACAGAAAAGTAGGAGTTATAGATAAAAGAGAACAAATTAAGAGTCAAGACAAAATATTTCGTTAAAGCAGTAACGTTTAGGTTAGGTGGTAGATCAGGTTGAGGCCTAAGAATTGTCAAGGAGGCTTACACGACCATCATTTACGAGCTTAATAATAGGAAATTTGAAAATGAAAAGGGGAAGTTTTTGCGATTTGGTCTGTGGTTCGAAAAATATGTGCTCTTGGAGAGTTCAATCACTTTCTGAGAATTGTGCGATGAGCGTCAACTACTAAACACTCGCCGATCTGAAGTGGCGTCCATATTCACCAATAACTAACACCTAAAATGTTATTTACCCGTAGCTTTAGTATCCTCTTTCTGGTTACACTGATACATTTCTCTAAGTTGAGCAATATCTATTGTACTTAAACCATCTCTCTGACCTATTGTCAACTGTCTCTCTTTTCCTACTCCTATTACCTAGAAAGTACAAAACTGTGTAAATAAACGTACATGATCATTATAACCAATGTTCATATAAATGGAAAGGACACACCGTTTCACCACGTTTCCCTTCACATATTGATATATGGGACCTCTGAATATTCAAAAGGATGTTAATTGTAAGATTACTATATGGCAAGAAAGATATGTACGAAAAGAACACACAGTCCTTCACTATCCTTCAAACAGTTCATGAGAAAAATTAAAAGTAATAACTCCCAGTATCCGTCAGCAAATGGGATTTCATTTGAACATAACAATATAAATGACATGCGACCCCTCGGCGTATTTGGCTTAATAAAAATCCAAGTTGAGTACAATATAAGAAAATTTGTTCAGGCTGATATCAACTTGCCAACTATTAGTACATTTCCAACCATGTGGCTCAATGAAGAAAGACAAGATTCCGTCCCTTACCTGTATTGTAGGTTCACCATTCCTGGTAAAAGCATATTGACTGTAATGCATAATGCTGTTATAATCATAGGGATAGCCTCTCGCTGAGGATATATTTCTATCTATTACTTTAAAATCTAATAAATAACGTGGCGATATATTTTCTTTTATTATCTTGACAAATTTATTTCTATCTGCCCTTGCCTGAAATAAAATAGTAATTTTTTTAAAATTCCTCCTCTTAAATTTGTGTCGATTTCCAGTTACCATGTTATGGCGCCTTTTTTATATTCTGGCCACTGCCAACTTTCATCGGATTTGCTCTGTTGACCTCTAGTGTGTAAGTGTGAATACGTTAATTTGATGGACATGAAATGGTTTGGGACGGCCTACCTGTTCGTGCCATACACCTAAAGCATGTACTGTTTCATGAACAGCAGTACCAAGATGTTCACATCCTCTTCCTATACTGATAACCTGCATACCACCTTGCATACCAACATTAGACCAACATCTGAAGGTAGAGATGAAACCAAAACATGAACATTTCAATGAGAAACTGAGCTGAGAACAGAATATATATGTGGTTTTTTTACGTCAACGTGTTTGATGCACGAATTGATGCTCTGATGTGTCCGCTTATTGAATTTGTTTATTTGAATATGGCTTTGATCGTCAAAAGATGAAAATCAGCCAAGTAATAGACGTTTTTCAAGGTTTGCTGATGAACTTACCCTGGTTCACTTTTATATAAAATGAAATTTTTATGTTTGTTTCTTTTCTTCTGAAATCTGATACAAGTGTGTTGCTGTATATGTTTAAATGCTTTGACTATCCATTTTCTTGATAAGGGACCTGTAAAAGAACAAATTATTATACCAATAACCATGTTCCATAAGCAACGGCACGATGATTATCTACATTCGATGATCATCGTACCGTTGCCTATGGAACACGACCAATAACATTACGGTAAAAGTAATGGGAGAATACTAAGAGCAACCTCTGTTCCATCAACGACGGCACAATTTTATAAGCTTATTCCTTACCGAAAACCCTCAACCACATCATACTCAGCAGCATTATCATCTGGAACAACATCACCATCTTCATCATATACAGCAGCATCGACATCGGTACAACACAGACTGTGTGCTATATCTGATCTTAGTTTCATTGATTTGAACTTACTTATATTTTTATCTATTACATAAGGAACCAATGCCTTCTTCCACAACCTTCTCTTTTTCCTTAAAGTAGCTCGTTTACTACGCCGTTTTGGTTTAGTGTAAGAATCTTTATAAATATATTTTTCTGAAAATCTATCAAGGACAATATCACCCTGAAAAAATACACTGCCACCTGAAACAACCAAACATCCAATTAGTATATTTAGAAAAGTATTTGATTTGCTATCATTGTCGTGTAAATTGCCCTTTCTTCGGTAATTTTCAGAACAGATGAACGATATGTTTTTGCTGATTGACCTTCTTGTGTTTTTTTCAGGTGATCCTGACAAGGAATAATTCAAATTACCTGTTCCTCTTGGTCTGCTAGTATCTCTACCAGTTTCATCTGATTGTTTACATAATGAAGGTGGACAGATTCCTGAAAACAGCAGAAGTACATTTAAAGCTTTGTTCTTTCAAACCTAATACAGATTCATCGACCAGTATTTTCTATCCTAAAAAGGTAGACCACCTTCATATCTTCTGCAATTTTTGAACCAATCAAAGGGTGTATTTCTTATTGTATATTAGCATTTTAATGATAAGTCAGATGAATTTAAATGTTCAGGGGAAAAACTTTTATGACTGTGCACCTTTAATTAAGCCTTCTTATACACTAAATGTGGTGTATTTTGATATTTTAACTCGTTACATACGAGAAGAAAAAATAGGAAAGAGAAGAACGACAAAACAAAAAACAAATGCTATTCTACCAATAGAAACACCCCTATTAAATATGATATTTCAAATACCCATCTATAAATCGGAAATAAGTCATTAAATATGTCATTTTTGATAATTACCTTTCACCAAAAAGAGTAAAAATGCAAAAAATTTGATGTATTTAAATGTCTGATTTCATCGTTAAAATCATACAATTAAACTGCATATTTCAGATATTTGATAATAATTATTTTAATTTTTATGAATATCAAAGTGTGTGTGTATCGTCATGATATAATGCATTCTTTTGTGCACCATTAGATCCATATGAAGTGGGATCGTCAACATTAAAATATGCTGTTTTTTTTCGTTTTTTTTTTCTTTTTAGCTTTTCGTTGCGCTAGCTTACAAGAGCTGTTCCGTTCGTTCCAGGACATCAAGCTAAACACCACACCCAGAAAATAGTTCACGTTCCTTTGTTATTACATTATTCAGTGCCTGCAACTTCGATTGTTGATGTTATTTTTCACAATGCCTATATATCAGTTTACATGGTTGGAATATAAGGTGGAGAGATGACTGACAATTCTCAATATCTGAGCGAGTATCCCTTTAACAAGCCATTCGGTTTCACAAAACCAATAGGTAACAAATTTGCAAGTCTTTCTGAAGAGGGTTATAGACATAACTTCATATGGGTACTGAACTAAATACTGCAGAACAGGCATGGTTATTAGGCTTTGTTGGACTGGAAAGGCCTATAACCCTAGTTATTGATATTTCAACCATACCAGAAGTTGTCCTTGTACTGAAGGTTACGAGCACTGAATTGGTGGCTCATTAACTAGTCAGATTATCTAAAACATCTGTATATATAGTAATTTACCAGATTTATAAACTTTTTAACACGTGTGTTATGGTTGAAATCTAGAGTCAGTACCGATTCCCTGTAGTCAAATAAACTCATTCCTGATATCCCAATTTATAGTTAACCATACACCTTGAGAGTCTTATCAGAGATTACCAGAAACTTATCATAACTGACATACAACTTGCCAATTTTATAATTCATAATATCAATAGGAATGTAAGATTTGCAATGGTAAGCATGAAAAAGGAAGTACTTTAATACAAATGTCTAAGTTGATTTGAACTTTCAATATTTTAGATTTTCAATGATGCCAAAACGATTCGAGAGTACCAACTTCAAGAGCACAGCCCTTGCTCTGATTCGATTCTAATTGATAAACGGAACAACTTGGTCACTTTAAATAACATTCAGTCCTCTTCCCGGGCTGCAAATCATGTGTCTATCATTGATCCATGGCGGATTTGCCGAACGAGGATTTCTGAAAGTATCGAAGACATTATTTCAAATTGGTAACATCGATATAGCCCATTTATCGATAGCAAAACACTTTTAGACAAACAAAACCATCGCTATATGTCGATCTTTAAAGAAAATAATATGATCCTCCTCGTGTATCATCGTTCATGAAGAAAATGTGATAAATTTTGAGGAAGCTTACGTGGTGATAGTTTGAACATTGAATGAATCAGTTTGGTGTTATTATTGTCTTAAGTTTACTTTATTGTATTTTTATGACGCGAGACAAATGACATTAAATGGTATATCTCAGTTTTCAATATCGTGACAAACTTGGTTTTAATGAGTAAATCAACGATATCTATTCCTAATACCTTGCTTATCATGTTTCTTGATTTCGCACTTTCGTAACCATTATTTCATTATTTTTTACTTTATCCTTTTCCCTGATTCGAATAAGCATCTAGAAATGATCACAAATTTTTTGACTTCAGTTGATATTGTCACAAGTAGACATAGTTTTGAACATGGCACTATCTTTAGAACTATTTATCAAAATACACTACAATGCCAACACAACTATTTACATGATTATTAATTGATGTTACCATGAATTTAAGACTTAGCATACATCAAATAGTGACCGGCGTAGATATCAGAGGAGACTGTCAAATATCAAAAAGCCCCCTTATAGTCGAATGTCATTGTTTCGGATATACGACACTTAGATTTGGCGACGATAAAATACCAGAGATATATAGGTAAATAAAGATATTAAATAGTGTTTAATTAAGGTAATGGTCACTTATCATTCTTTTTATAAGTTTATTATATTACTGTAAAGGTTTCTATATAGAAATTGGGTCAGTGTCGTGAGTAGACTAGGTCAAGACAATTTAAACATTTCAAACATTTTAAGATAATGCCTGAATAGTGTTCTGTTTCTCGGTGATGAAAAAAAGAAGTATCCGACGTTATACAGAAAATGTAACTTTATGGCTTCTAAAACATTTACTACTACATTATTATAAACATAATTCCAATACCTTGACTGCAATAGCCACCTTTCTTTTATCAGAATTTGTAAAGGTGGCTGTTGCAGTCAAGATATTTAACGCAATAGCTTGACATTGTGAAGATGTCCCTCATCCTATCCCTAAAAATTTGCATGATACTTTATTTCTCTGTATGATCTCGTTTTCATATCCTAGCAATTAATATTTTTTCAAACACGATTAAATGGCAAAGGTGGTAACATTGTACATAGAAGAAATTCTAAACCAAAAATTTGCCATTTTCTTTCAAATCTGTGGTCGTTGAGTGCACATTGTCAATGCATTCAAGACACATATCAAATAAAAGATGTTTATATAGACCATAATATAAATATACAGAAAGCAATCGTGGTTTATGCCTAATGACGTTGAAAATGTTTAGAGAGGTCGAAATGAAACACAGAGAGCAACTACTAGAACTACATATCATGCAAATGTTTTTTTTCATTTACAGTGTACATAATATCCATCTTTACAATGTCTCAAACATTGTTAAGATGACCGAGATCTGAAACAGATTCATCTGAATTTGAAAAAGTGCTGGTGAATCATATTGATTCAGCCTTTACATTCATTTACTTTTTGCTTCATAGGCTTCTAAAATGATTCATTTTGCATTTGAGATTCAGTTGTGGATAATTGCAAAAGTTGATTCTCCTAAACAATGTAAGACTCTTTAAATATGTACTTACTGCGATTGAGTTGCCAAGGTTCCCAGAATTTAGCCCTTCTTTTATAAACATGCACTTCAATATATGATTGAGATATAATTGGTTGTTCTATTGGATATGAACATATATGTTGAATGTGAACGAGTATAAATAAAATAGAGGTATACAAGTCGTGGATATCCATGATCCTTGACTTGTTGAATGATGTCCAAATACTTATAACTTTATACTAAGTCAGCAAACATTTTAGAGCAAGACCATAACTGAATTAACTCCATTTCAAATTAGCCATCCATTACGACTTCTTTCACTTTCCAAACAAATCTGTTGATAATAGATATATTGATATACAACCTATTCACTTGAGCACCCTTTTCATTTTTTCCACACAATAGATATACACAAATATACACATAAACAGTGCTGAATTTTATCGGCCTTGAGATTTTCAGGCTACTTATTTCTGTGTGACTAACACTGCTGCAAGTTTGAAAGAAACTTCTGAAAGGCAAGAAATTCATTCAATAATTATTGTCACAGCCAAATCCGTTGTAGTGTCAGATAACAATGGTTAAATTGGGTACACAACATTCAATGCATTGGCATCTTGGTTTTGGCTAAAGGTATAACGCTGTGCCTATAGACAGCAAATTGATGTTGAAAACACGCTTTGCTTTTCACAGGAAAAATTATGTTCACCCCAATAGTTATTTAGCTTATTATGCATGTATGGTTTAAGCACAGACTGAAAATTACCTTATTCATGAATTTTGAAAATAATCCACACAAAATCTACCCACTTTTTATCCAACACAATAAGTAAACATCAAGTTTACGTTATAGTAAATGTCTTATAGTAAAAGGTAAATAGACACTTATGTTTCTTGTAGTATACGTTTCTTCTATGAACCTCTATCTACGCCTATGTTCTTATGAGTTTACAAATGTGTAGGTCGATAAAAACACAATTTATCACCGAGCATCAATTTAGCGACAATACTCTAAGTGCTATTTTAGGTAACAAAACCAAAAGTATTTACAATTATTTACTTAAAGATTAATTATGTTCATGGGGTTTTGAACATGAATACGTAAAAATGTGAATGGTAAATGAGCCATAACAGAAGGTGTCTATCACGCAAGAGTTGGGATCGGGGGTAATAAACGTCACACCCACGTCTAATTCTTTCATACATGGTCTAACTTGTTTCAAGCTTTACAATATAGGAAAAATATCAAAATGCATGACATCACTAATCCTGACATTGTTTGTTTATGACATCATTTTGGTTTGAGAGACGACAGCGTGCTACTTTCATGGCAATTAGAAACTGGAGTAGGGTAACTATGAAACTAAAGAATTAGCCAACTTAACAAATTCAACCCGCATAAAATGATTCCATTAGTCATGGGTAATTCAAGATGGAAATGAATAACAATAAAGGTGTCCGCGACACAGTTGATCTTATGGATTATTTGACTCATAGACACAATCAGTGACTGATTAGTCAAATCAGTGAAAAGGAACTCACGATGATGTATGATGTTTTAAAGAGATGAATCATGCCATAAATGTCCAGACTTCTTTTTGTTTAATGTCAAACAAGCACATAATTGTCACCATAATTAGAGTGCGTGTGGTTAGCTTGACCATGATAGTTAAGTTTCTAAATTTTGAATTAATTTTCGACAATGAAATTATTAATTTCTTCAAATTAATTGTTGTCTAGAAAGTTATAAAACCAGTTGTTCTGTTCTGTAAGATTATAAAGACAGTTGTTCTGTTCTGTGAGATTTTAGAGATAGTTGTTCTGTCTAGAAGTAGTTCTGTACTTGGAGCTGTTCTGTTCTAGTATATTGTAAATGTTTTGTTATGGAAGATTATAAAGACATTTGTTGAGTTCTGATTGATTATAAAGTCAGTGATTCGGTTCAATTAAGACAATTAAGAGATTACAGTTATTGTGTTCTTGATGATTATAAAGACAGTTTTTCTGTTCTAAGAGATTATAAATATAGTTGTTCTGTTCTAGTTTATTATCAAGACAGTTGGTCTGTTCTATGAGATTATAAAGACAGTTGTTGTGTTCTTGTTGATTATAAAGACAGTTGCTGTGTTCTGATTGATTATAAAGAGAGTTGTTCTGTTCCTGAAGATTATAAAGACAGTTGTTGTGTTCTGATTGATTATAGAGATAGTTGTTCTGTTGTAGAAGATTATAAAGACAGTTGTTGTTTTCTGATTGATTATAAAGATAGTTGTTCTGTTGTAGAAGATTATAAAGAAAGTTGTTCTGTTCTATGGGATTTCAAATTTTGTCGGCTAGGAAGCAGGATAAGTTTTTTCTAGTCTGTTTTATAGGCCTATGTAGGGTATTTTATAAGATGATCAGTAATTCTTTAACTTTTAGAAAAAGAAAGTCGCCGGTTCTGTATATTGTTAATGCTATATAATTATTCTACAGATTTATACGTTTTATGTTAATAATAAAAACCTTATTCTTTACAAGAAGATATTAAATGATTGGTCTATGGTGACATCTTGTAAACCCCAATAAAGTCCTTGTCATGTCCCATTATAAAATGTCCGCAACGTAAAGAGCCTATACCACAAAAATATGCTACAATAGGTATATACTTTTGACTATGACTACGGAATAATCAGCGGAGGTTGTATTTGAGAAGAATCTGTTCTTAAAAGAGAGTTGCCAAAATTTACAATCAAATCTAATGTTAGTAATTAATCACATGATATCGAAGATTGTTGTCCTTCTTCAGACTTAATTTTCAGAACAGATTAACAAATATTGACTTTATGGGTTCAAACTGGATGTACACTTATACGTATTGTGATCTTAACTTTAATGCTATAAATACTATTTATCCCAAAACAGTTTGTGAGCAAGTATTGTTATACACATATTGTACGATCAAATCCATATATTAAATTCATATGTGGATCAATTCCTTTAAAATCAGTTGCAATAATCTTCCGTGTATATAATAAATATCAAGTATTAACGTCTCGAGTGTTTTTATGACGACTAATAATACTATCACGCAGGTATATGTATCGATACTGATCAAAAGAAGCCGCTTGATATTGTATTCTATTGTAATGAGTTAATCTTTTCAATCGCTCTGATCGATACATTCATTCAGTATCAGGTTACTGTATAACTACACTCTATAATTTGATTCTTTTAAGGAACTCCGAGGATTTATCCTCAGGTCGTTTAGAGGCAATTCCATGAAAAATATATTATTTATAATATTTCTTCTTTTAATTGAGATCAGAAGTTTTGTTCCTCATTGCCTTGAGATTCTGGTTTTTTTTAAATGAAAAGGTGAAAGACAATGGCTTCGATAGGTTATAAATCCAAATTATGAGAAAACAGTCACTTCACAAATCAATTAAAGCAGGGCCCAGCATTACAGTGAAATTGGGAATAAAATTCAATAAAAAGAACGAAAAAATAGCTTTATTGAACTAGATTTTAATATTTTATGCCCCATGTTTTAATACGAGGGTATTCTGTAACAAAACTGAGGCGCCCTGAAAATATACCGGCCCATGTAATGATTACCTATTGTATCTATTATCGCTAATCGTCGAGTATTTTTTTAAAATCAGTCTACGGATCAAATTGGTTTGATAGAATATTTTTATCATAATATTTCATTGGATGGTGTCAATTTGAACAGGACTGTATTTCCTATAACGAATGTGACTGAAGTGCATTGAAATGTGTAGGTGGAATAGCAAGCCGATGTTTCAGACTTCTGTGATCGCTTTTTGAACAGCTGGAATACATATGGGTTGAGGAACTAGTTATTCGGATACCAGTTCAAAATGTATGTGGCCAATGAAAAACCCGAAGAATTAAAAAATCCTGAAAAAGCAGCAAAACCTCTGCGAATTGATCACAGTCGTGTCCATTATGAAAATGGCAGATTGACAGAAATGTTGCATGCAAATTTAACAGAAATATCAGCAAATCAGCACCGTCAACTTATGTCGAGGAACAACGAAATCAAAGAAATTCGTCAAAGTGTGGAAGACTATAAGGCAATAATAAAAACTCAGAAACGGACAAACAAAGGGGTGATGAGGCCACAGACATCTTCGGTTTATCTCAGTAAGAGAAAGAGGACGCCGTCACCGAGTATCAAACGACCAACCCGCAGCTCCGCAGTCACCCCAACTGTTGGCGTAAATGACGAGAGTGATTCGGACGAGAGCACCGTATATGATGACGACCCTTTCAGATATCCAAGAACCAAATCAGCACCAGCAGTCAATCGGAAGAGTTCGGTGGTATCAGCAGTGTCAAACAGTTCTTTCAGATCTACCTCTGTCAAATCGGGCTCAACTGTCTTCCAAACACAGTTAGGAACAGAACCACAATGGCCAACTCCAAACCAAAGCCGGCGTCCAGTATCATTAGGGAATGGGAGCGGGAAACATATGTATAAAGAACCCGAACCACCGTTTGTGCAATTTCAAAATGAATGGGATGAAGGTGATGGATTTAAGATGATTTGTGGTGGGAATCAAACGCTGTCGAGGCGTCAACTGAAACAACTAACCAATGTAGATAGGTTTATACATGATGAGAGAAGAAAACGATACGCAAGATATTACGAAGCGTTGATAAAAAATCGAGATGAAAGAAATCAACTAGATGCTCGCGTGAAAGACTTTATCAAGAGCTTATTGGATAGAAAATGTCCATCGGAATATTCAGCTTGAGCCATTAAAAAAACCTATATATAAACTTGATTTTACTGTCCAACATTTCAGGTGACAAGGTTAATTGTTGAAACGCTGTGTACAATAAAATCAAGGAGTACCGGTATTCCATAATAATTTATCCCGGTTTTATGTGGTCGCTAAAGGGTCAGTTGTTGGCTAATCATGGATATATATTATACGGCCTACTATTTTGCGAATTTCCTGCAGATCCAAACAATTTATATAAAATTTTACTTGTATATATATGATTCTTAGCTTTTTTAAAATACACCTATAATGAAAACGCATTTTGAAAATAAGTGTTGTCCCCTATAACTATCTGACCTGATCAACAATCTAGACCCAGATTAACAGATCTTACCTATCCCCTTGAAATAAGCTTCAGATCAGAGAATCTAACAACGGAATCTAACCTGACTCCAGAACAGCAGGTGAATCCAACCTATAACAAGAGCAACTAAAATCCCCAGAATAACAAGTGAATCCAACTTAGCCCCCGATTTACAAGCGAATCTAACCTAGCCCAAGAACAACTAAAATCCTTGAACAACAAGTGAATCCAACTTAGACCCCGATTTGCAAGTGAATCTAACCTAGTCCAAGATCAACTAAAATCCTCAGAACAACAAGTGAATCCAACCTACACCCCGATTTACAAGTGAATCTAACCTAGCCCAAGAGCAACTAAAATTCTTGAACAACAACGGAATCCAACTCACCCCCGATTTACAAGTGCAGAATTTCGAAAACCTGGCCATAGAACAAGTAAAATTCGCAGAACAACAAGTGAATCCAACCTAGTCCTCGATTTACAAATTTAACCTGACCCCAGAACAAAACGTAAATATAACTAAGACCAAAATAATCAAAAGAATCTATCTGAATAGATATTTTTTTTTACATAAATATCAAATATATATAGCCCAAAGGTAGATAACTTCATTTAAGAACCACAATGAAATATCCAAGGATAAAATCATTTTCATCTGCCTTCGGTTAAAAAAATGGATTTTGTATTCCATTTTATAGCGACACATTTCTCATCTTAAATTTTTGTTCTTAATTAGCATACATTTTTAATCATCGATCATCATTTTACATATTTTCACAAATAAGTTTTACCTCTACTTTTCTGTAACATTGCAGGTTCAACTATTGGAATATGGCTTACAAAGGAATAAAAAGGCAATTGAAAAGCATTTCCGAGATTATCTATCAAAGGACCCGGTCACTACTTCATTATTCAATTTATAACATAATTATTATTAACATTTTATTTGTGGTAGGTTTTGTCTTCTATGTATACATTAGATCAGCGAAATTCCCGAAACTCTTTTAACGTCATCTTCCTCCTTATTGGCTGTCGTCAACTAAATTTTGTCACGTGACGTAAACAGAGGGATTTTCCTCTTTCAGAAAAAAACAGTTTTGGAAGTAATCGGTAAAAGTTTTTATATTACGATAATGTAGGTTTTTATCAAGTTTTAGGAGTGTAAATGGACAGCAAATGGGACCACAAAACACACTTATGTTAACCATTAGCGAAAGAAGATTTTCTTTGAAATGAAATTTCATGAAATTAGACCAGTCTGTGTCCACTGTCACTGACACTGTTGCAGTGTTGAGTTAATGAAATGTCAGTGTTTTTTTTTTAACCTAAATGAACTGACATATAGATCTACACTAACTTTGTATATTCCTTACAGAATTCTTTTGTTAGCATTAAGTCAAACAACAGGAAGTTTATACATTGGTTAGTTTGTTATCAAGTTGAAATATAAGGCCTAACTACTGAATTAAAAATATAAAAATATAAGCTTATAATATTATTGAAACATATCTTATTCCACTGATACAACTTGCTGGCTCTTTCCTAGAATAAGGTCAAATACAAAAGACACAGATCAATGAAAATGTTCTACATATGCCTTTAAATGTAGGCCTACTTCCAAGAAAAATTCACATGACTTTTGTAGGCCTTCTCATTTTTTTTAAAATCTTTTTTTTTTTTTTTTAGGTTAGCCTTAAAAATCTTACAAAGTAGGCGTGTATGAAAGGGTTGTGTAAAAATGGACTGAAGATATAAATTACTGTAGCCTACATAGTGCTATATTATTAAAGGTTAGGTTCGGAGTCAACTAGAATTATCCTTGTTCAAGGTATTTGTTGCTTACTATAACACCAAGATAATTTTAAGTAAGGTCAATTTTAGACAAACACCAATTTTTTCTTAATCTGTAATAAGTAATCATTGGATATTAAAAACATCAGCCTGAAACTGCACAGAAATGTCCAGGTTTTTGCAACTTGTGCAATATATCAATGTTTCTAATTTTCTATTTCAGATTTTGAATGGATAAATCATTGCACATATCTCAGAATAAAATGGCTAAGATCACATATTATAAAACCAGATTATCATTTTTGGATTGAGGAGTTAATTAAACACCATACATAATGATGAACACAAAGGCCTTCATCTTCAGAATCAACGAAAATGGAGAAGGATTAGAAGTGGTTCGTAATGTTTGTTTGGAGCGAAATTGGGTAGAATTTGATGAAGATATACATGATGAATCAGAATGGAATGTTTGGTGGAAATCTGCCCGATTCAGATCTAGTGATTATGACAATCTGATGCCATGGCAACGTTTAAACCATTATCCAAAATCAACGACTATCACCAGAAAAGATTGCCTGGCGAGAAATCTTAAACGTATGAAAGGAGTATATGGTCCTACTGTGTATAATTTTTGCCCAATGTCTTTCAATTTACCAAATGACTACACTAAATTTGTGGCTGAATATTCTAAAATGAAAACTAAAAATGAAGAGAAACATTTATTATGGATTTGTAAACCGATTGATATGTCGCGTGGTCGAGGAATATTTATTTTTAAAGATTTATCAGACTTGCATTATAATAGCAGTGCTGTTGTACAAAAATACATCACGAATCCTATGTTGATATCCGGTTATAAATTTGATTTAAGAATTTATGTAGCTGTGCCTTCTTTTCATCCACTACAAATTTACATACATCAAGAAAGCATTGTGCGATTTAGTACTGATAAATATGATTTAAACAATTTAAATAATGTTTTCTCACATTTAACAAATTCTTCCATCAATAAATTTAGTCCAAACTATATGGCAGCCAAGGAGAGGATTGGGGCTGGATGTAAATGGACGTTAACTCAACTACGCTATTATTTTCATCAGAATCATATCGATGACAGTTTATTGTGGCAGAAGATAATTAATATTATCACATTGACTTTGATAACCCAGTCTCCTCATGTACCAAAAGTTGATAACTGTTCCGAGCTGTATGGATTTGATATCTTAGTGGATGAAAAACAGAAGCCATGGTTGATAGAAGTTAATTTTAGTCCCAGTCTAGTGACAGATTGTCAAACAGATTATCAGGTGAAAAAGCCTGTGGTACATGACTTTATGGAAATGTTGAATTTAAAAGACTCTGATATGGAATGTGGAAAGACAACTACAAAGGTGTCAGGAAAGAGAACTCCATATTTATCGCATAGTTACCGATCTTTAAGTAGAGTAAGTGGTAGTGTTAAGCAATTACCAGAAGTTAAAAGTGCCTCAAAACCAGCTTTACATTCTCCCTTGCCTGCAAGTGATCCACGTCCTATATTTGGGCTTCCATTGGTAACAAGACAACCATCAGAAGATGAAGGCTGTGTATCTTCAGCTGGAGATTCCCCTTTCAATGACTTACTGAGCAAAGAAAAAACTTTTGAAAGAGAAATATCATCTGTTGTAAGACATCCACCAAAGACTCCACTTTCAAGAATGGGACTACGAAAAGTAAACAGTAAAGGCTCATGTATTTCTGATAGTGGTGTATCAAGTTTTTCTAGTCATAGTGACAACCCGAGTGCCATTGTGAGAGAGAATGAAGCAGAATTTAATAATAAGAAAACAAGAGCTGGTTTAGTAAGTGAGAAAAGTGATTTTAGTAACTCTGCAGAAGACACAAATAACTGGAGATTTATGATTCGAAAACAAAACCCATCAAATATTGATACTTTGACAAAGTCTGAAATCGATAAGTCACCAAAGACAAGAAGAAGGGCAGGCCTGCAGTTATCTGTTTCTGACACTCGTCAACTGTCTCCAACACGACAACCTACCCGAACTTACCATAAACGACATTCGTTGCCTAATGTCAAACCATGGTTACAAACATCTAGAAGTCGTCTTATAAATCAACGTCAAGTAGGTCCAAAGGGTCCACAGAAAAAGTATGGTGATTTCTTCTTGACATTCCCTTTCAATGAAGCTACATTACGTGTTAGTCAAACCTCACTTGATGCACGTGTTATTATCAGGGAAATACAAAAACAATTAAAAGATATTTCGCTAACTGGTGGGAGGACTGATAGACTCTGGTATCCAGTTAGATCTGTAGAAAGAGAAGCCAGTTGATAAGTGGTTATCTTAGATCAGTAATGTCTGAAATAATATTTAGCGTTTTTAAGGTAGCTTATATTCCATTTGTGCTAATAATTGATCAGGGTTACTCTTGAAGGTTATAACTGTAAAAAAATATTTCTTTTTATTTGTTACAATGTTACTAGGACTATTATAAGGTGAAATAGATTAATTTTGTCCAAAAAAAATAAAAATTATATTAATTACTATGAAGTGATACTTAATATATGTCATAGATTTCCGGTGATTTCACAGAACGGTGAAGACTTGCTTAAAAGTAAATGGATCAGAATAGTTTTAGTTAATATTCATGTATTTTTTTACTTATTGCAAGGGTTACAAACTGATCACAGAACACTTGAGTAAAAATTAATGATAAATCACTATTTTGCCATTTACGCCTAAGTTATTACATGTAGAAGATATGTTTGCATTTGTCAATGTTTTTTTAATTATTAGAGACAGAATAAGAAATAAGCTTATTGATTATTGTGTTTTCTTTTTCATTAACAAACCCTGATGACAGAATTTACATCCAAAACATCACCAGCGTGTATAGGCCTTGAGCAGAATATCATGTTCCTACCATAGCCTAAATGAAATGGCCGAGTTTTACGTCCCACTTTTCTGGAACAAATTTAGCATATAAAGAAGTTTTAACATGTTTAAACATTGGAAATTTTGACAAGAAGGCCTGCTTTTTTTATTCCCAACTCAAACTGCAGAGATATCTTTCCATAGCATTTAGCTCACAAATTCTATGATGTAGGACGACAGATTACAACTAAATTTTACAAAAGCTCAATATTCATGTAAGTAGGCAATGATATAATAGATAGTCCTAATCTATCATTAAGTACAAATACCGTTGATAAATATAATAAAATTAATGCTGCATTGACATAGAAATGATTAACGCTTCAGTGAGCACACTGTAGTATATGTGGCTAACCAGTGAGGTATTCTACATTCCACTAGCCGATCCGTAATCAATGCATTCTTGTCGAGCAAGGTAACTGAAGATTAAACTGAACAATGTGAGTGTCACACCCTCGCTTATATTGTCTCTATGGTAAATCATTTCCATTATTGATTATTATTTTCTGGTATAGTTATGTATTCTCCTCGCATTATTTAAGCAATATGATGATTTGAAGACTCGATGTGAAGTAGTAAGATAGAAATGCCTGCTTGATTAGCGGATACCGATTACGGCATCATTGGGTCGTTATGAACTCTTTCATTACCTGTAGTCCGAAAAACTGTTCCTTGCATGTCCTTTTGGCTGCATCGGTTTAAAATTGTAGAATTTCCAAAATTTTACTTATCATATACTTACAAGTGTCTGAGGCTTAGACATAGAACTAAGAATCAAATTAGACTTAGGCATAGCTGTTTGGTAGCATTGACACTGGCAATGGAAGACAGCCAAGAACAAAGCAATAGTAGGCCAACTTTAACTTTGTAAGCTTATGGACAGGAATATGGAGGAAATAAAGCAAATTAAGTTCATAATTTTAAAACCTAACATGGCAACCCATGATTTCAAATGTCACAAGGACATTGAACTACTAATGACAATATTTTTGTTTGGAATCAACAGCTGTCTTTATACATTCAATTAGTTTTCTGTTTACAATAACATCTGTATTTTGCAACTTTATTCCCATGTATATAATTGATATAACCAACTATCTTCTTGCTCAAATACAACGCTTTTAATTATTAATCAAATTAAAGGGACATGTTTGTCATCCGTTTGACAAATCATCGGTCTAAAGGGTACCTCAGTACCAGGAGCTGGAATTTTTAGCAAATCTAATCAGAAATTGTGTTCACAGCTCCCCATTGAAATATGAATATAGAATTATCTGCGTTTAAAAGTTAAAATTACAACTCGTCTTTTCTTGATAATCTGCAATATATAGAAAAGACACAAGCTTATATAAGCTTGCTCCATTAATAAATTCAATTTGAAAATTATGGCAAAATAAGTGCAACATTTTATTCATTTGCCTTGACATCTCTGGGTGACTTCAACTAAACCTCTGTTTTCGAGCTAGAATTGATGTAGTTATCTTTAGTGCGCATGCCGAGTGAGGCTCGCAATCGAATTTGATTGAGTTACGGCAATATGGCGAGGCGTTTGACCATATATAGACATTCCATACTACCATTTTTACTCGTGTTGGACTCTCCAAATAGTGAGTGTCGGACCCGAGCTTCTAACTAGGTCAAATATTACGTCACTAGAGACTCAACCCTAGAAAATATTACAGTTCGGTTGTGACTTGAGTATAACTCGGCTCCAATTGAAGTCACCCTCTGATTTCTTTCAACTTGCAATGCCTACACAGCCATAGTTCACACTTTGTTTTAATATTGATGACTTGATTAGGTCAAAACAGAATTTTCAATACAGGACAGAGTAATGGAATAATTTCATAAATTTCATTTGCACATAACATCTAAAAAAAAAAATCAGTTTTCAAATATTTTGACCAACATCTGGATTTTGTTCAGTATAAATATCTGGATTTCTTTCAGTTTTTTAATATAAGCTTATCTCCAAATTAAACAAATATATTAATTTAGTAAATTGATGCGCATACCAGTTGAGCAGATTAAAGTACATAATGTCATACTGTTCTACAAGTTTAAAAACAGATTTTAATAACATATTGATATTGGTGTCTTATTTCACATCTTTAATGAACTATTTTTGCAGGTTGTTATGATATTATATACTAAGTATAAGAGGAAATACAGATGAGTGGCTAACATCCCGTAATATGTTTTTAAACTACATGTTATAATCAAAACACCAGCTGAACACAGAGTGGAGATGTTAGATATTTAGATGTGGAAGAGTCAGATAGCTGTAAGTTGAAAATTGATTATCATTATGTTTAATTAGCTTATGCTGTGAAAAAGAGTTGAAAGAATTTGGCAATTTTGGGGAAAGCTTTGAGTATTCCGTTCTTGATTTAATTATTTAATCTGAATTTTGAAATGCTTTCAGACTGATGTTTTATTTGAATTCTCATGCAACTGATAAAAGCTTTTGTATTTTTGAAGTACAGGGTATTCTGTAGAAGGGTACTTAAAGCATCTAATTATTTCAAAGCAATAGGCTGTAACTTTTAATTGTAACTGTTGTGTTCTGTATTTTCGCATTACATTTCCTGATTTTATTTTTTTGTTGCCATTTCCCTGTTGTAAAATACTCCAAGCTTTGCTGAAATAGTATTAAATAAGTTACTTGTAATTAAAGTGTGCTCACTGTGTCCTATGGACATTGAATGCTGACTTAACTCAATTTATTTTTTTAAATTTATTTTCAGGCATAATGGAAACTTTCAAGTTATATTCTGGCATATTATGTGTGGTTGTTTGTGTTTGTTATTATAATGCTCTGCACTGTGGTTTTGTTTTTGATGATATATCAGCTGTAGTGGACAATAAAGATCTGAGACCACACAGTCCTATTTCTAGATTATTCTGGAATGATTTCTGGGGAACTCCAATGAATCAGGTAAACAATTTTTTTTATCATATTTATAAGAAAATATAGAGCTACTTATTTTTCTACATTTTTGCCCAAAAACGCCAACTGTGTTTGAGAAGAGGTTATAAAAATTGAATATTTAATTGTTAGTATATTTGGTACATGAGCTGGTGGTACCAAGGCATAACTTAATATAGTTTGGGTGAGGTATGGTTTACCCACCTTTAATTTATTTGTCATTGATCTTAATTCTAATTGAGTTGACTAACCTCAAACCATTGTATAGGACTATTTAGATTAAGGATGAATTCTTCTCAGGGATAGAAAGGATTTTCTACAAATTTAGCTAAAAAACAAAAGGTGACATTCTCAGCTCAGGGGTGAGCTGAAATCAGTATAGGGTAGAGACCTCTTTACACCTGTATTGTATGCTCATTGTGACTGTTGACATCCCAGGGTTCACTCCTTGTTGCCATGTCTGCAAAACAACAGAAATTCTTTTTTGGATGCAGACTTGAAATTTTCCAGATTCATTTAAGTTATAGCTGGTAAGTTTTTCTTTTCCATTTTGTTTAACTAATTTGAATAAGATTTAGTTTTAAGATTTGATTTAAGTATTCTGTTACATAAATCATATTTGGAACAAAATAAATTCAATTTGTTGATAACATTTTGTATACTTTGTAAATCGATGAATTTGAAACAAAACTCTTAAATTATTGACTTTGCTCAATAAAAAATCCTTAAATTATTCTAAAGCTTTTCCTTTACATTTTCTTCAATACCTTTACAATTTCTGCTTCTTTTGTATGAAATTGACACTCCATTTGGCCTTTGTTTTATATTTACAGAGTATGGATCAATTGAAAGTCCTTTTTGTAAGGTAGGTGAATTAAATCATTAGTAAAATAATTAGTTGAGGCTTTGATATTACTGAATAGACTTACTAGTAAATTTCTAAATTGATTGTGAAAATGTAACCAATAAAGTAAAATATGAAATAAAATTAAAGCTTTATAAAAGAGCTCCAGTGCTATATTCTTAATGATTATGTACTACTATGTAAGTAATACAATTATAGATATGATAATGTATTTATGTACTACGGTACTATGAAAGTTATAACTGAAATGATAATGTACTACTATGAAAGTGTTATAACTTAAGATATGATAATGTACTACTATAAAAGTGTTATAACTAAAGAAATGATAAGATACTTCAGTACTATGAAAGTAATATTAGAAATGTTAAGGAAATGGAATAATATGATTGGAAGGAAAAATGTATAATAATGAATGAATATAAAGTGTAATAGATGATAAGGATTAAAAAGTAGGAATGATAATGAAGTAACATTGATATGAGAGATAAACTGAATAATATAATTTACTGAATAAATAATGTAATAAATGATATGATAGGACTAAGGCTGAATGAAAGATAATGACTCTGGAGGTTATTTATGAAATAGTTAATTTTATACTTTGTATATTTGTAGATGTGAGAAATCGAAATATGGAATGGTTACAATTACTTTGAAAGGTGGACATGCAGCAATCAAATTGTGAGGAAAAAAAGTCATCACAAGCACTTGCCATATTTATCAAGTGAAATAGTATGGTACCAACATCATAAATATTGTTATTGTGTATATTTTAGAAATAAAAGCCTATGAATTTGTTGTTTTCAATACACCTACATGAAAATGTAGTTACCTGTCTATGCTTCATCCAATTTTTAGTTTACTTACATCAATATGAATTATTCTCAGTTAAAAAAGAGCTAAAACTTTTTGTAAGTGATGTTCTATAGCACAGTCGGTTAGAGCGTTGGCTGCTATGGGTTCTGATCTCGATCGGTGTGTGAAAGTCTTATATTTGGGTAAATGGGTACAGATAATCTGGGAGATGTCAAAGGTTTTGGTAAAGGACCAGCTGTTAGAAAGGATCCTTAACTCTGAACCTAAGTTATTCTATTGTGAAATATAGTTCTTTCTTTCTTTCTTTGTAAGAGATGAAAGTAATTTGACCCCACCCTGATTTGGCATAGGGATTCTTAAAAACACAACATCATGCTTGAAAGGAAAAGCATGTATTGAGGAGTCTAAGGTTGAGGGGACACACTCCTTACAGACTTGTATGTTCATTACGGAAAGGTATAATCAGTTGACAAACCCTGCCACCGAGCAGAATAAGATGATAAAGTGTCTACAATTATTCAAAGGTAAATTTGTGTAGGATAAGCACTTCTAGTGCAATCGGCATTCCACTTGAGCTTGGTAACATTGTATAAGTCATCTGTTCTCATATTGCCTTGCTATATATATATATGTATGGACAGTCTGAGAAAGAATTGGCTAAGGACTGGCTAATAGACATAATACTCATGAATCTAAGCTATTATCCTTAAAGAAATGTTTGGCAATGAAGTTTCTTGTAAATCAAAGTCTTAAAGAATATATGCATGGCTTCAGGCCAAATTTGATTTAGTTTATCATGTACATTAGCCTTTTGATTAGATAAGTCTTCAATTGATGCATAAATACACCCTTGCATACTGTATTGATTACAAAATAAGTACACCTTATGCAGGTGTCTTGGCATCCAGTACATACTTACTTATAAATGATTCCCCTACACCAAAAATCAGTTCAAGACAGAATTGAAGCTGTCTTAATTTTTATTAATCATGTTGTTAATTTAAGTGATTGTTGTGGGCAGTGGCAGCTACAGCCTCCTGTCTGAAAGATGGCAGATTGAATAATTGTCGAGATTCAAAATCCTTGGATACACTTGCCTCCCATGGAGCGTCTGAGAGGAAACATCTTACATTGATTCTCAAAGCTTGACTTTTGCTTAGCTCAATGGTACCTTTATTTTGTTAAACTTTTGTGATTTGATCACACCTTATGATGAAATTGAATGAATTGTAAGATGGATGCAAATTGGATTATGACAGATTTCGTTTGATTTGGAGGCACATATTGTTTATATTTGTAATGCCTGCGCCCCTCACATTAAACACCCTGGAAAAACAGTTCTTTCAGAAAAGATACATCCGTGGATTTTATTTATCATTATCATTATTTGATGTTGTGTCTTGTGTACTTTTAGGAAAGAAGTCATAAATCCTACAGACCACTATGTGTATTAACATTTCGATGGAATTATTTAATACATGAATTAGAGCCTCTTGGATACCATTTAGTTAATGTTTTATTACATGCCCTTACTTCTATTATTTTCATGGTGTAAGTTGAATATGCCTTTCTTTTTACTATATTAAATAGTTAAGTGTCTAAGGAATGCTCAATTCTTGGACTTTCAAATTTGGTCTAAAGTATCTTGACAAGACAAATTTCCATTATATTTTTTTGGAAAAATAGGAGCCTAGCATATACCTTATAAAATGCATTGATATCAGGCCAACCATGAAGTCCTAGTTTTTATGATTATATATGTTTTATCAATTTATTTATAAGCTCAAAATATCAGTAAAGGTTCGGGATTTGTTGAATTTATATTTCAGTATGTGTAAAGAGTTTGTTAAAGAATGGACCAGTTTTCTTGCTGCTTTATTGTTTGCTATACATCCTATACATACTGAAGCTGTGAGTATTAGCCTTTTATATATGATAGCTCTTACTTGAACACAAGTGATTTCTTAGTTTCTATGTAATATGAATCCCTGGACTAATTTAGTTGTGGTGAGATTTTCTCAATAACCTGGTTGGAAGTTCATTATCCTAACAAATGCTTTCCAATGTGCTTTTGCACTGTCATTTATGCAGAAGGGAAAAATTGAATAACATTGAATAAACGTTTAAAGATCTTGAAATGATTTAGTAAAGTAACTGTTTATTACAGGTAACTGGTGTTGTTGGTAGAGCAGAATCATTATCATCTATATTTTTATTGTTGGCTTTCATAACATACAGTAAATCTACAGGCTATAGACAACCCATTAGTAAGTTATTATATATCAGTCTTTATAACATAAAGTAAATCTACAGGCTACAAACAACCCATTAGTTAAGATTTAACAGTAAATCTACAGGCTACAAACAACCCATTAGTTAAGATTTAACAGTAAATCTACAGGCTATAGACAACCCATTAGTAAGTTATTATATATCAGTCTTTATACCATACAGTAAATCTACAGGCTATAGACAACCCATTAGTAAGTTATTATATATCAGTCTTTATAACATAAAGTAAATCTACAGGCTACAAACAACCCATTAGTTAAGATTTAACAGTAAAACTACAGGCTACAAACAACCCATTAGTTAAGATTTAACAGTAAATCTACAGGCTATAGACAACCCATTAGTAAGTTGTTATATGTCAGTCTTTATACCATACAGTAATTCTACAGGCTATAGACAACCCATTAGTAAGTTATTGTATATCAGTCTTTATAACATAAAGTAAATCTACAGGCTACAAACAACCCATTAGTTAAGATTTAACAGTAAATCTACAGGCTATAGACAACCCATTAGTAAGTTATTATATATCAGTCTTTATAACATAAAGTAAATCTACAGGCTACAAACAACCCATTAGTTAAGATTTAACAGTAAATCTACAGGCTACAAACAACCCATTAGTTAAGATTTAACAGTAAATCTACAGGCTAAAGACAACCCATTAGTAAGTTGTTATATGTCAGTCTTTATACCATACAGTAATTCTACAGGCTACAAACAACCTATTAAGATTTAACAGTAAATCTACAGGCTGTAGACAACCCATTAGTAAGTTATTGTATATCAGTCTTTATAACATAAAGTAAATCTACAGGCTATAGACAACCCATTAGTTAGTTATTATATGTCAGTCTTTATAACCTACAGTAATTCTACAAGCTACAAACAACCCATTAGTAAGTTATTATATATCAGTCTTTATACCATACAGTAAATCTACAGGCTATAGACAACCCATTAGTAAGTTATTATATATCAGTCTTTATAACATAAAGTAAATCTACAGGCTATAGACAACCCATTAGTAAGTTATTATATGTCAGTCATTATAACCTACAGTAATTCTACAAGCTACAAACAACCCATTAGTAAGTTATTATATGTTAGTCTTTATACCATACATTAAATCTACAGGCTACAAACAACCTATTAGTTAAGATTTAACAGTAAATCTACAGGCTGTAGACAACCCATTAGTAAGTTATTGTATATCAGTCTTTATAACATAAAGTAAATCTACAGGCTATAGACAACCCATTAGTAAGTTATTATATGTCAGTCATTATAACCTACAGTAATTCTACAAGCTACAAACAACCCATTAGTAAGTTATTATATATCAGTCTTTATACCATACAGTAAATCTACAAACAACCCATTAGTAAGTTATTATATATCAGTCTTTATACCATACAGTAAATCTACAGGCTATAGACAACCCATTAGTAAGTTGATTTATATATCAGTCTTATATTTACCAGTAGTCTTTATTAAATACAGTAACGTGTATATCTACAAACTAAAGACAATGCAATATATTTAACTTAATTATTTATTTCAGTAAAATTTGATTTTACAAATCATGAACTTTGGTTTCAATATTATATCTAAACCAATGTAATCTGTTTTTTTTGTAGAATGGACACCATTGTTTGTAACAGTATTATTAGTAACTGTTGCTATGTTATGTAAAGAACAAGGTATCACTGTAATTGGTATATGTTGTGTATATGAAGTATTTATAGCTCAACGGGTAAATATTTTATTGGATTATTTTATATCTTTAGAAAGACACTGTTACACTTCTATCTCTATTACTTTTTTCTATTGTTTGATAGCTTTATAGAAAAATTATGGAGCACTTCTCTTATAATCTCCTGTTTCGTAAATTCTACCAGTTAACATGGTTCAGCAATCTTGACGCAATGGAGGATGCCCCTAATACACCACAGACCACGTCATTCAAGGACTACATGATCAATACTTGGGTCGACGATAATGCCTTGTTCCGTGCTGGTATATGGAATCACCACACCAACGTTGGTCCACGAAGCAACAATCACCTTGAAGGATGGCATGCGCACCTTAATAAGACTGTTCAGCGAGCCCACCCCAACATCTACAGCCTCGTGAGAGTCCTACAGAAGCTTGAAAAAGCAGAACGTAATACGATTGCGCAGCTAATACACGGTGCACGTCCTCCACCCAGCAAGCGAGTATATGTTGAAATAGACCAGAGAATCCAACGCCTTAAAGATGACTTGTTCATGCACAGAAAGACGCCTCTTCAGTTTTTGGATGCTGCAGGACACTTGCTAACAAAAAAAATGTTACGAACTGATATATAAAAAAGAGTGCTAATATATAATGAAAAGAGTGCTAATATGACCCTTTTTCTACTTGTAGTGTTATTATGTCAATTATGTTATTATTATTATACTGATATATAAATAAAAAAGTGCTATACAACTTTCTGTCTTTTGTCGCCTATAGACAATATTCCATTAAAGTGGACTTGTCCAATTAGAGGTTGGGTAGCTATGATAGCAGGTATCGCTGAAATTCACTAGTGCATGTCTTTCTTTAATTTACACTGTAGGCATTAGTGGATGTAGGCATTAGTGGCCAGAGCCGAAGTAAGTTTAATGAGATTATTAATGTGTATATTTGAGCATTTTATTATTATTTGATTAACTATACTCTTTTTTTTGTATAACTTCAAATTCGAATCTTATTTCTATTTTAGTCCTCAGGATCAGAATTGTTAGATATATGTAAAAGTTTGATTCAAGGTAAACCAGCCTTTCCTGATTGGATGAAAACTTCTATCATTAGAGCTGGTTTTCTGGTATCCAGTACCTTATTATTATTATTTGCTAGAATCAAAGTTATGGGAGCTCAATTACCAGTCTTTACTAAGTAAGTTGAGTATATAATATGATCATTCATGAGATTTTTGCCCTTTTCATCTATAATACAATTTTGCTTGATAAGCAGTATGTAATACATTGTTCTGAAAGTGGACAATACAAAATTTCATCATCCTAAAAACTATGTCAAACATAGCATTTTATTTGTGGAATTTGAGCTTTTAGTAGAAATAGGTAAATGTTTTAAATGAATAATGATAATTACGTTTAATTTAATTCACAAAAAAAGTCATCATATTCTTGTCAATGTATGTTCCAAGTACACCAAGTTCCCTTGAAACTGATAGTTGAAAGATCAAAGTATATGAGAATATATGATTTCCATGTTCTAAATTTTTATTGCAGTTTTGATAATCCTGCCTCCACTGCATCATTTCCTGCTCGTCATTTGACATATAATTATCTCCTGCCAGTCAATTTTTGGCTCCTCCTCTTCCCATCAGAATTATGCTGTGATTGGACAATGGGAACTATACCATTGATAAAAAGCATATCAGATTATCGTAATATATTCACTGTGATATTTTATTCTTGTATGATATTATTTGCCAAATATACACTCAGTGGACAGAGTAGAAGAATACGTGCTGTCATAATAGTAAGTATATTAGTGTCTTATTAAATTTTGGACATAGTCAGTTGTCTGAAGATTGCACAGCCTGAAACTCAATAGGAAATAGGACATAGGCTATTTTCACTTAAATTTTCCCAAGAAGAAGATGGTCTTAAAGGTACTGATCACGTCTTTTGATATGCTATACCCTCTCATGATTATGTTCATATAAAACGGCCAGTTTGTCATCTTAAATCTAAATATATTTACTTTTTTCATTTTAGAGTATAACATTTATGGTGCTTCCATTCATCCCAGCTTCTAATTTATTTTTTCCTGTTGGTTTTGTAGTAGCTGAGAGAATTCTCTACATGCCAAGTATGGGATTCTCAATGCTAGTAGCTATAGGCTTTGAAATCTTGGCTTCCAAAAGGTAACTCGATTGTCTGAAAGTACAATATTTACAGTAATATATTACATAGAACCAGATTAAGAATCCTGGTAGATTATCCTTTTTGACTGTATGTATGTATAAATGTTAACATCTAATGTGCCTTCATCTAAACAGATCTCAGAATATTATTGATATCTATAGTGAGATACCTAGCTTATTAAATGGTTATTATTTTATAGAAAGTCTATCATGTATTGTTTATTGGGAATATTATTAACAACACACAGCATTAAAACATTTGTCAGAAATATAGATTGGTAAGTCAACTTATTTCACATATTTTGAACATTTATATGAATTTTATCACTTCTTAAAGGAAATAATTAGAGGATTATATCATAATGTTTGAATCTACTTGCTAACTAACTTACTACATATTGAACACAATTCTGAATGCATTGTAATATATTATCTATTTCAGGGAGTCAGAATATAGTATATTTCAAGCAGCATTAAAGGTCAATAACAGAAATGCCAAACTATTTAATAATGTCGGCCATGCATTAGAAAAAGTATCAGAATATGAAAGGGCTTTAACCTATTTTCAAAAGGCTGTGAGGTGAGTATATTTTACCAAATTTCTTGTAGTTTTAATTAGTTTTGACAAAGCAATCCAAACCAGTCACAAAATGCAGACATAAAAACAAACAATACTTTAATACAACACATTAGTTGTCTGAAGATTACACTTTGTGGAAGCCTAAAAAATAAAGCACTTCAGTCATTTCAGTATTTTTTATGTGTTTATTTACTAGCTATGTGTTATATGTATTATACATGAAGTTCGTTGGAGGCCTGTGTTCAACATAGTAATATTTGTTTATATTTTTGAATTATATATATATAATGATTATTTGTAGTGTACAACCAGATGATATTGGGGCTCACATCAATGTTGGTAGAACATATAATAATATGAATTTATCTAAAGAAGCTGAACAATCTTATAGAAAAGCTATGGATTTATTTCCACCAATAATTGCAGGTATGTTTGCATGTATCATCTATTCTCTGATTTTTGCTTGGGAGCTGAGTTGGCTAAGTGAGTTAGACGCTTGCTCGCTAACCTGAAGGCTCAGGGTTCCATCCCGGCATAGGTCAAAAAGATTCCTTCAGATTGTTCAACCCGGTTTCCCCCTGTCAGTGATGCAGGTACTGAAATTGAAAAAGCGTCTAGTCGTTCGGATGGGACAATAAACCGAAGCCCTGTGTGCTACAGGCTGTGCACGTTAAAGATTCCTCAACAGTTGGATGTCGAAAAAGAGCAGGCTAATGCCGCTGTCCTGGCAAAATTTCCCTCATTGCCAAATTGTGCAGAAAAGTAGGACATAAAACTCCATTCACTTCATTTCATTTTCTGATTTTTGCTTGAAGAGATCATTGGAGCTTATTGCGCATTCAAAGATTTCTGTTTATACACTCTGTAAGATCTGTGTGGTGCTATATTTTTCAGGGTTTGAATAGTTTGTTATGGTAATATGAATATTTTATTTTAAATAATTTAATTTATAGGAAAATCATATACAGCAAGAATAGCACCAAATCATTTAAATGTGTATCTAAATTTAGCAAGTTTAGTTTCTAAAGATGAATCCAGATTAGAAGAAGCTGATAAGGTTTGATATTTAATGTGTAATTCTTTCCATTCTAAACGAGCAAGTACCTTATATAATAACAGGAAAATATTCACTTTGTGCAGTGTCTGTTTATTGTTTAAAACTCAATAACCATTTGTTCTTAGAAATGTTCTGTAAACTGTTTGTGTACTTATATTTCAGTTATTACGGACAGCTATAAGTATGAGGTCAGACTATATACAGGGCTATATTAATAGAGGAGATGTTCTAGTCAAATTAGGAAGGTAATTAGAAAGTTAATTAATGCTAGATAAATGTTCATTACATATATATCCATAGGATGTCATAATTGCAAGCATGATGTACAGTGAGATGTAGCAACTGTATCTATTATTTTGTATTATAGAAGTGAAGATGCTGTACAAGTATATGAAGATGCATTGAAAATAGAACCAGATAATGCTGATTTATATTATAATGTATGTTAAAATATTCATTGTTTGTATATAATATGTTAAAATATTTGTTGATTTACATAATTATATATGTTCAAATATTATTATTCTTGAAATATTAAGATCTAACATGCATACAAGTGATGATTTCTCAATAAAAAAAAGCAACACACTCTTCTATTTATTTGCTGTTTTGTGTTTTGAATGTTTATTTAAAAAAATAGGTCACAATTTGTTTTTAAATTGAAGTTTGAAAAATATTGGAAGCTACTGGCAGAGCTTGACAAATATTAGAAATGTTTTTTTTTTATATATTGTAGATTGGTGTTGTGTATTTAGAAAAAAAGAAGGTGAAATTGGCTCATAAATATTTTGATTTAGCACTGAAATATAACCCTAACCATCCAGTAAGTCAATCTATATATATATATTGTAAACAATATATTATCAGTCTTATAAACTGAATCTTATAACTTGTATATAATGTTCCATCTTTATCTGACATAACTTCATGAAAAGGACAGCTTATTTAAGTTAAGCTGCCAAAATAATTTCTATACAATTAAAGTGCAAAAATTTGCAAATAATTTATCAAAAATCAAATGACAAATAAAGTAAGAAGTATAAAATAAGAAGAAACATGTATTATATTGAGTAAAATGTATTACAATGAACATGATGAAGTGTTGTAATAAAGAGGCTAACACAACAGTTCTTGTTCTAAGTTTGTACTTTTATGGGTTATATCCTCATTTGATAGCAACCAATACTCTGATAATTTATTTCAACCTAATTAATTCTGTTGACTATTGTTTCAGCAAACATTATTTAACTCAGCCATCTTGTTACAAGAATCTGGTGATCCGAGTTCTAGACCTGAATCTTATAAAAGGTAATGATTATTTTACATTATGATTAATAATATGTGTATTTCATGAACTCTTTGCACCATGGTAACATACGAATGTAATAATTTCTATGGCAAGATAATTTTAAGAATTTATTTTCTGAACAACATATAAATAATAAACCAAACGATTGAAATTTATAATGTTTCTGTAATATGCCTACAGTTTGAGTTTGATGCCCTACGAAGATAAATTTGACTTGATATTTCAAACATCTTACACTGTTCGAACACTCAATACCCAGGTTTAAAACCTACTTATCTTACCTTGTCATGTTCGTCAAGATAACATCCCTATCAGGATAAGTATGAGGAAAGTCAGTTTATTCACTGATATTTTTTCTTACAGATTAGAACAGTTAAAGAAAGTATCACCAAGTGATTCTAAGATATATTTTAATTTAGCCATGTTAGCAATGGATGACAAAAACTTTCCTGAAGCAGAAATTAACTTTAAAAAGGCAATCGAAGTAAGATTACTGTTATGCTTGCTTATATGCTAAAAGTGCATGTGATATTTTTTGTAAGACATTGAGCAAACACTTATAGTTGTAATTCACCAGCCATCTGTAGCATTTTATAGATTATAATCTGACGTTCAGTTCCCCTACAATTCATCAAAAACATACTGTGGAAGTTTAGAATGTTGTCATTTGTTCAGTAAAATATTGTTCATCTAAATTATATTATGACCATTTCAGATAGATGATAAATTCCGAAGTGCTCTATTTAATTTAGCTTTAATGTATAATAATGATGTCGGTCAACCATTAAAAGCTATCCCTTATCTAGAAAAACTTTTACAGGTTAGTTTAGTGATTTTTTAATGCTTTACCTTTCACTCTTAATTCAAGATAACCTTTGACAAATCTGTATTTCCTGTTGGTCTACTTAAAAAGTTTCTAGACCAATATCTAGTTCATGTATTTATTTTATATTTAACAGTATTATCCAGACCATATTAAAGGGAACATATTAATGGGAGATATTAATCTAAATCAGATGAAGAACATTGCAGCAGCAGAAAAGGTAAGATCTGGGTTTATCTTTTGTAGAACAATTTTGACAGTTGCTTTAATGGGCAACTTTTCAGTTTTTATATGTCTACTCATGGGTTAGGAACCAAGATGGTTTGGTGACAGGGCTTTTGTTTTAAGGATTCCTAAAAAACGCTACTTTTTTTGCCTATAGTTTTTTTCTGCCTTGAAAAATTCAGCTTCTACACCTAGGCTCATAAGGAATCACTGAAAAGCTGTCACTCTTGTTATCTAGTTAGCTTTAAAATTGGATGTATTTTTGAATTGCAATTGATCGTTAATAGGTGAATTTTTCTTTACAGAATTTCTTAGATGTTTTGGCATTGGATCCCAACCATGTTCAAGCCATGCATAACCTATGTGTGGTATATGTAGATAAGGGAGACTTATTTTCAGCTGAGAAATGTTTAGTGAAGGCTCATAATCTAGCACCTAAAGAGGAATATATTTTAAAACATTTACAAATTGTCAGAACAAGAATGCAACAATATCAACACTCCCAAAAACAAGCTACAACGAAAAAGAAACCTTAGTTTTAAATTTGGTTGAAGAAAGACAATGATTGATTCTTGATTTCTTGAAACAAACACAAAGTTAGTTTAACTCAGACTTCTTTGAATGTGTGTTTTGAAATTGCAGTTTAAAAATGCTTTGAGCATACATAATAACAGATTGCTTGATGTTGGAGTAGTATTTTGTAGGATATAAGGCGTTGCAGGTACCATGTTATCCAGTTATATTAAAGAAGATATTTCGATTCTAGAGTAAAATGAAATGAATGAGTTTTATGTTCTGCTTTTCTGAACCATGTGCGCTAATGAAGACTGGAAACACCATGCAGGGTACAATGAGGGAAATTTTGCCAGGACAGTGGCATTAGCCGGCTCTTGTTTTTGATTTCCAACTGTTGAGGGATCTTAAACGGGCACACACCCGAACGACTAGATGCTTTTTCCATGTCAGCCCCTCTTACCTGCATCACTTACAGGGGGAAACGATTCTAGAGTAAATCTTATGTCATATCTCAAACAACAACACATTAAAAAACAAAACCATCTTAATAGTAAAGTGAACCTTCTGGTGTTTAATGCTCTACTGCATAGAGGTAGTGAATACAGTGCAGTGTATAAGACTATGTGAATCAAAACTACCATAACAATGTGGGTCATGTTTGTTCTGTCTCTTTAGTTACTTTATATTATTCATATCAGAAGTATTGACTGTTTATTTTTTCATCACCCAATGAATGCAAAAGCTTTTACATCCAAGCATATATACCACGGTGGTCTAATTTGTGGCTTTTAGTACAACTGAATATTTTTTAATCAAATAAACCATAATATTTGTTTAAAATTTGATTTCAAATTGGACTGTGTTATTTCACATTTTAGTATTAGAAATTATACATAATATTGTTATTGTAGATATATTCTAAATTTGTTATTTATATACAATGATCACATTCCATAATATATACTTTGTATTTTTATAGATAGTTTTATTCTAGATCTCATCATTTTATACTGCATATTATTAAATCATATCAATGTCCAACCTTAATGCATTATTATGCTTTGCCAATTTAAGAAAGAATGAAAATTGATTTTGCCCCTCTATCTCTATCTGCATGTTGATCTTTTATGGCTATAGTGCATGTTAGTTGGCAGCTTTAACCACTAGTGTACAGCCTTCACGGGGACACTGTTTTATTTGCACCATTCCAATTTTTTTTTTTTGTCAGATTTCTGTGGATATTGCAATTGCATTAAAACTTGTATAAAGCTATGAGCTACAGGCGTTTGGGACATCATTCCTATTATTACAGACACTACAGAGGACATCTGACTGTTTATGGAATGAAGCAAACAAGAGCCAAAAAGGGCCAAATAAAAAGGCTCTTTGCTAATTCAGAAACTATGCTTTTATTTGTCTGCTTTGATTTAATATTATTTGTACATGTAAGTAAACAGTCCTTTTGACTGGAGATTGTTTTGTCCTTATATTCCATAATGAAAATTGTCTGATCTATGATGTGTCAGTTTTCTTAGACTCAAGGTCATAATAAAAATTTACTGGAATACATTTGTTTCATTTAGTCATACAAACAAGAAAGATGTTCCACAACCAGTGACAGCCAGGATTTCATTTAGGGGGGCCATCTAATCACCAAATGGCATTAATGGGGGCTCTTGGAAAACTTTCTAATTTAGGCAGTGACAGTAGAATAATTTTTTTCATTTTTTCTGCCAACACCACCCTCTTAATATGTGCCACTGTCCACAACTTTGATTTATTTTTAATTTAGACCTTCATTGAGAATGTGTATAAGTTACGTTGCTCCATAAGGCCTATCATATTAGACCGAAACATCTGCCTCTATTGTAGTCTCTGATAGTTTTATATATTGACAGTTGTCAGCTGGTGTAATAATAATAATAATAATCTTATAATAATGCTATACAGAGAATTGTCACCAAAAACAAAACAGGACATGAGACACATACCATTCATACAATATAATACACCCATGGCTAATAAAGGCCTAGTACCCAATAGTACGGTAGGTCCTATAATAATTTGGTAAATATCAGTGTGACCGTTAAAATTGCTATCAGAGGCTGGAATTATGACGGATGTTTCGGACTACTCTTTTATATGGTGTAATTTATTGCTCATGTCCGATTTTAGGCCATAGAACTATCCATAGACTACACATATAGGACTACCTCTTTAAATTTGTTTTAGGCCTTATTTTCAGACTTGTTTACTGCATTCAAGTGACCTAATTTCGTGGTGACCTTAATTCGTGTAATTCCGGAAATGATAAATAATTCACATGTGACCTCGCGTGGCCTCCTCGTTTGCATGTTTTGATAAACATTAGCTATCTTTACAATGTCGACTAGCAGAAGAAGAATGAATCGAGTAGTTTCAAGCAAGGTAAAATGTATTATCATATTTTAACATTAGTCAAAATAAAATGGCGGATTTCAGTTCTAACCAAATACAACAATTTATAATCGGAATAGCAAATGTTGTCGATATAATATATTTCAGTGAACACGCCAACACGGTCACTTGACAAACAAAAGAATTCCATGTCAGCAGGAAAATTCTATGGAAGACAATGAGGGCCATAATCTTAGATTGTTTTAGGCCCTAATGCATTTTAAAGGAGCACCTTCATTATCCGTTCGATCAATCACACCTTAGTTTCAGAAACAGCTATTTAGCTTACATAATCAGTAATAATGTTCACAGCTCATCTTCTAAAGTCGAATGTTAGTGATACAATATAAAAGAAAACACGTAGGTTAAGGAGGAATAGACAGTGAAATTTCTATTTTGAGGTATATTTGAAGGGATTGTGCGATTTTTGTGCTTTTTAGTACTTCTTAAGATTATTAAAGCACAATAAAGACCCAAATCAATCACCGAAAATATTGACTCTATAATAAATTATGAAATGATTACTACAAATTTGAAGAAGCAAATTTTATTTTCATTAAGGATGATTTGAGATGAACAAAAATTCAACAAAACATAAAATTGGAATTATTTGCTAAAACATTTTCGTATAGATAGGTTACATAGACCGTAAGCGAGTCGTAATAGCTGTGACCAACTTGGCTGATACTCCAGTGGCTAAGTTGGCTTAGTGGCTAGACTTCATTTGACTTCAGTTTACTTAAGAACTGCTTCACATTATAAAGTATAATTTAATAAGATGAATTACTTTAGCCTGAAATAAAGGGAGGCAAACATTTTTTTTGGGAATATTAATTTCTAAAATAATTTTGTAAAGTTATGATTATTGAGTCACACCAGGCAGTGTACAATGTAGATTAGATGCTTATGATACCCAGCAGAAGTTTCATACACTAATCAATCGCATAAGTTGATTTCTGATCAGCATTAAGCTGCTCATCCACCTCGGCGGTTAGTCAAATGAACCATGATGGCGGCTTCAAAAGGTCAACAGTGACTGATGGCGGTGGTTTACATGTCTATAGATACAAAATAACATTACAAAATAATATTAGCCTACAATGTATTTATTTATATTTTACAGAATGAGCTCAAACGACAGAAATATAGGTCATACTCTCCTACAATGCTGACGAATGCCTATGTTGATGTAATTGATAAAAAGCTGAATGTGTCTAAGGCAGCCAAGAAGTATTGTGTTCCTATCCAGACATTAAGAGATCGTGTATTAGGCCACATTTCTATTGATAATGTAAAGTCTGGACCACCACCAGTTTTTGACTGTGAGCAGGAGGCTCGACTGGCTGAGCACATCAAAGACATGGCATCATTAGGATATACCTACACCAGGGCTGAAATGATAAATCTGGGAAGCGAGTATGCTGTTCATTTAGGCATAAAGACAAAAGATGATAAGCAGCTGTCAGCGAAATGGTTCTACAACTTCATGACTAGGTGGCCCGAACTAAAGATATGGAAACCAAAAACCATCTCAGAACAAATAGCAAAGGCAACATCAAGAGTATCAATAAACAGGTATTTTGATGAGCTTGGTAAAATTATGGACAAGTATAATCTTAAAGACAAACCAGAGTGCATATACAATGTTGATGAGAAGGTTTTACAATCAAATTATAAACCACCAAATGCTGCTTCAGAAGAATCTGTATCATCAGAAAAAGTACAAACGGCTACTATAATAGGCTGTGGCAATGCCATAGGACAGCAAATCCCACCTTATTTTATTTTCGCTGGTAAGCGTATGAGACAGGAATTACTAAAAGGAGCCACACCGGGTGCAGATGGTGCCATGAGTGAAACAGGATGGTCAAATTCTGATGTATTTCAGTCATACCTTGAAAATCATTTTATTAAATATGTCACTGGTTTGCGGGGCAAACACATTCTTCTTCTGTATGATGGCCATAAAACTCACATTACACCGGATATCATTGATTGGGCAGATGAGAAAAAAGTCATCTTGTATGTCCTGCCTCCTCACACCAGTCATGGTCTACAGCCTATGGATGTTGGTTGCTTTGGACCATTTGCAAGAATTTATATTGCAGAATGTAACAAATTCCAACGCTCTCATTCAGCTGTAATTAACAGAAACAATATGTGCTCCATAGCTTGCAAGTCATACAGTTCTGCACTCTGTCCTTCTAATCTGCAATCTGCCTTTCGAAAGTCTGGTATTTATCCATTAGACAGAGAAGCCATAGACCAAACCTTGTTTACCATCTCCGATACTATTCAAAAACAGGACCAATCTGAAGAGAACTGCAAAGATGAAGAAATCCATGTCACAAATGATGAATCAACTGAACCAGTTAAGATGGAAGATATTAATTCTGAACCAATAAACCAGGAAGATGATAACATTCAGATCTCCTTTGCTGAAGGAATTCCAGAAGATACAAAACTTTCAAAGAAAAAATTACAAAAAAAGCAAAGACAAAATAAAGCAACAAAACGATTGAATAAAAAAAAGGTAATATTCTAAATAAAGGGATTAAACCAAAATCAAATAATAGGCCAGATTCACAGCAACCAGTGCCATCAGGAATGCCCAAAGTGGTTCCCTTTGATGATTCTTCTGAAAATCGTGTTGATATTGCAAGATGTGACAAAGGAGCTACAAGAATGTATCTCCATTATATTCACGTAACTGGGCCAAATGTGAATCTAAATATTGCACTCGTTGGACATATCTGATTTGATCTTTTTTACGCTTCTAGTCACCTGATACGACTATTCATAAAATAATTCTTCATCATTTATAATTGAAAAGTTCATTTCCTGCTCCTGTTATTTTGGATTTAGAGGTTCGTTGGGATTGTTAACACTTGGGTTTTATATTGAAGTTATTTTGATTTAATGGTGCCAGTTAATTATTAGCAGTTGGAAAATTGAGTTGTGAACATTTTTTTTATATAAATTTGAGTAAAGGTTAAAATGTGTTTTTGCTCCACTGGGCTTCCATACAATAGATCTTTTACCACGAAAATAGGTCACGTAGTCCACAGCCATTGCCAATGTTTTATGAATCCCTCGATTTGACCAACATTACATGCCTGAATTTTTATTTTTTTATTGAATATCTGAAGAAACTTTTGAGACTTAAAAATGAATTTGTTTTTGTTTCAAAAATCGGTAATGAATCCTTAGATATGCACAAATATGTTCCACTACGGCACTAGGACCTAGGATACAGAGTAGTGAGTACCGGTACTGTAATTTAAAACATATTACAAATACAATAGGCTAGTTTACTCATAATGAGATAGCTCAGAGATATTCTAATTCTATAAAAGTTATCAAAGAGAACACATATTATTCCCTTTCCATTTTAAATTTCGGGAGGATACCTTCGTTAATGACCAAGTTATTCTAGCGAGTTGCAGGCTAGGCCTATTTACTCCAATTAATTCTTCAAAATTGGGAAATTTTTACCACGCCCATTTTTGTTTTAACGGTCTTAGATTTTTTTTCCAATTTTTGGGGTTCTGATTTCACTTTTTCCAACTGAAGACGAAAACCAATCTACAAGGACAAGAATTTTTATCTTATTTTTTCAATTTGGATTAAGGCAAGGGGCAGCAGCCTTGCAAGTTCTCCATTATTGTCAGATGCAGTTTGTGGCGATTTTAAGACAAGTTATAATTAATTATCCACATAATTTCATCTTAGCAAAGCCTTTCGTTTGCCGACAGGCCGCAGTCATAGACATCTTTCGATTCCAAATTCTTATTTTACGCCATCCTTTTATGCAAGGGGCGTAATTCATAATTTATAAAATGGCGATAAAAATCAAAACACGTGTGTAAAAACTAATATTTTGTTTACAAATCTATATTGTCCGGCGTTAAAAAAGAAATGGATCCCCCACCAAATGACGAGGATGTTGCATCTTCCAGCCGAGAGCCTTTGGATCATATTGAAAACATTGATATCTTTTCTCAGACAACTTTGAAAAGTATATTAGAAGCAACAAAAAGCTCAAATAGCTTACCAACTGGTGATGATTATGATTTTTATTCTACATTTAGTTCTGTAAGAGATGTGTTGGAAATTGAAAGTCAGAGGGTCCTGTCCTTAGTAGATGGCATACTCAACCAACAAAATGTCAAAGGGAAGCTCTCCAGAGCAGGTGACATTGAAGACAAGTTTGACATCTTGACAGAAGCTAATGATCACATTTTAGAAAGAATAGGCACCAACTTGGATGAAGCCTCAGGCATTAAAAGAACTGATACTAACTTAGTGATTTCTTCAATATCTGCAAATCGTGGTCCAATCACAACATCATGGAATAAGAAAAAGGGAAGTCAAGAATCCCCTTCCAGTTTTCGTCTTCTAGCAGCAAAGAACACACCAAGACCACAGTTTAAGTTTAAAGATAAAATTGACAATTCAGAAAATCCATTTGTTCCTAAAATATCATCTAAACCTAATGCCAAATTGTCCTTAGAAGAAAGTATTAAAGTGAAGGACTCAGAAATTGAAGAATTTGTTTCATATTCTCATCCGTATCAATATGAATTAGATCACTTCCAGCCTGCAGATAGTCAGTTACAGACGAAAGAGCCGCAATCTTCAAATTCAATGTCTGACACCCCATTCACTCTGATTGATACTGTGAAAGGATTCGAAAAACTTTTAAAGAAACTGAAACATGTGAAGGAAATAGCCATTGATTTAGAAGCCCATTCATACAGGACTTACCAGGGTATAACTTGTTTAATGCAAATCTCTACTCGTTCTGAAGATTTTATAGTTGATACAATATCATTACGAAGTGAGTTGAACATGCTCAATAAAGTTTTCACAAACCCTGGTGTTCTGAAGGTTTTTCATGGTGGAGATATGGATATAGTTTGGTTGCAAAGAGACTTTGGGTTATATGTTGTGAACATGTTTGACACCGGACAGGCAGCTCGTGTATTAAATTTTGAAAGGTTATCATTAGCCCACCTTCTTAATGTGTACTGCCAAGTTGAAGCCCAAAAGCAATACCAACTTGCTGATTGGAGAATTCGTCCTCTACCAAAGGAATTGATTGAATATGCTCGAACAGACACACATTATTTACTTTACATCTATGATAAATTACGCAATGAACTTCTGGAACATGGAAATGATCAGAAGAATTTGTTGTGTTCGGTTTACGACAGAAGTAAACAAATTTGTTTAAAAACTTACAAGAAACTAGTCCTGAATGATGACACACATTTAGAACTGTATAGAAAAAGTAGGAAAGTGTTTGACAGTCAGCAATTATCTTCTCTAAAACAATTGTACTCATGGAGAGACAACATAGCTCGACAAGAAGATGAAAGTACAGGATATGTTTTACCTAATCATATGTTGTACAGATATCATCTATTTACCAAGGGAGAAACAAGGAATTTTAGCCTGCTGTAATCCTATTCCTCCTATAGTCAGACAATACATCAATGAAATTTATGCCATTATTCAAGATGCTAGAAGTGTACCTGTAGTGAAAAAAGAAAAGAAAGCTGTGACTGAAACCAGCTCTAAAACATCAACATATGGAGATAATACTTCTATCTTCAGTCCTCATGATTTGTCCAAATCTAATTCACTCACATTTTCTTCCATTTTTGATCCTAATCTTGTTGCTAGCTCTGGTTCAATGTTCCAACCAACTGCTTCATTCCTAGTTTCAGCCAACCCAATTATTTCAGCTTTTAGCAAATCGCATGAAATGTCCACCTTATCTAATGCTGCGAAAAAGGCTGCTGAAATAAAAGAAAAGCTGACTCAGCCATTTGATATGTTCCTACCTGGCATTGAGACAAAATGTAAGAATACCTGGCTTCTTAAGCCAAGTACAAATACTACACAAAAAGAGTCTACATCAGCTCCATCTTATGTCCCCCCAGCAAAAAGAAAGAGAGTGACAAATATCAAAGAGCCTTTAATAAACCAAATCCGGGAACAAAAGCGGCAGAAAATAGGGGACAAAACTGCACCCAATAATACTTCTGATACCGGTACACCAATTGCTCCTACCAAACAGAAAAAGAAAGACAAAACAAATTTGACTGATAATTTTAAACCATTTGATTATAAAGCAGCTGACAAATCTATATTTCAATCACAATTTGCCAACAAATTTGACAAGAAGAAGAAATTCAAAAAACGTTGATTTCCTATTATTGGATTGTTTCTTAATTAATGCCCAGATTTCTATATCGCTCTACAATTGATGTATTGAGCACTATTTTAACAGTGAAAATATTTTATTATTGTAATGCTCAAATATAATTATCATATATAGTAATTCAATTAGCTTTGCAAAACATTAAACTTGAGTCAACTAGGGGGATGTGGTGGGTGCTTCAGCAGAGTATATTGAGCCTAAAATTCTAAGATATGGTTGATGTTATTTTGAATGAAACTTTAAATTTGTAGTGTATATTTTACACCTATGTTGGTGCATAATGTTTTGTTAAGAAATAAAGATATGTTATGACTATACCGAGTGGAAATGTTTCATGATTTGAAATCATACAACAAGCTGGAAGTGGTTGGAAAGACTGACATGGCAACAGCATGTAGTTTGATAGTATGAAAAAGACAGATGTGAGCTATTTCACAATGCATAACATTGCCCTCATTAGTCATTTTTCTGCAATTCAAATTTTTATTACTTTCATGACATGAAAAATAAAAGTATATATTTTCAAAGATTTCAATTTTATTATTCACAATAATAATAACAAATCTTAAACAAACAATTGACAATTAATCTAATGTTTCTTTCTAGAACCCTTAACATTTCTATTCTTTCCCTTTACAACTCTCTTCTTGTCATCTCTCTTGTTATCTATATCACCTCCAGCCTTCTTATCTATCTTCTGTTTCTTAAACATTTCTTCTTTATCTATAGGTTTGATAATGGCACCAGCCTGGGTTACTACTTTAGGTTGTATCATTCTATGGAAAGCTTTCTCTGGATTCCATGTATTACCAATAGGTTGACTAATACTCTGTTCAAATTGTTTAATATTCAAAAACTGTCTTGGTAAATCTTTTACCTAATAAATATAAAATAATAACTCTAACCTAATCTTGTTTTAAAATAGTCATCAGTCTATATTTGTCTTGCAATACTTATACGGGTACATGTATAGTTGTATATGTAATACTTTCTAATGCTGGCGGCAGATTAGCCTATTTCGGCCGATCGTGATAATGACAATTTGTTTGTGTGTCCGCTCATGTTGACAAAATATTATATATTTTCTGTCGATTATTTATGCAGGCGATTAAATTAGCTCTTCTGCACCCAGCATAAGAAAGCATAATGTATTTGAAGGCCAAAGACTATAAATCAATGAAATAATGGACAAATACCCTAAAATTCTAACAGTGCTGGTTACAAAGAGGTCTGTTTCCTTTTTGTAAAAACAATAATTATACAATGGAGAGAGTTCCAGAGTTCAGTATTCTGTCAATCTCATTCAAAATAGAACTATCAGATAATACCTGATGCTGTGCCACAGCAGTATCTTTCTTCTCATTCATTATAACATTACCCATTCTAGAATCTCTTCTCTGTGGTGCTTTCTTCTTTATGGTAAATCTAGAATAATAATTATATAGTTCTTTGTAATTATGTTAAATATTACAGATTGTGGAAGCGCCGTAATTTAACTTTGTTAAAAGACTATGATAGGTTTAGTTAGCTTGGCAAGCAAGCTAGATGTGACATTATGTTGAAAATTTACAATGAAGAAGTGATCTACATAATATCCATCAATGTAATCAGAAAATGTCTAGTTGAAGGATTTATATCCCACAGTGAACAAAATGTTTTTGATAAAATGGCATATTTTCATGCCACTGGGCCATAATTCTAATGAACATGATCAAAAAAAGAATTTAGTCAGATCAAAGTAAAGTTGTAGCCTGCAGAAAATAATGAAATATCTTGATTCGCATATTAGTCTGAGTAAATGTTTATACCACATGTGTAATAGCAATGACATTGTAAATAACAATGAAAACCTACTTTTTCTTCTTTTTCTTGCTGACTTGTAAACCCTCACCACCCCAATCTCCCCAGCCAGGTAATACTAGACTGATATCTTTAGGTTTACTCTCATCTATAATATCTTTCTTTTCTAGCGTGAACTCTTCAATAACATCATCATCGGCAAACGCTTCAGCTATAGTCATTCTCTGATCATCATCAACAATATCTTCATCATCTTCATTAGTGACTATTTCACTTGTCTCTTTAATTTTGATGATATCTGGTTGAATTGTAAATAACTTCTTGGGATCAACAGATGCATTCTTATTTTTGTCATTTTCTTTCTTTTTATTGTCCTCTTTTTTGGTTTGAACAGTAACTTTCTCCTCCTCTGACCAATGTCCTTCCATATCTTCCATTGTGGTTTTTCTGGTGGTAGAAATAGACATTGATTCATCATGCATTTCCTTCTTGTCTGTTTCTATCTTCTTGTCTTTCACTGCAGTTTTCTTCAACAGTTTTTTCTCCTTCTTTGACAATTTCTTATTGGTTTTTAGTTTCTCTGTATTTTCTAAAATATTAAACAAGTCTTCAATATCTTGTTTCTCCTCTGTAATATCAGATACCTCGTTTATTTCATTAGATTGTTGATTTGCTTCTTTAGCTATCTTTTTGGGTGTCTTTTTCTTCTTCTTTTTTGAAGAACCAGTAGATTCTTCTTCTTTCATTGATTCAGTCAGTCGTTTTTCTAGCTCTTCATTCTCTGAAGTAACTTCATTCTCTAATTCAGTTTTATTTTCAATACCTTCATTCACATTTGATAAATCAAACACTTCAATCTTATCATGTTTTCGTTTCAGTTTCTTCCGTCGTTGAGCTTCTAATTCCAGCAAATTAGTTTCACTCGTTGAATTTTTAAAAGTTAAAATTTCCTCCTCAGATTCTGAATCTATTAGGTCATCATCATTCACAAGTTTTTGTGTGATTTGTTTTGGCCTGACAAACTCTGATGTTTTAGATGGAGCTTTCATCCAGGGATTTTCACTATCTAGAGTAGCTGATATCATATTAAGTTGTTGATCTTCATCCATACTGATATTACCATCTGATTCATCACTAGATACATACTCTTTCTTTGTTAATTCTTTATTTTTACTTATCATATCTTGTACTGCTTGTCGTGCCTGCAATACAAAGTCAATCATAGAATTATCTAGACCTGCAAATTCAGAATAGAAAATTTACATGGTTGGAGCCTGTTTGTCTATTTTTTTTAAAAGTTCGTCAAGATAGAAACAAATCCATTTGTAATTTTTGAGACATCTTACAGAAGGATATTGGATATATCAGTTAAATTTATTTCGGCAGTCTTCATTTGGGCATAAGAAAACCATTATAGAAGGTTTTTTCCACAAGTTTAATCTAAAGGGTCAAACTTACCACTGGATCATATCTTGCATACATCATTTTCTTTCTAGCAAACTTACTACCACCTCTATGTTTTAAACTCATTCTTTCCTGAAGAAAAATAATATATTTCAAATACAATACAAATAACTGAAGCTACATATAAATGTATTTAGTAGGAAAAATTCAAAAGAATTTTCAACTTGCATGGACACTAGGTGTTTGTTTCTTTCTCAATGCTTAGATCTGTTGCTATCTGACCATGAAATATAGACATAGGATCATCAACTGTATAAAGTATCAATCATATTCTGAATAGTATTGAAATTTTGAGAATAATTTAAATCATCACATGAAAAGTTAATAAATAACTTACTTCAACTCGTGCTTTATCTGCATATTCTATTTTTTCTAAATATTTCTCAGGGTCTGTCTTCTGTAGACTATCTAACTCTTTTTCTTCTTTTTTCATTTTCTCTTTACGCAAGATTTTACGATATCTGAAATAGTTTGCACAAAAAAATTCATGAATTATTATGATTAACATAATCCGCAATAGAGATTGTCATTTGTCAATCTAAAATAAATATACATGTGTATAACCAAATTGTCACTGCCAATAATTTCACAACTCTTTCACATGAATATAACGTAGTTTAAAATTCCAAATTCATTACAATTTTTTGTTAATAATTGAAGATGATTATATGAACATTCTTACCCTTTACTCTTGATTTTTTTCTGTCTTCTAAACCTGGTTTCACTATAAGTCATTAATGCCCTGAATTTCATTAATTCTGCCCTTCTTTCTTTAGCCTGCAAAATAAATTTAAAAATAAGGTCTCAAACTCTTTTGTTGTCTTCAATCTGTTCAAGATTTACATGGTGAACATGGTTGGTTGGTGTATGACAAGTTAACATCAGCTTCCAGTAAACTGATATCACAGATAGTGAAAATTCTATAATTACACAGAAAAGAGATAGATTCAAAGATATTTCACAATAAAATATTACCTCTTCTAAACTCATAGCTTTTAGAGCTCTTTCTTCAGCTTTAGTTAACATTTTAGTTTGACATTCTACATTATCACTACCATGTAATAATAAAGCAATTTCTCTTTCTAATGGTGTACGTGGCTAAAATATGAAGCATTTAATTAGTCACTTAGTATCAATATCATAAAATATATCATATTAATCTCATTAAAATGTTCAATGTTATCAACTATGCATATAGAAATCTATGATACAGTTTCGAAGAATTCTTTTTTAATTTATGTTACCCAATGATACAAAATTACAAGATTTATATCTCATTATTCAATAGCAGCGTATTCGACACATACATAATTTACAGACCAATATTTTGGCTTGAGGAATATATATAAAGTATATAAAGTATGTTAAAATAGAGTTTTACCTGAAACCTTTTAGTCATTTCATCTGATGTTTTTAAACTATAGTTTGGTTGTTGTAGAGGAAAAGTCAACTGTTCAGCTTTTCTATTTTGCTGAATTAAAGGCTGCCATTTTGATACTTCTTCTGTGATTGCTTTATACGCAATTCCTCTGACTAGCTAAAAGGATAAACAAAATACATAAATCATAAGTACCTTGGTAAGAGCATTGGAACCTTGGCATTTGTATAAGTTTAGATACATAGAAGAGATGGTGTTTATTGGTTGCACTGTAAAATCAACTTAAGTCATCTTTACCCATTATTCTTCTTAACTTACTCATGTGTAAATAGATACTATTCACCAAGAAAATTTAATTCAAATGGACTCTCTAATTGAAAGAGCTACAGGATCCTTGAGAATCAAAGCTGCAATCCTTCTGTCTTCCTGTATATATTTCAAACTCATTTGTCAAGTTTTCCTATCATGCAATCCAATCTTCATAATAAATTTTTTTTTTATCAAAATACTTACTCTCTCTTGTTGAGGTTTCTCTAATGGTATATCAGCAATCTTTTCATTTCCTATAGATTTAACTTGTTTCTTTAATTTACCAGCTTGATTTGATGTATTCAATGTACTGATTAGATCACCAATGTTAATTTTAGATCCACCTGAAAATAACATACAGAACTGATATTAAAACTGATGTATTTATTCCAATCTTCTTGAAACAATGCAAATGATGAAAAAGAATGGTATAATACCCAAATGCTCAAATACAATCACATGATGCATAGAAACAGAAATCATTACAATGATGTTCTTTGTTAATAGAATTGAGAAATGCTCAAGACATCAAGGGATAGTTTCTAGATTTTACTAGAGCAGTGGATTGAGATCACAATTGGATATCATTTCCTACCTGTCTTATTGAAACCAAATTCTGAAACATCGGCTGAACCGATAGTTCTTTCTATAACTTTCTTTCTGAAAAATACACACAACTGAATGAAGAAGGTTCCAATTATCAACTATGGTTCAAAGAATATATATATATATATATATAGATATATAGATAATAAACAATATATTATCAGAGAACATTCAGGTCAGATTGAGTGATTTTTGACCAGTTGAATAACCGATTTTAGATTCTTGGCTTAGGTATGTCAATTCTTAAATGTCAAATATGAATTCCATGTTCATGTAATTCCACAATGCAGATATTGTTATATATTCACCATAAAGTCTAAAACAGTAAAAGATATAAACTTACTGATCATTTTGAGTCATGGCCTTGATGGATGCCATCAAACTAGCATGTTTCTCTTCTAAATCATCTTCCTAGAATCAAAAATACTTGATATAATGAAAATTATTACAATTTAGTCTTCAATCCATCAATTGATTGCATTGTATCTGATCCGTGATCTGAACCTTTGGAAAGAAATATGTTTGGTTCATTTTAGAAATCAGGGTTGGAAGAAAACAATCTCTTCTTGTCAGAAGTTAAGCTGATGAATTAAATTTACTCAAACCTCATCTTCACTCATATCACTCCCATCTTCCAAGATTAATTTAGGTTCATACTCTTCTTCTTCATCCAACTCTTCCATTTGGTTTGCCTACAAATATTCAACAGTTTATAACCACTCTGATGCATGCAACAAATTGATGACATTTTTGTATAAATTGTACCAAACAATTGAATTTATTATAGATTAATTGTTGGCACCAGGTTGATCATGCAACAGCTATAAGACTTACGCAAGTCTCATTTATTGTTTAGCAGGCTTAGCTATGTAGGAATTGTGGGGCTTAATTTTTAGTGTTATATTCTGTATTTTCTTGTCTTCTACTGTATGCAGTTTATAATATAAGACATGTCATAACTGAATTATCAACAAGATGAATCATTGTCATGATTGTGAAGACTATGGATTGTGGTTATAATCAAGAGCTAAACCTGACTATATCACAATGGTTAATGAAAGAGACAACTATGTTATTAAACTAAGGATGATGACACCACTTGGAGCTTCCAAAAAGAAACTTTTTGCAACAAGTCACAATTCTGAGTTTACTTTCACTATTTTTAGCCATATCAACTTACCAATATAGATTCCATGATGGAAGTCTATCTCACAGATACAATATCAATTCAAAAGGTTGGGAGAAAACCAGGATAAGTCTTATACAGGCCTGGCCATGAAGGTATTCCACAAAAGTAGGTTAAACAGGCCTTACAGAAGTTTTTGCCTATTACCACGTGAGATTTGTTTTGGAAGACCTTGTAACAATTGTCGTAAAATAAAAAAAAACTTCAACTGACTTATAAATAAATTAATATTTAATAAACATATATTTTATCTCGTAATGTATGTGTCTACGGTATGTTTTCAATAAAGTGCAAATAGAACTCATAATAATAAAACAAACGAATCAAATGTTTGCGACATTATTGTTGATTTTTGTACGGATTGACACCGGAATTATGACCCCGTTACTTGCTCGGGTCATGGAAATGTAAAAATGCTAAAGCATACCAGAAATATCATGGATTTAAAGGAAATTTCATTTTAGATCAATCTTCAAGTTATTCGATTGTCAATAATCCTAGGTCATCACTTACAAAATAATTCATGGCTATCATTGTCAAAGATTCAAGGTCATACCTGTCAATAATTCAATTATTAGGCTTCTCCCGTCATATCGTCAATAATTCAAAGGGCATCATGGTCATTAATTTAAGGTCGTTTCGGTCAATATTCCGAGGCCATCCCTGTCAATAATTAGGGGTTGTCTCTGTTAATAAATTAAGGTCATCCTTGACAATAATTCAAGGCCATCCTTGTCAATATTTCAAATTTGTCTCTGACAAGGATTCAAGGTCATTCATTGGAGGTCATTTTGGTTAATTATTCAAGGTCAATCTTGTCAATAATTTAAGGTCATTTCGGTCAATAATTCAAGATCATTTCGGTCAATTATTCAAGGCCATCCTTGTCAATAATTCGAGGCCATCCTTGTCAATAATTTAAGGTCATTTTGGTCAATAATTCAAGGTCATTTCTGTCAATAATTCAAGGCCATCCCTGTCAATAATTCAAGGCCATCCTTGTCAATAATGTAAGGTCATTTCGGTCAATAATTCAAGGCCATTTCTGTCAATAATTCAAGGCCATCCCTGTCAATAATTCAAGGCCATTCTTGTCAATAATTCAAGGCCATCCCTGTCAATTTGATATTCTAACTGTTTGTATATCATATAAAAATAGGCCTACTGTGTAAAAGTTTTATTGTTAAAAATATAACCAGTATGAGATAAGCACTTGGGAGAAAACATTTAAAAAAGAACATTATTTAAGTATTCATGCTATATAACAGAAAGTAGCTTGTCAACTATTTTGTAATGAACAATAAATAGTAAAAAAAAAAACACTTCTAAAAGCAAATTTTGAGCAAATTTTGAATTATGAACTAGAAAGCAATGTGCATTATGACTAGTAAAATATGATCAAAATTAAAATTATATAAAAATGGTATTATATTAACATGTGATATTTCAACTATATTTGTGAGTTGTGCCAAAATAAATATTTACACATACAACATTAATACATTTTGATATTAAGCCGTTCATTGCTACTTCCACAAAATGATATTCATCAATGGATAATAATGAAAAGAATATCTTCATCAAAATGTTCATTAACGTTGCCAATTAATTAAGTCATAAATATCCATATATTTTGGTCCAGTTAACACCTTAAAAAGTTGCATGCCCTATAGTAAAGCTGTACACAAAAACAAAACAGATCTGTATGTGAAAATCATATAAAAGGTAATTGAACAACATGAATGTGACTATCATCTTCATTTTTCAAGGGTGTAGAAAAATATGATTTATGCTGATAAAATTAATATAAAAAATGTTAAGAAAATATATTTATGCAGTATTTCAAAGGTATCAAAAAAAAAAAAAATATTTATGGATGTCTCCAAGTCCAAGCTGTCTATTTTTTTTTTCAATAACGATCATAGTATATTTAAATTTAACAAGAACTTTTGTGTGTTTATAGTACAATAATTAAAAGTAACTTGCACTTGTTGTTTAAAAGTTAAAAAATAAAACATATACATATACAAAATATTTGACTTAAAGCTCTAAATTGTAAAATACACATCAAAATGATGCTATAATTAATGATTTATAAAACTTGTTGGTCGATGTTACTTAAATATTTTACTCTTGAAACACAATATTATGGTTTATCCTTTATAGAATTGAATGTAACCAGTTTACTTTTAATTGGAATAATGACAAAAAATATGAACAATATAAAGCGAACCTGAAGAAAATGTTCATTCTCAGCAAAACATTGCCTGTACCCTTATCCTTGATTGAAAAAATTTAATCTAATTATATTGATAAAAAATCGTAAAACACATAAGAAAATATAATGAAAAAAATTTGATTGAATTGACCATGACTATTACCCTTTATATAATGAAAAAAATATAAATAAAATTCTGTACAAGCAAAACAATTCCAGTAACCGAAAATCTGGTCCAAAACATGACAAAATTGGGAGCGATAATAGTATAGTAGTAGAAAAATATGAAGCATTTAAGATCAAATTTTGGTATATCATTACCTTTTATATTAAATAATGAAAAAATATGAATCATTGCAGATTGAACACATTACCTTTAAATACTATAAATTATAAAGTAATTTTGATTGATTTAAAAATAGTTATAAAATATATTTGATTGAATGCTATAATATTGAAAAATATATTATTAGAAATATTCTAATTGAATGGTTTAAAAGTTTGAAATACAAACAATAGAAAAATATACTAATACACATTTCTTAAAACATAAAATGCTGAAGTAATTTTAACTTAGTTACACATAAAAATTGAAGTGTATAGGCTTCAAAAAATAATTTCAATATTAAAATATTTGTGACTATTTAGTACATAGTGTTCAAATAATGTACATTTAAATCATTCTGCTTACAAGACTAGATAAGAATCTTACCCGCTTATCTTATGGTATCAATGCTAGTTTTAAGTTTAACAATACTGTGGAAAATGCTGATATCAATTTATGGCTTAAAGCGAAAAGTCTTCCAATCTTGATGTTTAAGTTTTCTAATTCTGTGTAATCAGATAGAAATTAAGATCTATGAAAACTAACCTTTTATTCAGGTTATAATATTGCGTTTTAATTATATATAAATCCAATGCTAGATTTTCATTCTACAAAATGTTTGTACTGAAAACTGAGAAGTAGGTTTTGATGTTGAGAAAAAAGCTTCCTTGGTATTACTTAACATATATATTAATTTTCATTCTCTGATTCCTACGCTTTTTGCCTTCTGTTCCTCTATTATTAATATGGGCCTAATTTTTGTTGTCACCTTCATCGTCTCCTGGATCTTGTAGTGTGAATTTAGATGGAAGAGGCTTTGTAGGTTTATCTAATGGTACCAAAATATCTAGCTGCTCCCTTTAATGTAAAATTCAAAATTATGAATAGATTAAAACAAGATAGTTAGATACAGGCCTTAACAAACTACAATCTGTCGGATTATACAGATTTTTCTGAGTGATGGGACCACTGATTATTGTCGTAATTCGGAATATGCAGAGTTTTTTTTAACTAGCCTAAGAAGGAAATCAATTGGGACTAGAAAATGATGTCGGATTACGCAGAATGTCGGAATACTCAGATGTCGGATATCACAGAGTACACTGTAATTAATTTATCTGTACATAACTTAGAAGTTCTATATCATATTCTATCTTAAACTGAAGCTTCATTATTGCATAGAAGATGTTTGATATATATTTACTTAAGGTATGCTTTAATGATTACTTGACAATACTTAAACCTCAACGCCATCAGAAAGTTATAAGTAAAAGTTTGTAAAAAGAACTCCATCTAAGCTCAGCTATGCTCAGCTACATTGTTTTTGAAATTGCCGTTACCAGTACAATTCTTAATGATTAAATTCTTGAAATTCAAACTACTTACTGCATTCTAGTCAGAATATATTCTTGTTTAGCCATTCTATTTTTAATGGTAATAAGATTGAGTTTATGAGATTCAAGACCATCATGTAGATCTAATATAGTTTTATTCATTTCATTTAATGGTGGAGTTTCCCATTTTACCAATAATTCTTGTGGATTCTTTATATCTTCTCTTTCTAAGTAATGGGTTACTCTAAATCCCTAAAATGTTCCGAATATGAAATATTACAAAAAGATAAACAATATGGTGTTAATAATACAATTCTATAATTTCCATTTATATACTGAATAGGTATAAGAATAATTTCCACCTTAAAAATATAGAGGGTAGAGCATTGAAAAAAGAAAATAGCAGAAATGATCAAAGTTTAGACAGAAATGTAAATTCAAAATTTTGAGCTCCTTTTACATGTGCAAAATTGGAAGATTTTTAAGAATATTTTGAAGATTCAACCAACCTTTCCTATTCTGATACTATTTAACTCTACACGTGCTATGATCCATGCTCGATTTAACTCCAACCCACGCTGTGCATCCCGTTGAACGTGTTGATAAGTATCAGACAACTGAGCTATTAATATGTTTAATAACACTACACAACACGTAAATAGAAATATCACCATTAGTATACAGCCTAGTGCACTGAAAACACATTATTATTATTATTAATCATTATTATTACGTACAATAAATTGTTAAAGTAACAATGGATGATAAAAGGTAGAAAGGAGGCTTAAACATTGAGGAATAGAGACAAGGATGTGATCCATATTAATCACAAAATAGTCCTCAATGTTGGTTAAGGATTATGATGCCCCTTATAATAGAAATTTCTGAAGAAAAATAGCTGAATGTATATGAATCCATAGAAAACTCATCAGAAGTAGATGCCAAATATCCATTATATATTCTGTTTTCAGAAACATAGATACTCATTGTTCTAGAGAACTGTTGCAGTGACTATGGCAGTTCTCTGTAGCCAGGATCTTATAAAATCTTGAGATGACAGTTAAAGAGTCAGGAATGTCAGTTTCAGTGTAGTGAATAGGATTCAGCATTTATTAGAAATATTAATTGGTTAAATTTCACTAAAACATTCTGTGTGGAGATCAAATAGAAACTTACCCATATCCTCTATCACCATAATATTCTGTCACAGGTTCAGCTTCGATTAAAATTCTTATACCAGACAACAGGATCTCCCAGAATGAACTTGTAAAATACAAAATAATTTTAGGGTTTAAATTAAGAATGTATCACATGGAATGGGATGGCTGACTTTAATACCATACATGATATTTTTAACATTCATATATTTTTAGTAAAGCTATTTTTCTTTAAATTTAATAATAATATCTAAACTTTTCTTAATGCATTTTGGATGCTGAGCTAAGTGTTTATGAGCTGCTAATAATACCTAAGGGCCTGAGCTTTAGTGACATGAAACGCTTAGTTTAGAAGACTTGCAACTGAATTTAGTTATTAAAAACCTCACCTAGTTTCAGAGTGAAGCTGTAAGGAATTTTCTCCTCTTAAAGCAAGAACAAATGATCCACTAAAGGCAACCAAAATAACAGTAAACACAGATAGAAACTGTAGGAAATCATGACCAACAATTCTCCATAATATCTGAGCATAGGCACCAGTTTGTCTGTAATAATGAATAATTCCATAACATTCAAATTTTTGTTATTAACCTCAATCTTGCCTCATGTGATCATGTGAAATGATTTTCTTCCTTTCTGTTTTAGCTTATTTCAACCACAAACCCATGACATCAGGGTTGACGGTAGGGTCACAAGGGTGATCATGAGAAAATGAGAGTAAAAAATAATCTAACATTCGCCAACTAACCTTGAAACAGCAGCATATTTAAAGATTCTAATAGTCCATAATAGATAACCTATAGAGAAAACAGCCCACTGTTCTGTATGGTTAGTAAATCGTAGTGGTGCTACAGTTATTAATAAACTAGATGATAACCAATCTAACCAATTAAACTTATCCTTCCAATAGTCTAATTTGTGCCTGAAAATAAAATGGAATTAATACCAAATTATTGCTGAAACTTAATGAAGATAGGTAAAGCTATGAAGTGCACAATGAGACAGATTCTATGGCAATGAAAAAAAAATATCTTTTTGAACAGCAGTCAATGTTATAAACTTGATAATTATTGTGAAATTATAAACAAAAGTATGGGGATTGGGGATTGAATAATTTGGAGCTCAAAACAGCTCAGGTTTACTATACGGTCCATTTTGTACATTTACGATCTAAGACTGCCATTGGTTGGATTTTTGATTGAAATTAATTAGATTAATTAAGTAGATCTTAATATGATATCTGGCAACATAACACAAGTATAAAATTTGTTTTCAAATATAAATATACTCACTTTCTCATTTGGTTTAATTCCAGTATAAATGTTATGACAGCATGTACATACCACCATACTTCAAACACAGCTCGAGCTATTTGTAATGGCCCATGATATTGTGCTGGGTCTACTGTATCAACAGCTACTACAGCAGTAAACGTCATTGCAAACAATGTCAATAAAAATACAGCACAGTTTAATCTAAAAATATATTTCAACATGAAATAGGGAGCTTTTTGATTCAATATTAGAGAAAGACTTTCATCTTGTGATAGATTTCTTCAGATAATTCTCAGCTGGCTAGAATTCAACATCTTAATTTTTTGCTGATTTGCTTAAATTACATAATACAGCTTGTTGATGCATAGTGGCAAATTGGACTTACTGAAATCTGAACCTTGCATATAATTTCCATTTCCTTCTAATCAACAATCGGACTACATCATGAAATACCAGAGTCTGTAAGATAAAAGATCAGTATTCAATTGATTAATAACAGGGCAGTGAAGGAGATGTTGGCCTGAATTACACCTGACAAAGACAGCTGTGATAAATACAATCACTGTTAAGTTGAGTTGTATCATTTGAAGCTATTCTTCTGAATTTAGTCCACAAAAATTTGCATCATAAACCTTTACTGTTATAGATATTTGTCATAGGGTCTACTATAATGAACAAAATACAGACTAAGTAGATATATTATTTACCTTTAAGCCATTCTTAGATATAAGTTGAAGACATGATTTAGAGGAACCATCAAAATCTTCATGTTGTGGTGAATGACCTTTAAGATCAGCCTCTAATACATGGTAATACACCCGAACATTTCCACTATCACCTATATAGTCCATCATACAGTCTAAAACTCCTAGAGCAGTTTTCTGAAATCATAAGTGCAGTATCAATAGGGCACTGCAGAGTCAGGGATGCAACTTTTTGAAAAAAACCAATGCTTATTAAGAATTATTCTAAGGAAGCATTATAAGGCTTCGCAGGTATGTATCCTTAACTTGAACCAAAAACACAATTCATCAACCCACTAGTTCTCAGGCCCCAGCCCCTGCCCCTGGTATCAAAAAGAATGCAAATGTCAATGTCTAAAAATTGAAAAAACATAGATCCATACCAAACAAACATTGATAAAAAAAAATTACATACCTCCATACTAAGATTACTGTCACAATCAAGTAAATCATGAAACTTTAATTCTGAAGGCATGGAACCACTACTTGTATAAAGAGTACGAACTCTGAAATTATCATAAAAATTCTGTAAAGATAATTTACCATACATTAAAAGAAAATTCCACCAAAACTGTGTGTTTTATGATGTCACTATCCGAAATGCCCTTAGACACATAAACAGCTTATCTGACAGTAAAGTCATAAAACACCTGGTCTGACTGAAAATTGGAATAGTGCAAACTGTTACACAGTATTTCAAAGTTTCTTTGGTAAAAACTCTATTTAGAAACATGCAAATTTCAGCAATGTGTAGGTAGAATCTCATTTATCTCTGACAATGCTTCATGCAAATCTTATGTTATTCTTTGGTTACCTTTCCAAGTATATTAAACCAGTATATTAGTATAAACTAATGTAGATCTTATAAATATTCATGTCAATAGCCTTCATTGGAGATTTTCACTCTAACTTAAAATGAATAAGTTTATTTCGACCTCCCAAATTATCTAATTAAACAATTTTTTGACATGTCTTAAAGGCTTATTTTATGGTTGATATAGTTCTTTATAAGTCATTCTACACTTACACTAAATTAGGCATGCTTACTAACAACATGGCTGCAATGCTATCATTTTTATTTTCTAAGGCAATATGGAATGGCATCTTTCCTTCTCTATCCCTTACATGAGGTAAAGCATCATTCTCTAATAATTTACTGCAGACACCTTTAAAATTACGTTTAACAGCATGATGTAATGGTGTTTTCCATTCTGTATCTGCTGTAGAGGGATTAGCACCTTTATGTAATAATGTATTTAAGAACAGTAGAACCTAAAATAAAAAAAAGCTTTCAATCAAAACAATGAAATGGTATCAATAATCCCAAGAAGAAGCATCATTGGACTTGCTTTATGTGTTTTTTCTGTTTATTTAAGCCAAAGAATTTTCGCTCACATGTTAACATGTGATGAGAAATCACTGAAAACACAAAAATTCAATTAGTGTGGTCTGGTTTGGCCATTTACCACCAATACGTCCATTATATATTTAGTTAACATCTTGACACCATTTTCTAAATATCATACAGCTTCTGTTCATATCTTAAAGTTTCAAGTTGGCATATTCACTTCTATGTTACCTTTAATTCTGTTGGTGATTGTGTAACAATATGCAATAAAGCCTGATCTTTCCCTCCTTCTCTCTTCATCAATCTGTCTATAATAACTTCTATTTCTGCCTCCTGCAACCCTAGTAGGTGGGTTTGAGTTTTTTTGGCAACCTGCAAAAAAATATCTTTATTTGTCAATAACTGTATGTAGGTCAACAAAAGATGTGTTTTATATTTATATTCATAGATCCAGGCTTATTTCTTCTTATTGAATTAATATTATATACTTTGTTGCTCTCTTTTTATTACCATTACCCTCGGATCATTACTCAGATGTTAGCTTATACAGTATATCAATGGGCAGTAGATATATTCATTTAGATAAAAGAAATAATCTAACCTCAGCTTGAAAAGCGTCGTCATTTAAATCTTCACCTAATAAAGCTGAACTACTGTTATCATGAAGTATACCAGTGAAACAACTTGATATTGGTACAGTTGATGGGTTTTCTAAACCTAAATTCAAAAAGAAATCATCTGTTACCTGATTTGTAAATGGTGAGAATAAGCTTATATTTAAACACTTAACACTCTTTTGTGTAATTGTACCCCATTATTTTGAATTGTGCATCATGCAGAGGGTCAATTTTTTTTCTGATTTTTATGAATGAATTGATGCAAAAGGAAATCAAATTGTACAGGTCAATCAAATACTTCACCTGAATCAATAGTATCCATCATGACCCCTTCTAATTCCACTGACTTCTTGGGGCGATGTAAGCTTATCTTCTCTGAATTACCCCCTCTCTTGTATTTTTCAGTTCCAGTGCAAGATAAATCCATGATAAAGGATTAGTACCAGCAGAGAGCAAAATAAACTGCAATCAAATTAGATAAGTTGATGCAAGTGCATTGGCTTAGTGTCTGCCATACTGGTACTAGTGCAGCATAGGTTACTTCTTAGGATGTTATTTCATTGCATCTCTTAACTGAAAATCAATGATACAATGAGATGAGTTCAATGTCACATTGCTTTAAATTTAGTGTGGCTGGTGGAAGTATTTAATAAAACTGAAACTGGAGCAACTTGCCACACCCATTTCATTTACCATGAGGAACTGAATTTCATAGGAACAAATAAAACTATACACAAAACTAAAACATATAGTATTCGCAGTAGCCTTAAAAACTCAATGGGGGAGTAACAGATAATCCCACAAAGCTGTCTAGTAGCCAGAAAATAGGCGAATAATTCAATGTTTATTATTAAATCATGTAAATCAACACAGACTTTAACATGGCATACTGTTTGAGGTAACACCGCCTATTCCCAGTCAAAGAAGTAAATAAAAAGAAGTTCAGACTTTCACATGGTTATTCACAATTAACTATCGATAAGCCTATTGCAGTAATGCTTTCATAGTATGACCTAATATAAAGGTCCAGATATGTTTTTCTAAAAAGAGTTGCCACTTGATGAATGCAAAACTTTTACCTGAGACCCTGAGTCAAAACATCAACACCGATCATAGAGTTATAAATAGAATTTATCTTTTATCCTCGAAGTCCCGTTTGAAACTTGTTAATTCGAAATTTCTCAGCTGAGAACGTGGCTAATATTATTTACTTTGTGGTAGAAAATTCGTTAGTTTGACCCTAAGAATATGAAATTAGACTTTATAGACTTTTCTAAAAAATTACAGATTGCTATTGATGATTTTATGTAGACATATTACCAATAGACTTAGCCTAAGTTTCGGACTTTATATATTGTATTTAACGATGTCATACGAATACACAGGTGGCGCTCTACAACAGAAATCCATGATGGCGGACCAAAGCATGAGAGAGTTAGAGCATGCCACTCAAATTGTTTTGGTATGGTAGTCCGATGTCTATTGTTTGATTTAAGACGTTTGGCATGATAAACATCTTTCTGCCCTCGTGTTTGAAAGTCCTCTTTATTATTATTCTCATATATATGCCTAGATCAACCTGATATTGGCACGAATTTCGTCTGACCAGTCTGAGTCAGTCACACTGACACTAGTGACAGTCAGTCAGTGTCAAGTCAGAATGTCTACCTTCAGCTTAACATTATTACAGCAACAGTCTGCACTGTCCCATTCTCAGTGTTTTATTAGAACACCATCACTTACTCAGACTCTGTTATGTAGTCAAACCTATCTTAGTACTATCTGTTAGTGTTAGGACTGTAAAGTAATATAATATGTGATTTTTTCTGACACAGACACTTAGACAGACACAGTGCAGTGTGTGTGACTTTCTGGGTTGAATATACTATGGCACTGTCAAATCAATATTTAACTTTTTAACCCCTTGGTTCTATGCATTTTGGATTTGCAGTGCTGCTTTTGTAGTTTTAGTTTTATGGTGATATTTCACTAAGGTATCAATTTCACAAGTATGTAATTTGGTCTCTAATACTTCTTTTGCTGGTAAGTAACTGGAGTACTGAGGTAGTTCTACAAGACCCATCTACCTGTGGCGGATGGCCAATCGACGGGTCTTGAAGAAACAATTGGGAGTACGGTACCATTTTAATTTTAACACTTCATTTTTCAGGCACCACCTAATGTTGTGACATCTGAACAAAGGCATGCAGCAGAGGCAATTATATTGGCATTCAGGAAAACTAAGCTGCCTTATAATACATGTAGATATATATTGGGTAAGATGGTTTATAAAATTTTCATTGGGATACATAAGATAGACTACAATTATAGAACAGTCCTATCAAAGGTACCGGTATTGTGTCAGTGTTCCAATAACATGTTTCTATATTTTTCTTGTTTTTGAATTTCTTTTGATAAGATATTTTTTGTAACTTTAATAACTCAAAGACCAGTATAGTATTGTTTTTTCTTCAAAATATTATGACCCTCTCTATTCATTTTTCAGAAAATACAAAGAGTGACTATGTTTTGTTCCAAACTGCGACCACTTTAAAAGAAGCAATTATCAGAGAATGGACTTTATTAAGCCCGGAAGATATTGAATCATTAAGATCATTCTTACTTAGATACATAACAAAACATATCAGGTGAGCTTCATATAAATAAATTGAAGTGAAGCTCAATTATTGGTGTGAAACATGCTTCAATAGTTATAATGTCTATCATGCCACATAAAACATAAGATGAGTTCGTTTATTTCATGTTCTAATAAGCAGATTAAAATGTTGGATTTATTTAATTTATTCTAAGATATCATTAATTTGTTTACAGTTTACAGAGTTATGTTCGAGAACAGATACTACAAACAGTAGCTGTTATATTAAAACGTGGTACATTGGACAGTAAGGGTACAGGATGTGATAATATGTTTACTGATGTCACAAGTTTAATTGGTAGTGGTAATGTTACAATGGTAAGCTTACGCTTTTCATTCCTTCATTTATTCTTCTTTATACATTGTGATTGAATGAAAACAGATATTGTAAAAAAATTGTGAACGACATGTATGATGGAAAAATAATTTTATCCCTTTAGACATTGAATGGAAAAAAATTGTTTGTGCGATCGAATTGCTCAAATAATTGATCATTTGTTATTTTGAAATTTGAAATTTTTTATGATGTTTTATTTTTAGCAACTAGTAGCCTGTTCAATGTTAACATCATTATTAAACGAATACTCTAGTTCCAGTAGAACAAGTAATACAGGTTTTACATGGGAATTTCATACAAAGTGTAAACGAGCTTTTGAGGTAAAGTTTTATTTTATTTGTTTATTTATGATTACTTTCTATTGATTTCATTTGATTATTACTTTAGTGCCTTAACACAGTGTTGCATAAAGTCTGTTTTTAATTGACATTCATCATAATTTTCGTTTTTCAAGTACTTAGATTAACTGTTTGTTTTTCAGACAAACAATTTAAAGAAAGTATTTTTATTTTGTCTACAAGTATTGAATGAAATTGATGCTCAGCCCTCACCATTAACTAGAGAAGCTACAGCTGTATTAAATAGAGTATTATCTATAACAGAACAGGTGTTATCATGGGAATTTTCACCCAAATCATGTATCCTTTTTTAATAACTTTTCTTGTTTGAAGGCAGAACAATGTGAAGGAAATCAAAATCATTTTCACCAAACATCATCTTGAGTTCACTTTCACTTTTGTTATATGTCAATGAAAAGAATTCTCATTGAACAGTCTGGTTCTTTCCCAAAATGGTGTCCTTTGACTATAATATGTGAATGCTTTTTTACGCAAGACAAATAACCAAATACTTAACAATAATTGACCTTAACTTACCTTTAGTATTACGAAGACGTGTTGGGTTATTTGAAACTAATAATTATGTTACATTAAAACCTAATGAAGCTTGGAGAGATACATTATTAGACAGAAATATATTACAGTTATTTTTCAAGGTTAATAGTTATTGATTGTTCTATTCAGTTACATTGGAGTAAAAACGTGCAAGTCAAGTCAATTGAAACTTCTCAGTATGCCACAAATTCTGACATATTTTCAATTCCAGCTTGTTTGATTTTTGTTTATTCAAAATAATTGGTGGTACAAGAAAGTTACATACATCTGTAAATATCTTGGCCTTACTATAGTTTAAATTAATGCTTCACAAGTATGATACAACTCATGATATGTACTGATATTTACATGTGACACAAAAAAGTACTTTATATTATTTTTAATAATTATTGCCATTCTTTTATTTTAGATTCATGAAAAAGCCAGATTTAATTCTGAAATGGCCCATCATTCAATTCAATGTATTGGACAACTGGCATCTTTAAATGGTGTAATATTTACTAACGATGAATCCAGAAAACAATATCTACAGTCATTTTTAGATGGTTTTCTTCATTTACTTGGGAGGTAAGAATGCTGATCAATTGGATTGTTAAGAGACTATATGAACTTTTTATGTGTATTGAGGACACTGTGATAGCATTTTCAGTCAGACATCAGTGTTTCTTGTAATTTTGAAAAAAACTAAGCATTTTATGATACTATTTCAACTGATTTTAGCTGATGAATCATCAAACAGAAAATAGAAGCAGCACTTTTAATTTGATCAACTTTTTTGTATTTCAGCATTGAATTACAAGATTTTGAGAATTTAGGAGTAGCCACAATTTTTAAAAATATTTTCATGATGTTCCCAATAAAGATCTTCATGGCTTTACCAGAAACACATTTCCAGGCTTGCGTTGATCACATGACTAGGTTAACATGTCACATGGGAAGACTGGCTGCTTTGGAGGAAGCTGTAAGTATTTGTGATGCTATTATAAAAATATTATATATCTGATTTGTTAACATTATTTTGTTTGATACACTGCGTCGATGACTTTCTACCATTAGCCTACTCATAACTCATCAGTACTAGATATTTGGTGCTTTTTTTTTTTAAATTTGTTAACTGAAAGAAGTGTTACTGCACTATATATTCTATTTCAAGATGAATATGTCATATTTTGACTTTCTGATTCTGACATTGAAATATCATCTAGTTGTTCAATGGGACATGAAAATCAGAAAGGAGTAGGCTTATGCTATTGTTGGAATTTTCCTCTACATTTGTCCAAATTCGTAAGACCTCACAAGAGCAGAAAATTGAGATATTACACTCCTATTTTATTTCATATTTACCACATATTTATAAACAATTCATTCTATATTTCTGTAGCTGCACAAAGATGATTGTATTTATATGGATGGTTATGAGAAGATGTTAGAAACATGGATGCAGTTAACATTAGAGATTAATCAATTACCTGAAGGTTCATTAAAACCTCAAGCTACTGAAGTCTTTCATTCTTATTTACAATGTCATATCAGCCCACCCGAGGGTTTAAGATCTCAGGTAGGTCATGTGTCTTGTTGGTTCAAAATGTGTGAATAGATGTATTACATAGATTATATACATTTTAACAAATTCTTTTGTAAAATGAAATGGTTTTTTCATTGCATGTTTCTTGTTTCTTGTTTCTTCATTGCATTGAGTGAATGTTAGACAAGACCATGCTATGTATTCCACCCATGTAGAACAAAGAGTTTATTTTAGAACAATAATTTGGTGAAAGCTGGAAGGCCTATCAATGGCCTGCCTCACCAAAATCAAGCTGTTCAAAATAAACAAGGTTTTTTTGACACACTCTTTAGATACATACACTTTTTAGAGGTTGGCTTGTAAGACTGTTATTTCTGTATTTGTGTACATGATTGAAAATTGAAATTGTTTAAAGAAGGTTGGACGAGAAATTTCAAGCATGACCCTATTCCTTATGTTGGTTTTACAACAAAACCCTAAAAAAATTACATCAATAAACCTATGGTATTTTATTTATCTTGCAGAATGCCAGTGATTCAGGTATAGATGATGAAGAACTTGGTGAATTAGATGAAGATGATAGAGACAAGTTCTCTGATCAGTTATGTTGTATTGGTGCTCTAGCTAGAATCATACCAGAACATTCCATACCATTATTAGCCAAGTAAGGTTATTTATTATGTTAATGATTTATGATTACATACATAGGTTTTCTTTATGGAATTTTGAATAGATGCTTTCTTGGTTGATATCAATCAGGAGCATTTTGGTTACCTTTTGCATATAGTTCTGTATGATATCATATCTGCAGATCATAGACATTCCAGAGGGTTAACTGATAAAATAACCTTGTATAAATCCATGTAAAGAAAAATGGGTTGCATCTAAAACAGAGAATTATAAAAAAAAAGTGTGAAAGTGTCAAGATTTTGTCTTTCAAGTATTTTATGATTACAGAATTTGAGAATTTAATTATAAGCAATGAAATTTTGATATTGTTGTATTTTAGAGTATTAGAAGAGCGTGTTAGTAGATTACATGGTCAATTACAGAGATTACAGCAACATCGTGATACGTCCGGTACACTCAACGCCTCCTTTGATACCTCAATACTTAATATATTACATGAAGATCTACATTGGTTAGTATTAGTCGCAGGTATGTTTCTTTTTTTTTATATTGGAATATATTCGCTCATATATCTTTTATATAAATGAATTGTTTATTTTGGACAATTTCAAATTACAAACTAAAACCAATATTCCAACTATATCAATTATCATTTGTCTTGAATATATATATGCAAATCGCATACAATACTCATAACTGCTAGAAAAAATCTTTTGCATTCCTTGAAGAAATGAACAGTAGTTAAATTGTTGTGTAATTTTTGTAGCTCATGTACTAACAGAAGAGGCAGAAGGAGAAACACCAATGATACCCTCCAATATAATGCAATATTCTATAACAACTAGTCAGACTATAGATCTACATACAACATTAAAAGTGTTAGCATCTCCCGGTGAAAGAGTAGAAGATATACCTGGTTCTCAATCTACAGATAATGTTGTCAGGTACTCATAAATTATACTGCTAGTTTTACTCTGGCATTGGGTTCAAAAATTCTAGTCAGGAATAGATTTGCTTACATCTTGGGGTTTTCTAGCTTACTTTGAAGAATATAAGCAATGTAGCAGAGTAGTTCTATAGATATTTTTCTGTTTATTGCCTATACTCTTCTATTATAGATGTTTACAATGTCAGGATTTGGTTTCAGACTGTTTATTGTGTTATATTTTTGCATGTGTCCCACTTAGAATGAGAATGTAACTGTATTTATTCTTTAAAAGCGAAATTCAAATAAATTTGATCTACTATTATCTAAAGTGTGTGATTCACTGTAGGTTGATATCAGCTGTATTTAGATTATGTGAAGTAGAAACTAGAGCTGTTAATGCTAAACTGACAGATTGTGTGAGTCCACAAGTTGGTAGTACGTGTATGTGGTTTTTACGGCGATGGGTGTTATCATATTTATTACCAGATGAGAACTATTATTCACAGGTAAATAATATATATTCATACAGTTTATAATTTCTACCAGTATTAAACCAGAGTGTATTCCCTTCTTAATTTCTTCACACATTCCTTCACCTGTAGTATTTACCATATATTTGCGTGTATAGTACGCAGTTTTTTTTTACCTTAAACAAAGCTTGCCAATTTGGGGGTGCACATTATAGACAGTGATTTGTAGTTTTAAAATGGATTGTAAAGAGGTTTCCTGGTGATTTTATTTTTGAGGAGGACACATATTTAGCACTTATCTGATTTACAATAGCATGTCTCAAAAACACAAGCGTATGACATGGTTAAACTATAATGATTGTTGGATTATACTTAAAAGAAAATACAACTGACCTCCAAAGAGTACTACACAGTGCTGTATTTACTCAACTAAGATGGCTGAAACCTCTTAACAATATTTTAAATACCAAATTTAATCCTTGGTCAAACATTTTTACCTATAATTATTCAGTATTTTGGCTTATATTTTTAGCCTGATTCAGATATAATGACAGGATACCAAAGTCATAATAATAATGGCCCTGCTGTGAGTAGTGTGTACAGGTTATTTAATATGTTGCATGAGAAGGTTCCATTGCACAATGTTTACCCACTAAAAACTTTGTCTGGTATTTGTACTCATATTGCTAACAAATTACAACCGTTCACTGTACATATTCATTAACAATAATGTTACAACTATTGATATAATTATTACAACTGATAAATCATAATATAGTTTATATTAGATAATTGTTATGGTTCTGTTCTGTTCTGGGAAAAGGCATCAATGTAAATTCATTCCATAATAAGGTGAAAGCAATTGCTCTGTGTAAATTGGGTATCTGATTAACATTATCACCATTAGTTTTAAGGATTAAAATTTTTAAATCAACATGTTCTTGTCTCATTGGTCTGTTGAGTGAGTGCTATCTAAGAGATTTCAACCAAATATCAATCAAATGAAAATAAAAGTTATTGTGTTTTCAATGTAATATTAGGTTGTTCAGATATCTCTAAAATTGATATTAGATTTCAGTATTTGTTCAATCCATGTTTTGTAGATGAGCATGGCATTACAATCAGCGTTTGGTCGTGATACAGATGGTGCTCAGTGGGTCATAGCATTCCTTATTCAGAAAATTATATCTAATATAACTACATGGAGTTCTGAAGAACAACTTGTAGAAGATTCTTTAAAAGTTTTAGTTGCCTTACTTAAAAATGGTTCAAAGTAAGTAAACTTTGTTGAAGTGAAATGATTTGGTGAGAATATATAAATAGAGCACTCTCATGCTGCACTTGAAAAAAAATGCTCTGTTGGAACCTCTGATAGATATTTATGAAATGAATACAAGAATATCAGGGGTATGTGAGCTCTTTTGTGTGTTATTGTCTGATTAGAAGCAGGAGGAGGGTTGACATTCTGTGAAATTAACTGGTCAATGTTTAGAGAAAATTTGTACCCAGATTTTAAAAACTTTTTTTATTTCAGAGCTGTTTATGTAGTGAAATGTAATTTATTATGGGATCTTGCCAGATTAGAAGCTAATAATGGACCACCTTTATCATTATTATCATCAATTTCTAGAAGATTGTTATTGAAGGCTTTAGTGCTAGCCGGCTCAGCTTTCAAAGACCCTCCAGTAAAAGAAGAGTTTTGGAAAATAGTAAGTCATGGAATATACACGATGACTTTGAATGTTTTGCTCTTGATCATATGTATTTTCAGTTAGATTTCAATTTGTAGAATTTACTCTGAAAGCAAATAGGTAGAAAATGAAAAGTGATATGTTAAAAAGCTGGATATTGTGTGATAGTCATCTATGCATACTTTACACCCCTTAACTTTCAATTGAACTCTTCCATACATGCATATTTTCTATTGAACTGAAAATGTATATGTTTGATTGAAAGCGCTCATTTATAAAATAAGGGGTATTTTGTTGTACTTTTTATTAAAGGTATGAAGGTATATATAATTGTGTATGATTGATTCATTCCAGATATTACAGTCTATACAAGAAAGATTTTATGGTTTAATATGTGGAGAAAACTTTGTGAAAACTTTCCATAATGTAGAAGTTCAAGAGAGTGTGTGTTGTTTATTAGAATCATTATTAGGTATTGCTCAAGGTACACGAGTGGACAATATGGAGAGATTATTTTTATATTTAAGTCCATTTTTAGCTGAAAGTGTTAAATTAATAGGTAAGTACATGTATATTCTAAAATTCTTTGCTACAAAAACAAAAATCAAACTAACAACTTAATACTTCATTAGATTTGATAAGTTTCTTTGTTGGGCTATGACATGGAATCGTGTCCAAATTTGTTCAAATTAGTATTATAGTCTTGTTCTATAAATGTTCAGAAATTGTTTTCTAAGACCAAAACATTTTGTTGAATTTCCGTAACTAATAAGTTATTGTTTTAATTTTAGAGGTTTACCACAATTATGAATCTATTATATCATTGATATTAGAATTATACTCAGAAGTTGTTCAGAGACATTTATGTTATCTAGGAGAGGTGAGAAATTTAAACAGTTTTGTCAGAAATTAACTGTCCGAATTTTATCTTTACTGCGAATATGAACAAATCTCGGATATCATAGGTGTTGGAGAACTTATAAATTCTGTTTATTTAGCAAAGTCATCACCTGAAATCAATTTTTATCAATGATTGTTTAGGTGATTTGAATTTGAAATCTAAGACTTAAAATAGGAAAATCATTCATTAATTGACCAAACAATGTCTTTAATTTCAGTCAAACTGTAAGAAATTATATGATTTATGTCTATCAGCAATACAAATGTACTCTAAACATAATACAGGTAATTATTTTACATTATTGTATTATAATAAAAATACAAGGGAATATATTATGGTACAACACACTTCTTTAATAAGCACAAAGTGTCTTATACCTTAATATATTCCCTTTTTTTTATATATATTTGCTCTCTGCTTCTAAATGTTGTTCAAATCTTATTATTACATTATATACTTTACATATATACATTACTTATATACTTTTACATAATATACATTATATTCATTACATATATACATTATATTCATTACATATATACATTATATTCATTACATATATATATTATATTCATTACATATATATTATATTCATTACATATATACATTACTTTCAAATATGTAACTTTGATTACTGGTACACTAATGTTTAACATTTGTGCTGAGTGCTAAAGTTTATTTTTCAGCAATCTGGTGCATGTTATTAAATTGTCACTGAATGTTAAAATTAAAGATGATTATAATAATAAGAACAAATGTTAGAGATATAGTAAATTTTTCTGTATTGTAGGTAAAAGAATAGTAGATGCTAGTGAAGATGAAGAAACTAAATATAGAGATATTTTAACTGTCATGGAATTATTAACTAATTTACTCTCTAAAGACTTCATAGATTTTGGACCAGGTAAATTTAGACATATCTGCTTCATTATACCAGTATAGGTTAAAGTTCACTATGATGAATGACCCCAATATTATTATGGCTTTAGACAGTCATCTTTGAAAAGGTTTTAAACTTCTTATCATATGACGATTTGGTATGCTTGAGACACACAAAAGTTTTTTTGTCACCCACACAAGATTATTGCATTGCCAACACCGATTTGATATTTGTTGATTGTTTTATTCATGTGCCCACACTCACGACAAGACATAATGTCATCATCCAATCAGGGTCGTTCTATTTTTATTTTATCATGTGATATATATTATGTCACATGACACATTACATCACAAACTGGCGACTGGAGATGATCTGGTTCCTTGCGAATAGCTGGCTTGTGAACTCTTTGACTACACTCTAGTCTTAGACAAAATCTGCAACCAAACTGTTTGTGTGCCCCAAGCATTCAAAATTGAATGTGTGAAAATTCCTTAATAGTTTTTATCCCCTGTGTTAAAAAGGAATTTTTGTAAGACTATTATTTCAGGAAAGGAAAATAATAAAATAATTCTATATTAAAGCTGAAGAAACACCGTCTAATAGTCAAGTGGAAGGGGCAGATGTTGTGATGTATGGTTTAAACATTGTTATACCTATCATGTCATTAGAGCTTTTAAAGGTATGTGCAGTATAGATATATTAAACTAAAACTTACAATGCAATATTAATCAGCAACAAAGTTGTCGAGGACCTGATTAAAGGCTAAACGTATAAGAGAGATCAAACATTTCAAAGGAGCTCTTTTCCATCAAACAAGCAAGGTACAATTTGTATTTTTTATCATTTCAAATATGTACATGATCTCTGAGTATATCATTTATATTTTTCAGTTTCCAACACTGTGCTCACAGTATTTTAAACTATTAACCTTTTTAAGTGACGTGCATCCAGAGAAATTTACAACGTTACCAGAGAATTTATTTAAATCTTTAGTCACCTCAATAGAACATGGTCTCACAGCGTATCCTTTCAAATATTTTTATATTATTCCAAACTGGATGTGAAAAAAATACATAGAAGAAGGGCAGGTAGCTAATTGATATACCTACATATGTGTATTAGAAATATTTGTTTCAAGCTTTTTCCTTAACTCATATGTATAGTTTTGGTTCTGATATTACAAAGATGTGCCTTGAAATTATTACCTCCCTTGCCAGTCATGTGTTCGACTCAAATTTTACTGGTTCAACTCTCCATACAGCAATGTCACATTTTCTAAAGGTGATTATTTATTTAAATCTCAAGATACTCATTAGAATGAGTATACATTTACAATAAAACAATTAATTGGGTCATAGTGCTAACGTTCATCAGGCCCTGCTCAAAAACTGCAATTTAAATTCAACAGAAAAGTCATATATTGCTCTCAAGTGATAAGTCGAATGGTTGAAGGACTATATCTCTGTTTTATTTTAAAGGGACATGATAGGTGGGCCATTTTCAGGGCAGGATTTGGATCTTGATATATGTAAATAGTCTTCAAAAGTACTAGAAATGTACAAAAATCGCATAATTTCTTTAAAAATACATGTACCTTAAACTAGGAAATCACTTTCTATGTCTATATGTGTCTGTTTTATATAATATGGCAATATTTTAAGAAAACAGGAGTAATTCTGGACACACATGGATTTAAAGGCTCAAATTTCGACAGTGAGCTATGAACACTATTACTGATTGGCTTAGTTTAAAAAAAAAATTGCATTTCTGAGACTAAGAAACAATTGGTCAAAGAGAAGGCAAAGCTGTCACTTTAATGTTTGAAAATATTTCAGATAGTATTTCATATGTTATTACTAGAAAGTTTTGATATGGATTTGATAGAAACTGCCAGTACAGCTTTATTCTGTTTAATATGTTGTCATCAGGTAAATGATATTTCCTTATTGTATATCTTATATAAAGAGTATATTTTAGATTGGATATTGATGAAACCTGGCACACACCTGACATTAATACTGTATATCAATTTTTCCTTTATTTCAATATACCATAATAAGACAATATTGCAAAAATTTTGGAAATGTAGTCCAATATGCATGTTAATAAGATCTTGGAAATTAAACTGCTTTGATTTTTGGTTTTATAGGTATAAGCCTGCACTTGGAGCAAAAAATTGTCTAATGATTAAATCCCCTACAGTTTTGATTGGATTTTGATGAAACTCTTTATACAAATGTTGAGAAAATTGAATTAGGTGTCACTATTTGTTTTAATTTTTATGTTAAAACTCTTATCATTTCATAACATTGTGTTATGTAATAACATTATTTATATTGACAAACAAGAAGTAGAATCAATTTAACTAGCACTTTCTGACCCTGAGTTATTGACCTCTAAAACACTAATTACTTTAATTTTTCACATACATTGTGTTAATTGCTTCCTTATACTTTTATAATGGAGGGATTCATCTAAAATCAATAAAACTCTTTTCTATTGATAAAAACTCTTCAACTATTATCAGTACAAACTACTAATAATTATATTTTTATTTTATAAGCTTAGAACATCAAATGCTTGTCTTAATTTATTTTTACTTAATATGGCTTAATTGTTATTCATTTAGATACAAAAAGTATTTTATCAATAGATTCAACTCTTGGAGATAAGTGATCAAATGATCAATAATATTTTATTACTGTTCTCAATGTCACTTGAATAGACACATTATCTATTGGTGCTCGTGATTTGGTGTCTTGAAATTTGGCTTAGCCCACATGGTGCAGAAAAGTAGGACGTAAAACTCCATTTATTTCATTTGAAATTTGAACCCAGATTGAAATGATCGCATCACATCACATTAAAAAGACCTGTATAATTGTTGTGCTTCTGTTTTCACCATTCAAGCCAAACTATTTGCATTAAAGTGTTGTCATAATCTGGTTTAATACTTTGTGAACAACAGATTTTCCATAACATAACATTGCTGCTGTGTTAATAGCTAATAAAATAAAAATAATTCTTACTTACTGAGATAGAATAATAGTTTCTCTCTGTTTTTATACGCCCACATTATAATGTGGTCGTATATTGTCATCGTCCGTCCGTCCACAATTGGCTTGTGAACACAATAGAGGCTACAGTTTCTATCTGATTTTAATTAAATTTGGTGTGATCATTTATATTCATGAGATCTTAGTCAAGTTCAAATTTGAAGATTTTTCGATGAACGGTTTCTGAGTTATTGTCCTTTACTAAGGAAAAACACGTCAAAATGTGTTTGTGAACACAATAGAGACTACAGTTTTATCTGATTTTAATTGAATTTGATGTGATCATTTATATTGATGAGATCTTGGACAAGTTCAAATTTGATGAACTTTCAATGAACAGTTTTTGAGTTATTGCCCTCGACTTAGGAAAAATATGTTAAAATTTTTTGTACAAATTAGATTTTTGTTACGATTTGACACAGATTGGTGACCGCCTTTGATAAACTCAAAATTTATCAGGGAAGTGTGTGTATCTTGGTAGGCAACCACTTGTGAATTACTGTTTTTGCACAAGTTGATTTTATTCTGGATTGAACTTCCATCTGTGATGATATTATAATTTCTCATAATGTTTGAGAATTATGAAACAGTTAGTTCTAGTTACTGTATATGTTTAAATGTAAAAAACCATTAAATTATTATCTAGTATTAAGAGACAATGTTGATGCCTGTATGTTGATATAATGAATGTTATATTGTTATTATTACAGGATCAATATAAAGAATTAGTTAATCAATTATTACAGAGTCAGTTAGAAGATCAGTATAAACAACGTTTACTAGTGGCCTTTAATAACCTGACACCATCCACATTAACTATGACTATCAATCGACAGAGTAAAATAGCCTTTATGCATAATTTTGACCAGTTTTTGGTGAATGTTCGAGGATTTCTCTGTGTTAAATAAATATATATATATTTTGATATTACTTTACCAACTTCTCTCTAATTTGCCTTAGTCTTTTTGATGATTTTATTGTTTTTTTGGTAAAGAACTCCACAGTATATTCTAGTCACAAGTTAAGAGATTAAGTTTGGTATTAATTATAAATGTAATACAATTTGGTTAATGGTTTCAATTGCTCCAGGGTATGTTGTACTCTTAAGTACTAGAGTAATTTGATTGGATTGTTTGCTAGCAAAGAAGGCCAATCAGAGGCCTCGACAGTTTGTGAACTTAAAACGTTTATGTTTACAGACCTTCTTTGAAGGGCTCTTATTGACTGTATTTGCCAGCGTACAATATAATCAAATCGCTGTATTCCATAATAAAAGAAAGGGGACTGTTACATTCAAGGTATAAGGACGAAGTTCGTTATAGCTTGATATTGTGAAGATGATCTGCGTTAGGCTAATCCATATTCTGGCATAATAAAACACCAATGGAAAAAATAATGTTTGTGCTTATATTTTTGACTGGTTTAAAATATTTTCAAATTTTGATTAAGTGCTTCTCTATGTGCTAACCTAAATCTCTGCAAGAAGATGAAGTTCATTTTCAACACCTTTTCATGATTAAGTAGGTCACAAATCATGCCAATGCCAAAGACCCATCAACTTGCCATTTGTTCATCATTTCATCATTGTTTATTTCACTTATTTCCTCATTCATTCAGTAATTATTGAATGTATCTACCTTTTATGTTTTATGTTTCTGAGATTAGTTAAATCTCTTTTTTGAAGGCGAGATTAGCCAAGCTTTTTGTTTCTAACTATTCACTTATTTTATACAGTTAGTTGAAGACTTTTAAAAATTAGATTTTATTTGTGCACTTAATAAATTGATATTAGAAATTTACAAAAAGAAAAAAAGGATTGCACATTGATTTTTATAGCAAAAATAAATATGACACAATTGACTAACAATTTTTCGTGGAATCTTACAGGAAAAAATATCATAAAAAGATAAACATTGTTTGCAACTAATAACCTTAAAATCTCAAAAAGTGAATTTGACACTGAATTCGGCTATAATGAACTACATGATATGCACCAAATTGAAAATTTTCAAATATTTATATCTCCACCATAAGGTGTGCCATGACAGACTTAAGACTGGTAATGATCACCATCACTGTATATATACTACACCTTAAAGAAAATACCAAGCCTTATTCTATAGTCTTACTACAAGGAATCAAGGTATTATAAACTCTTCGTATTTTAGCTTTGTAATACCTTGATATTGAGAAGATGACAGCAAAGTGAATTTTTATCTAGCAAAGAGTAATAGAGCACGTCCTGCTTTTTGCACAAAAAATTGTCTATTTACATATAATTTGGCGAGAGTGTGCAAATAGACCTTTAAATATAGATCCCATATCTTGAGACAGTACTAGTTCTTACCTATATGCAGGATACTTGATAGGAAATGCCTGTCTGTCATATTGTAAGATTGAGATGTAGTCTTAGCATTTTCTTTAAATCATATTTATTATCGATCATTTTAATGGTATTTTTATATTCTCTCTAATTACTATTATGTATATATATATTTATATGTACATTATGAAGAAATGTAAATTATTTTTGTATTTTTTCTCTGCCTTATATCCAGTGCCATGTCGCGAAAAATTATACATACTGTAACAATAACATATTCGAGTGCATGTTCATAAAGTCAATATGATGTAAACTTATACATAGAATTGGAGATACAAGATATGATTATCAAAGAAAATTGTGATTAGCTGAGGAAATAAATATAAAAACCTTCAAGATTTAGTTCTTAATTAATTTATAATGTGGAAGAAAAAGAAAATATTTGAAACAGATATATACATGATGGATCTATGAGTGATGAAAATGAATATTTAAAATGTTTTTTCAAATGGACGACCTTTCGTCAACTCTATAAGTTGATACATGGTCTAGCCGTCTTTCTGGTACACGATATTCACAACAAGTCAATATTCTCTTGGGTATTATTTCTTTACAGGCGTCTCGAAATTTTTTGATCCGAACAGCGTAAATAATTGGATTTGTAGCACTTTTCAAGTAACCAAGACACAGAAATATTGTCAATGTTAAAGAATTCGGATCTTTTGAAAACGTTCTGAATAAACATAAAGATATAAACGGTGTCCAACACAACACGAGAACAATGGACAAAACAAAGATGGTTTTATATGCCCTGGTTTTAAAACTCATGTCAACATGAACACGATTTTTAAACGCAGGAAAACAGTCTTTACTAGACCTAGATACGCTTATTGAAGGCCGGGAGATACCAATAGCACTTGATCTCCTTGAGACGCAGTTTTCAAGATCTTGGAATCTATTGGCATTAGTTGTAAAATCTGGTGAATGTCTATTTGATAAGAAACTTCCGTTTCCTATCCCAGGATGTTGCTGAACACGCATCCCATTTTTACGAACAATATGGACGATTAATGTGAAGGCAGATAGCATTAACAGTACAGGCACATAGAAGGTTAATATAGTAAAAAAACAAACGTAAAATACGTTGGAGAAACTAAAAGATGTTTTTAAAGCGCACATTATAAAATCGTCTTCAAAAGCATAATCGGTCCACCCAAATAGTGGAGGCAATGTTACGACAGCACAGAGACTCCATATTATCAACAAGGTTTTACGAGAACGTTTTAAATTCAATTTTTCTTTTCTTTTGGCAATAATAAGATATCGGTCGCCACTAATGGCAAGCAAGACAAGAACTCCAACGCTGATGAAGTAAGTTTGTAAAAACCCTAATATTCCACAAAATATCTCCGTCAGCAGCCATCTTCTAGTTATTAAAGTAACTAATGAAAATGGCATAATTAATACAGATAACAAAATATCTGATAGGGCAATATGGGCTAATAACAAATTAATTGCCGAACGCATAGATGGTTTACGATACACTAAGTAACAAACGACCATATTGCCACATATACTAATTGTCATGGTAACAATAATAACAATGCCTAGGAATATGCGGAGAAACAATGGAATGCTATCAGTATGATCCTCATTAATTATTGAAATGGTGGCAGAGTCGTTCACCATCTACTTTGTTAATTTCTTTCACATCCAATATTTAATCAGTAACCTGCTAAATAAAATAAAAATGGTGGTTAGCTTATGAACCTAATGGCAATATCGATACTATAAGATAAATAAGAACCCTATTCTATTGGCTCCTCTACCATATCGACTGGTTAAACCAAGTCCTGTGGCCCCCACTCCATGATTCTCAGAATAATAAAATCAAAATTTAACAAAAAATGTACCAAAGTTAGTATTTAAAAGGTTAACACACAATATAAATGTTAATCTTCTATAAACATGCATTATATCACATGACACTCTTTCCTTACATTTTAGCAACGTTTCAATTTAAATACAGGGATCTTTATAAAAACAAAACAATAACACTAGAATACAATCAAATCAATCGATCATTTGCTATCTTGTCTTATTGGTCAAAACGAATTGAATACACTTAAACAAACGGACCTTAAAGGGATTGTTCAGAGATTTTCAGGGACACTGAACTTATGCATTACGCTATTCTTATTGCGATGTAGATTCCATTGGTCCACTACCACTTTGAATTGACGTAGCTTTAGCAGAGGCCCTTTTTAGGTATCATAAGCAGTTTTTGACATAATGACTTATGTTTCGTATTTATAAGCAAATCTATAATTTCACAGACAGCCGATGGGAAATTAGAAACAATGCAAAGAGCTATAAGTACCCCGATACAATAAGATAGAAAACCTGTTTACAATCCCTTTAATAGCAACAATCCATGTACACATCACAATAATGTAACAAGTTGAATATTGTTGGCCTTACCTACATAAAACTTCATAAGTATGTAGTCCAACGATATCTGTCGATAGCTCTTTACGACATTACTATACCTCAGTTAATTGGTTGTTTGGTAGATGGCAGGTTATCGTCCACTTCAAGCAGAAGCTGATATCACAGATTGTCCACACTTTAAAACGACCTTCGCTCTGTACGGAAAGAACGGTTCCATCAAGAATTAGAATGTCAGAATTCAATGATTACAATGTATTAAAACCATCACGACACGGAAACCACTACATTAATACTCATGGATAGTAAAAATCCAATATTTCACGATAATAATATTACAGTGACTGCTTGTTATGTCATTAGTGCCTATATAGGACGAATCCTTATTGTTATTAAACTTTTATGAGAACAATAGTTGATTAAAAACAATTTAAAGGCCTAGGTGTACTGAAGAACAGTATGATATTTACTATACTTGCAGTTTTCTGTTATTTCATACCATCTATTACATTTACGATTAAAACAATTCACTTTGAAACAATATCCAAGAAGGTTAGCTAATCTAGAGGACTTAAGAAATAACCAGATGGGATCTATTGTAAGATTTATCAGAGATTAGATAAGCGCTTCTCTTTTAAACCAACATAATGTTTGGAGACTAATCAATTAAAAGTTTGCTGTCGGTTTTATCTAAATTGACATGATAGTAGGTCGCTTGGTAACATTTCAGAAAATACTTCGATGATTCTAACTCTTGGCAAGACAAGGCCTTAAGTCCGGGTTAGTTTTTGCGAGAATAGGATTAAATTTTGTTCTCTTCCCTGTACCTAAGTTAGAAAAATCAACAGTGACCTTTATCATGTAACTTGCGGCATGTGAAAGAAGTTGAGACCTAGCACATCATCACACTTGCCGCCAGAAACCTCAGTTGCTCTTGTTCAACTTTCCCATCTTATCGCCGACCTAAGTGGTCTGAAATCTGGTAGTCAGTCAGTTTCTCGATGTGAGCGTTACAATCTGAATGCTCTTTACATTAGGATCAGCAGTGAGCAGTCGAGTCTTCTAAAGGTTTGTACCTATAGTATACAACGCTCTCCATATATAAGGCTCTTGTGTCCATTAAGTAGATCAGTCAATCTCAGGGTAATTTCTTGTGTAAATTGTAAAGTGGAAATATCAATAATAATGATACAGTGTAAAAAGTTGCCTGGATAGAAATAATAAATTACTGAGATAAAGTATATAATTATCCAAAAGATTTTCTATTGACATTAGCTTTTCATCTTAATGAACATTATAGATCAACATTTTTTTAAACAAACACTTTTTAATGACCATCCTTCGCATATCCTCATTTCTGAATGTGTGTGACTGAGACTATAATAGCTTGTAACATCTTTGTTTCGCTTTTGGCTTTGTTTTGTTGTATGTTATGTTATACACATACATGTTTTTCAACAGTGTGTACATTTTGCATTGACATTGAAGAACCGTAGCCCAAAAGCAAGTTCAGAATACATTTATTATTTATGATAAATTAATTACAAAAATAACAATGCTTGTATTTATCATAACATTTATTATATATTAGAAAGATAACAAATTAATTAACAAGTTTAGTACAGTTATATATCGGATGTCCCAAAGTTCCACGGGTAATATCTCAGCTGTTGGTAAACTGATCTCTTTCAAAATTCTCAGAGATATATTTCAATATTGTCATTGTCCAACCTTAATAAATGAAAGTCATCGAGGGTTAGAATTTTGAAAAAGAAATCCGTCTATCAACAGCTGAGATACTACCTTTTGAACTTTGGGACACCCGATATGTTATATATAAATAAATATTGTAACAAAATAAATATATAACAGAAATAATTGATAAATAATTTCAGTGGGACTTATGAATTTCAATTTAAGAAAAAATATCAGTAATCAACTTTTGATTTCATCAAATAATTATATTATCAAAAATATATTCATACAAATTATATAATTTGATGGATTGAATGGATTTCCCAAAATAATAAGCTAATAATAACAAACATAGTCAGACTGGCCTCCAACAGCCCTATGATAACAAACGCTTTCTTCAAAACATGTTTTTTACCTAGAAAAATATGATAGTGGAATACATTCTAAACACATAGCACTTATTAATACTTCAATTATTTATGCTTGAAAAAACCAAAAAATGGATTTAAGATAGTGATCCAGTTATTAAACAAAAGGATTTCAATCAAACACGGGTTTTACCACCATCATAGTGACCTCGGCACCATCATAGTGACCTTAGTTGATGCTGAGAACATTTTTCAATACCATTTCAATTTCAAGTATTTTGTTTCTGTAAAATGCTGATAATTTCTACTTCCAACAGTTTAATTAATTATTAATTTCAATTTACATAATAACACAATTACCCATTATACTTTATTTTTTCTACCAGCTGGTAATGAGAATAATTAGATAAGTATATCTCTATAAGTTTGATCACACTTGAAGTCTTACATAGCTAGGTTATACTGTTAATTAACTATATTTGATAATAACTTTATCAATAACTTACTCAATATCAGATCCTTGTTGAAGCTCTCATAAAAAATTTTTCACAATTTTTGTCTTAAATGCAACTATTTTATTACTCATAGGAGGACAGTGAATACTGAAACCATCCAATAAATAGAGAACGTAGTACTGAGAATATTCAAATAGAACATACAGTACTGAGAACATTCAACAAATAGAACATCCAGTACTGAGAACATTCAACATATAGAACATCCAGTACTGAGAACATTCAACATATAGAACATCCAGTATTAAGAACATTCAACATATAGAACATCCAGTACTGATAACATTCAACATATAGAACATCCAGTACTGAGAACATTAGAACATCCAGTACTGAGAACATTCAACATATAGAACATCCAGTACTGAGAACATTCAACATATAGAACATCCAGTACTGAGAACATTCAAATATAGAAGTGCATCCAGTACTGAGAACATTCTAATATGGAAGTGCATCCAGTACTGAGAACATTACAGTATAGATACAGTGCATGTAGTACTGAGAACAGTATAGATAAGGTGCATCCATTAATGAGAACAGTATAGAAACAGTACATCCATTACTGAGAATATCAAGATATAGTGCGTCTAGTAACGAGAACATCAAGATATAGTGCGTCTAGTAATGAGAACATCAAGATATAGTGCGTCTAGTAATGAGAACATCAAGATATAGTGCGTCTAGTAATGAGAACATCAAGATATATAAACATTACTGAGAACAGTATAGATATAGTACATTTAGTACTATAGAGAACAGTCAGTAATAAGAATACATTTACATAAACATGAGAAAACACTATCTATTGAGCAAAACTTATTTCAGATTCTTGTCATAAAACAGGACAACTAGAAAACTGATATAGCAAGAATGTGTTAATATTTGTTATTTCTCTGTTAATTGTTTCAATATATCTATTAATAACTCAGTATCTGAATATTCATCAGTAAATTCTCTTTTAGATTCGATTTCCTTCTCTTTCTTTCTATTCAATTTCCTTTTATTGTTTAGTTTTCTTTCTTTTTCTAGTTTCTTTTTGTTGGTCTCCTCTTCATCAAGCTGTCTCTCTCCCTCTAATACTAGCTTTTCTAAATTCTGATACACGTCATCTGATATCTTACCACGTTTTAAAATATCATTACCTTTTGTTAATAAATCAATCAGATCAGATGCGATATCATTCTCATTTTTGATATCATTCTTTTTATTCGTATCTTCTGATATCTTTACTTGAGTATCAGAATTATGGTTGGGTTCAATAGAAATTTGTTTTGATACCATGTGTTCTTCATCCATAATGGATATGACATCTTGTTGTTTTGGAACCACGGCTCTCTGTGGTCTGGTATTATAATTCAACATTCTATCGACTCTACTTCCAGAGAACCCATACATTATCAAGGACCAATCACTCAAATAACCTTCATTTGTAGTGCGATCAAGTGAGGTAGGATTATCATTAATCTCAAGCTTCCATAAGCCATTAGGATGTTCCCCCCATGTATGTACTGACATGAAGGTAAACTCCCATTTTCCTTTAAAGTCATCATGTGGTCTGGGTGACAACATTTCTGATCTGGTACCAGCTGGTGAGGTAAGAAAGATCTGTATATCACCACGTCTACTGTGTGTTATTTTGACATGAATCTGTACATGTTCTAGTCTATCTATCTCACTATCTGAATCTTTACAACCATCAACATAAATCTGTGTTTCTATCGAACTTCTACTGTTAATTTTTCTACAATTATAAGCATTGGAACTTTACTTTGTATTCTTCGCTTAATCACAAAGTTATAATAAAACCTGCTTTCTATCCCTTACATGGAGACTTACTGAGAATTGGGACCTGATGCGTTTAAAATATTAATCTTTTCAAAACTTATATGCATAATCTAAACCCCACTATAAGTACTGTGGCAGGTTTCGATAGCTCATTTTTTCGCAACACCTGATATTACTCTACAACTCGGTTTGTCAACTCCACATCCCTTTTGGAGAGTAAAAATTGTAAATTTCAGTCAAATATGTAATGCATGACAAAATGTGAAACTTACATGTTAGAATCTGATCTATTATAAGAACATGTATGTTGTTCAGGTACATTATTCCAGTGTTGAGCTAGTTCCACCATTTTACCACAATCCATAACCCCATAACCAAATTTATGACTAACATGTAATCCTGCTCCATTGATTATCCAACTAGTATCCAAACTGGGTATTTTAGAGGATTGTATTACTATATGTTGAACATCACGCCATCTCAAATCACCACTGAAAATACACAATGACAATGGGGGTTGGATAATTCAAATCTAACATAGGAAAATGGAAAGTGTATAAAATGCTTATTCCAATATCCAGCTAGTTTTTGCATTGTCACAAATATGTGAAAAATAATCAAATATAGCTAAATTTGACCAAGAATACCCTTAAAGCCTATCCTACAAGTGGGAATTGTTGACTTTCACCCAGACATTACAGGCAATCCAACACCAAGTACAGAATTAAATAGGTATTCTGTGTATTTTACGTCATCAATGGGAATTGATCATTCAATATAACTCAATAAAAACTAGCTAGAATAGATGACCTAAAGCTAGTCAAATTGCTTGAATAAGATTAGATGTCAGATTACATCAAAGCAAGAACCATTCTTGAAAGAATCAGTTAGTTGTATAACTTTCATAAATACTATATTATATAGCATAGGAATATTATGAGATGAAATACAGAACTTACTTGGCCTGTAATAATAATGCTATACAACCAGCCCCTAGTGGAGCAGCACTAGATGTACCCTGGAAATTTTCTATACAACCATTTTTTATATCAGTTGTTACCTACAATTGACATACAGTAGATACTCTGGAAAATAGCTTAGAAAAATATATATTCCCAATTGAAATGTTCTATATACATGTAGTATAATTTAGAATTCATATCTAGTATTTAGACATCAATATACTTATCAATCAACACCATTATCAAACATAGTGATTTGGTCAAATTCATCAAATATATTTCATATTTATTATTCTTCATATCATATTTTTATTTTCATATTCACCAAACCAAAAGTCTGGTGACATGCTGCCAATCAAATTAGAAATGTATTTATATTTTCAACCAAATGAGATTTGGGCTATTTCTAAATGATACTTACAACTTTAAGCTTGACAATACCATGTCTTGCTTCTTCACCTTTCACCTCCTCTCCTCCACTGGGTACAACAGCTATAGTTGATGTACAATTCTCCATAAAAAATGGTTTTCTTCCTTTATCACTTATAGAACCTGGAGCAAAAAATATGAACCTTTTAATACAGGAAATAGCATTATACATCTTTTTCAGTGTACAGGTGTAATTAGAAAACAAAAGTTATACATTCTTTCATAACACAAAAAGTACTGATAAAATAAGTGTTTTGTGACGTCACTATCGCAAAAGCTGCAAATTGTATCAGAGGATCCTTGAGAAAATCTCTGTTTGGAAAATCTTTTTAATTATGAAGAAATGCTTACCTATAGACAATGTTTCTATACTTGAAACATAACCATCAGCACTGCAGTCATCATCATTAGCTCCACCATTACCAGTAGCCCATACATATATATTACCTTTACCTTTTCTACCCTTTTAACAATAGTCAGTAATAAATAGTGTATTGTGAATATAGTACACAGGTAAATAAATATTACCTTTTCTACTCTATTTATTGTATCAATTATTTCAATGAATATCCTTTCAGTTGCCAAAATGGTGATCCAAACTAAGTATCAGCACTAAGACTGTCATTCTTCGGATGTTACATCTTAATCATAATATCAGACCCCTAAACTAACTGAACAAATAGTAGGTCTCTGATGGGTTTAAAAAAAATCTTTTTCTGAATCTAGGAGCTACTAAATCGAATATAGGTTTGGATTAAATATGTTCAGCAGAAATTCAATTTATAGATTTTGAAGTAATATTACCTCTGTTACACCTTTTCTCAAAGCAGCTTTAGTAAAATGTTTTGGTGCTTGCATTGTTGCACCATCATCAGTTGGTCCCCATGATGCACTGAATATATCTATGTGTTGTATATTGAAATTTAAAGCTGCAGCCTCCAAACTATCTGTTACTCTACCATCTAAAATTCTTACACCTTAGATATAAATAAAAATATAACAATTCCTATTTGAACTCTCAGAAAGGGAAAACAAATAGACAAATCAAGTGACATCAGGTGTTCCAGAAAGAATACCCAACTATTACTGAGGTCAACAACTTGTCATTCAACTTCAGATTCTTCAGAACAATATATAACAAGCACTTTGGGACTTTTTAAGGGGACAATAGGCTTGCAATAGAATGTTTGAAACTATTCATGAATCATGTACTAACCTCCTATCTTGGCTGTATGTGCAATACCTACACCACAGACATTATTATTAGCATAGGCTGCTGCACTACCTGCACATCTTGTACCATGCCTGTAAAACAGATACACAAAATTCACATATTTAGCAGGGTTCAATTTGGATTAGCAAAATCTAATAAAATCTAAATTTTAGTATTGGGTTATCAAGTTAAATCTTAATTCGCATTTCCTAAAAATTTGGTAGCAATTTAAAATAATCGAGTAATAAACCTTCATGTATACAATTTGATTTGATTGTTGTGATAAATCTGAAGGAAATATTGGTCGTAAATGGGTCATTTTGAAAAGTCTATAATTGCCTAATTCTGAACATTAATGCTGAAATCTATGTTTTTACTATGATTTGGGGTGAAACTTAAGTACTGTGTCCAATTCAAAATATAGTCAACATGCATTGAAAAGTTCAACTACATGGACTAATGCTCTCTTCAAGCAACATGCACAATCAAATGTCATCCAATTCATATAAATATACTCAAATAAACACACATACCAAAAATAAACAAGAATAAAAAAAATTGGCAAAGAGCTAACAAAATTACCATACAAAAAAAAAAATGAAGCATCAACCATAAATAAATTAATAAATATATATCATGCACAAAGACACATACAATATTACAATTTATTTACCTTGACATCAACTGCTGATAATAAAAAATAGAAAACTATAGTTATTATATTTCATTTTTCTACATCAGGATGGTATTGCTGAAAATCTGGTGAAGAATTATTCCGTATTCCAAGCTAAAGATTGAGATCATACTAAGCTCTCAAGTGTACAAATTCAAATGACTACTTATAAATATACCACTTTGTCTGGATGAAACTTGATGTCAAATCACTGGCAATAATCTGTGGACAAAAATAGATATTTTCTTTATAATAACCAAACAAAACTTACGCATTAGCATGAGTTGTAACATTAGGCATAGGATCATCTGTATGGCCATTTAAATCTGTACTGGCATCTGGGTCCTATAAATAAACATATCATACCTGATTAAGAGGTGCAATACATGAGAAAAAATCATTTGAGATATACACAATAACAATTTTTTTTTTCCGAATTTCATAAAATTCTACAAGAAATTCTAGCTGTGATCAGTTTTTGAAAATATCATTCTAGTGATTTAGGGGTCTCTGACTCCCCCTGTTTTGATTCACATTATAAAACATGTATTGAGGAAAAGTTACTTTCAAAGCCCTACAAATCAAACTTACATAATTAGTAAGAAGGTCTTTGTGTGTATGATCAACACCATCATCTAGTATACTAATTACAACTCCGGTACCAGTAAAACCTTGTTTCCAGGCTACCATTACGTTGAGATCTACATCTTTGACTCCCCCACTCTGTCCAACATTATTCTATAAATAAAAAGAAAACGTTTTGATTTCTGTACTCTATGATTCCAAATTGTAAATAATTTTCTAAATTTAAGCAGCAAGGTGTTAATGCCATATATTAGAACTGAACGCTAATATTAGACAAACTCAATTTTTTTCTGGTGTTTTTGATTAAACAATTAAAATAGTTCTTTAAGTGATATTTGGATTTCTATTCCTTTGTTTCTTATGATCTGAATCTAAATTTTGGTATACTTGGAACAACCGATTTTGAGACATGTTCCATTGATGCTTATAAAATGCAACACACATGATGTCCGTTGGCTAAGCATCATTGTAAAATGAAGAACAATTAATACAGATGAAGAATTGTCTCTTCTTACTCATCTTCACAATGTCCAGCTATTGTGAATTTCTTATACCGTACTTTAAGTTTACTATCTTTATGATAATGGCCTGGATTAGCTTAGTGCGCTGGCATATAATCCAATACAAATCCCTGCATTCTGTAATGCAAGAAAGATGACTATTTTAGTCAAGGTATAAGATTAAGTTCGTAATAACTTCAATTTGTGAAAATGTTACTTACTATATACCACTGATCTTTATATAAAGGGTCATTGTAGTCCACAACATTGCCTGTTGGTATTTCATCTTTTAGTTGTAGTCTAGTACCATCAACACGATGGTATATACTATTATCACTTATATCACGTAATGGTAATTCTTCTTGTTTATCATATACAATAGATCTCTTCACCCTTAACAATTCTTGTTCTTGTTGTGCATGGATAACCTACAAAATAGTACCAATATTCAAATTATGGGAAATTTATTCATTAAAGTTGACCATATTGGGAAATTCAGAACCTTTGTAAACATAAATTCTTATCATAAATTATATAAGACCTGATCTCTTCAAATATGAAAAGTGTGGATTATTGAGAACAAATAGGACTAGAGCCACTCGTGGCACAGAGTGGGACTTTGCAAATGTAGCAATTTGCTAAAGACCCCGAAAAAATCGACGATAATTGGGTCAAGCGCAAGAACAAGTCTAAAGTTTTTTTAGAAATTTTTATTTTTTAGAAGATTCTAATACCGGAAGTAGACGTCAGACCTCACAAATGAAAGTATCAGCAGATAGCCAAGGTCAATGACCTTTGATCTTGTAAAGGAGAAGGTCTAAAAAGGTCAAGATCAAAAGATATCCGTCATCAAAATTTCTAATTGCACACGACTATAAAACCGGAAGTTGAAATAAGACAGCAAATATAAAAGTATAAATAGATAGCCAATGCCAATGACGTTTGATGTAAGAAAGGTCAAGGTCAACAAAGGTCAAGGTCAAAAATTGAAAATTTTGAATTTCCAAAACCTGTTCCTTTTTTTGAACTTCGAAGCGGAAACAACCGAATTTTTAAGACAAAGTGGCTCAATATATGAGGTAATTGTATGCAAAGTTCCATTTTGAACAAATGTATACTTTGCGAGTTATGCTCCTGGCCAAAAATGTCAATAATGAGTAATATAACCCAGATGTGCCACGCCCACCTTAATTTCTTTTGCATAGGGTAATTGATATTCCAAACGTTATGTTGTGTTTTAAATTTTAAGCTTCTACATTATTCATGTCAAAAGATATAGGTCAACAAATGTCAACAAAGGTCAAAATCAAAAAATGAAAATTTCCAAATGTTAAAACCCGTTCCTTTTTTTGGAACTATAAAGCTGAAACAACTGAGCTGTTAACACAAACTGGCCAAAAGGATGAGGTAATTGTGTGCAAAGGATCTTTTTTAACAAACGTATCCTATGCGATTTATGCCCCAGCCCCAAAATGTAAACAATTAGTAATTCAACCCAGATGTGCCACGCCCACCCCAATTTTTTTTGTCATGGGTGAATTCATATTCAAAGTGTCTAGTTGTATTCCAAATATCAAGGTTCTACATACAATAGGTCATAAGATATACATACACCAAGATCAAAATGACACAAATATGGTAAAACAAAACTCAAATTTGAAAAAATCACCAATTTCAATTTTGCTTTAAAAAAGCAATTGTTCTATATCTATATAAAGTGCATGAAAAGCACATTAGGAAACCGAAAAAATTAACCCTCTAGGTTAATTAGGTCACGTGCTAGAGCAGTCCAAAGTTGCGAATTTGGCTTTTTACGGATAACTATAAAACCGGAAGTACATGTCGGAGGTCAAAGGTCAAAGTATCAAATGATAGCCAAGGTCAATGACCTTTTACCCTATGAAGGTCAAGGTCATCAAAGGTCAAGGTCACATGGTGTGATCGTTTAAAGCTTTAAAAAATTTCAACCGGAAGTTGCAAAAAAGCAAAAGCGAAATTCAAAATTCGGCTCCCAATGTTTTTTGCGCAATCGATTGCAGAATACATTCACATCAAATTTGAGCATATCAACTTTTACCCTGAGGCCCCATTTTGAGTTTTTCAAAAGTGTGTTTTTTCAATATGGCGGCCAAAGTATCACTTCCGGTCTGGATTTTATCTTAAAATCGGCCATAAAATTTTATTTGCCAAAGATCAGCCAAATTTTGTTGACCTACATAAATTACACCGGAAGTTATTCAACCGGAAGTAGATTTGAAGTTCAGTCGCTTTCCTGTTGAAAATCGGAAATGACGTACAAAATTTGACTGTATCATATTATTAACATTAGTGAAGTCTCTTTGCATTTAAAATTTCAGATCAATCGATGCAAAAGCAAAAAAGTTGCAAAAAAATCGAAAAATTTGATCGAAAAAAGTGAGCGACGAATTTTCGAATTTCGTAATTTTTCAAGTGCTATCAGGTCAGAAATGCAGGTAGATTGTAAAAATGAAAACCCGAAGAAAATCGATGCAAAAATGCGCCTTCTAGAGCCGATTTTCGACTTTTTGCACATGTTGAACTGTGGCACTTCCGGTTTTGCAAAAATGTTCCAATTTATATTTATGCACATCGTCACCTATATAGAAGGTCTATGAAATTTGAAACGTTGCTACAACTACTGCAGTCTAAGCTCGGGAAGGTGTGGACGAAAAAAAAAAAAAAAAAAAAAAAAAGAATGGACATTTCGATAACAAACTGGGACTTTGCTAAAAGCAAAGTCCCACAAAAATTTCAATCTTTTTAAATTACATCTATGTATAGTATAACACAATATTTAAAAAACAACTGTTTTAAAGCAATACTTTGACATTGATATTCAGCTATTCAACCATATAATTTAAACTCGCTTGTAAAAAATAAATAAATCAAGTCAAAAAGTTAAGGAAAACAATATGTAACGTTGAATTTCTCTCAAATGAAACATTTTTAAGGAAACAATGCCATGTTGCATCAAATCATTTAAAGACAGTTATAAACACTCATCCTTTATGGTAACAACAAACCTGTGGATGATTCTGTAGTTTATTTAGGATAGAATTAGAGCTACGTTTTGATCTGTAATGTACTGTAGGATGTGAGAGGATAAAAACACCAATATCCCCAAGCTGAAACACAATAAAAATAATCATCAGCAGGAGCATAGTTTTCAGTTGTATACCTAATGTCTTGTTTGAAAATTTTCGACATAAAACATTTTGGACATTTTAGTAACATTTAGAACATTCTTGTTTGCCTTTGAAATATAATGTACAAAATAATTGGCAAACAATACATACAGCATATCTAGGTCAAAAACGAAAATATATGTTTAAACCCTGTTTTCACTGTTATAGGGATGTTCATGTGAAAATAACCGATATCTATTTCAAAATCTTCACATTGACCTGTATAAACACTAAAAGTCATCTTCTTAGCTTTCGATATTTGTGGTACATACGAAACTTCATATGGTTTTCTATGATTTATGGTATGGTCTATACAATATAGAAAATAAGAAATATTACATGTTTATCAATATAACATATAACTATACTAGGAACTAGTAAATACCTCTCTTTCTATCTTAAATCCATAAGATTCCACTAATTCATCTATAGTCTGTCTTCCATCTTTACACTGTACAGCAAATTCATTGACAAAATCTTCCCCATTACAAATACTGAGAGATATTATTCCTAGACTATATATACACACCCACCTCCACCAAAATCTCTTTTCCATTTTACACTAAAACTATCATCAAAATATCATTATTACATCTATAGATATCCAAATTCAAGACAGTTTATCTCTAGAACACAACCACAGTGAAAAAAAACTTTCCTTATGTTAAATTGAATCTCCTTAATCTATCATTATATAATATACTAGACATAATAAAGAAAATCCTCAACAAACATAATCTATATAACTATCAACTATAATCAACTATCTTGATGAAATGGTTGATTTAACTTGTTTAGTGTGGGTAGAAATTATTGTATTCATGCTTCAGGTCAATGATTTTGAGTCCAAATCGTGATAATTTATTCACATTCAATTTTTAGAAATGTTTTCGTTCAATTTTATGAAAACTTAACACCATGAAATTTTTAACTTAAAAGTATCTTGCCGTTGATTTTAGAACGCCAAAAGTTAAAAGGTTTACTAAACTTTTTAACGTTGCTATGTTTTTTTGTTTTAATTGGAAAACCTATTTACGAATTTTACCAAAACACACACTTGATTGTAGAGCAGTATGTCTCCAACTTATTCTGAAGGTTTCAACTAAAAATATCAAGCCATTACAATGCCAATTAAAAAATATAGATCAATCCGCTTAATTAACAATTAGTATACTTTGTTTTTAATCACCCCTTTTCCCCTTTTAAAACAAATTCAGGCTGATCAAGTGTGTTATACATAGAAGTAAATAGAATTTTAAAATCTGTTCATGTATACAGTATACTTTACAATGTTTTACTGATAAAAATTGTGCATACACCAGTAATTAATTGAAATACATTTTGTACTGTTAAGACAGACTTCCTGAAATGTGCAAAGGTGTTAAACATATCTTTTGCTTCAGACAAAAGAGAACTAGACCTAACCCTAACAAAGACCAGATGCACTCTATTCAATAAATTGCAGATCTTGCCTTCCCATAGTAAATTACTGGACCATGATATTTCAGTGACAGACCTATCACTTAGCTACAATTACTAATCATGGGTATCACCATAGAAATGTAATTACAATGGTTCTATGTAGACGATGGTAACATTTTCATAATTGTGAATAGAAATTCCTGTATAATTTTTTAATTGTATACGATGTAATTAAGATATATTAAGTATAGCACAGTTAGTGAATCTAGTGGCAGTGATTATACCGTAAAAGGGATGGTAAAGAGGTTTACTAAATTTTTCATGTGTATCATGGATCCATTTGACCTTTCCATTTCAATCAGATGTCTGTGGTTCCTGCAATTCCACTAAAAATGAATATTTGATGACATCACTAATTGCCTGTGATACATATAATATATGAAATTTATCACACCTCTTAACAATCACTTTTGCCAGCATTTATTTCATTCATAACCATGGCCTAAACTACAGGTTAAAGTATAACATTGTATAACAATAACAATTGCGATGATTTCATAAATTTGGCATTTATCATTATCATAACATTTATGATCTGTCTAAATTGGGATGGGCGTGACATCATGATAGCAACAAACAAAATCCACTTTAAGTTGTTGGTTATATAATTATATAACAAAATAACTTGTATAACCTCTTTAAAACATGTGGACGGAATAGCAGAAAAGAAGTTTAAAAAGTTGTCTAAGATGCCATGTTACCGATAACAGGAAATGACGTTGGGGCACCTGTCAAAAAGCAGGTTCGTTTTGACAAAATTTGTCATACTATTCTATCGGTGACATATCGGCATTTATACAGTGCGAAACGAGGAGAGTAATCACCATTATCACTTAATTGCGTCATCAAACCACTAACAATAAACGTGAAACTAATCTTAATAATACCATAGAACTGTATACTGTTAGTATACAGTTCTATGATAAAACTGAGTATCTTATAAGTAGCTTATATAACATTAGGGGGTGAAGTTCGTTTTGTTCGAAAAACTTCAATCTGCCTTATCACAAAGTTAACCTAAATTTAAATGCAATTATATGTGACAAAATTATAGAAAAAAAGAGTCATGTCGACTATTCATAAAACTGCTGTAGTCGGATTTACAAAGGTAATTTGAGTAGTCTGGGTGCCTTGACACAAAATTACGAGGGACCTTACCAACTGATGCTTAAAACGACAGCCCACGAGATGTAGGATCTATAATGCCTCCTGAGATGAGAATCAATCAGCTCTGAATTTTTTATTTGTCATAATGAAGAGTAGAATAACTGAAACCTAATCCCCATTTTAATTAAGAAGATATGTCCTATGAAAATTTAAAAAGGAGCAGTCTGATTTGTCAAATATTTAAAAGGTTTACGTAAACATTCTGATTTCACTATTTTTAATCGAAATAAACATCAAATTAACAAATTGCATGGAAAAAAGTCTTCTACTTATTCTGCAAGTTTGAAATAAAATTATCGAGTCTTTATAAGGCCTAATACCAAAACTTAGTTTAAACTGCTGGTTTAACAATGAGTAAATCCCCTTATTATTATATATTTACATTGATCAAGTAGGTCGGCATACAAAAATAGCTTATAATTATCTCGAATGCGATGATGGAGAGTAATGATATTGCCGATATTGCTGGAATAATATCTATCCACTCATTGAAAATAGGGATATAGATAAGATTTATCAATAATTGCTTTTTCATTCCAGCTTCAATAAACTTATATTAGGAAAGCAAATGTTTAGAGGACCATATCTCTTTAATCTGACCCTACAATTTGTACATTATATTTACTTTTACTTACTAGGGTGACTTATACGAATCTAGCAGACCATCATATACTGATCTGACAGTGGAAAGAATTATAGAAGAATTTCAAAATTTAGGACAAGGACAAGAAGGTATTGGATTTCATTCATGATTCTGTCCGTCATTATTGTAAAGAAGCAATCTTATTTCTTTAGAAGTTTGGGGATATTAAAGAAAACTATAGACCAAAATATAGAGGCATATAATAATATGTCCCTTAACATAGTCTCTGAAAGTTTAAACTAAAGGTATCTTGCAGTTGATTTTTAGAATGCCAATAATATTTTAAAAGTTTACGTGTGACTGTCTCCCATTATTATTTAAAGGTTTAGTTTTGTTACATTCAGTTAGATCGCCACAGGAGCCTATTGGAATTTTTGACCGGTAAAATTATACTTTAAGTTCATTTCTTACAGTCAAGTATGACATTGTGGAACTTGGTGCTGGAACTGGTAAATTTACTAATCTGATTACCAAGAAACTACGGGTAACTATAGCATAATTAAGAGTAATGTTGGAAAATGACAAGTCAACATCTGCTTTAAAGCTGATAGGTAGTTGTTGGTAGTTGGTACAATTGGATCTAGATCACTTGGATGGTCTGGAACTGAGTTTTATTCCAAATGTACAATATATAGCTGTAGATCGGATGAAAGTGCACCAGTATAGATTGAAATGAAATTTTTAATGAAGTTTTACGTTTTCTGCACCACCCAGTTGATTAAAGACAAAGAATAATTACTTTATCCTATACAATGAAAATGAATGCAATGAAAAGGCATATCCATTTCCATGTGCGGACTTCACTAGCAGACTGAAGACTGAAGACTGAAATATCATTAATCATGTAGATTTTTACCCAGCGTCAGATAGATAGTTCGAGCTCAACCTTACCATCGCAAATCTCTAGTAGGTTAATCAGAATCATCAAGATTCGGACTATCTTTATTTCAGAACGTGAGATATTTAGCGACTGAACCATCTGATGGATTTTATCAAACATTCCAAGAACTTTACCCTTATATAGAGAGTCTACAATGTACAGCTTCTAAAATACCATTAAAAAACCACTCGGTCAAGGTAGGCCAAATTAAATCAAAACTTTTTGTTTCGCGGAATGTTGATCTCAATGGTAATCTGACCAGTTTTCAACCAAAGGCCAGTTCTAATGACGTTATTTTGTGATAGCCAAGCCGATAAGGCTGTCATACATATGGCTGTACTTTGGTTTCGCTTTCGCTATTCAACAATCCGTCATTCGGCATCCTTTATCCGGATTTTAGTTTAAGATGTCTGAGTCCATGTTATATAAGGACATATTTGCAAAATGACATATTTTATCGAAGTCAGTACACATTGACGACCTTTAGAATCCTTAGTCTGCTTATATTCATCCAATAAGTCCTTAGATTGACATTTACGATCTGAGTCTTTGATGTCTTTCAGTGCATTATTTGTGCCCAGTGTTTTCATTGGTTTTCTGATGTTGAAAGCATGAACGAAATAAAGAGGGTTTTGATACCAGATGGAAAACTAAGTATTTACCTGATTGTTTTTGATATATAAATGTGACATAATTTACGATTATTTTTACGATTGTCTGGTAATTGAAGTAAAAGAAGACTCATACTGTAATTAAATGGAATAACTTATCTTAGTCTTATAGTAAGATAAATTAAAATTCCGGATTGAGTCTCTTTTTAATGTTTTCGATTTGTTTTCGATTTATTTTTAGTTTTATTGTGGAATATAAAGAACATGGCATATGATTGGGTGAAAACTTGGATAAAAATGATAAGAGAAGGTCAACCACCCTCCCCCAATTATTATACACTCGATTGGAGAAAAGCTATAGATAATAATGGTATATTTCATTGTATTCAGGACCTGGACCTTGATGGAGTTGAATTTGGTGTAAGTTTACCAAAATATGAATTTGAAGCCTTTCTTCAGAAATATTTAACTTCGTGCTCACTATTTTACTGCAATCTATTGTTTGATAGCTGATCAGGGAACATTGATAGCACAAACCTATAGTTGTAAGACCGACTTCTTTTCAATACGTCCGAAACTATTTCCTCTATCAATCTGATTATCTCAAGTGCTATACTAATACTAATGTGTATACATCTTAACCCTTGGTCCAACAAGCAAGTTTTCTCGCCACAAACTTTGTTGGCGGAGAATTTATTTCTACCATTTAGATTCATTGAAATACTGAACTCTATGTGATTCACTCGAGATCATGAATTTTAATGGCAATCTTGATCTCTTTCATTTGAAACCAAGCACTCTTATGAATAATTTGGACTAAAATAGCTTCGTATTAGGTGATATGTTTAAACAAATCAATACGACCTTTTTCATATGAGACACGAATTTCATACACGTGTTCCTATTTACAAAACAAACCAGATGAATAAGCTTGTTTAAAAATCACGTGATATAGAATATTTTTCTAATACAGATCAAAGATGGAGTTGTTTTTCTTTGTTTTAGGGCAATATAAAATTTCTAGTACAGAACATAATGTCTGTGAGTGTAGTAAATGCATTAAGTGAAGAAAATAAACAGAAACTAGGTGAAAAGGTTTACCAGTTTTTATACAAAGTACATGGTGATACAGAATTCATCAAAATTCCATTCAAAACAAAGATTGTAATCTACAAAGTAAAATAAAATAAGCTTATTAGAAATCACTTTCTAACATTGATAACATTTAGTTCATTCTTTGAGAATATATTCTTATCGGATAATGCAGGGTTGATGAAAATATTTTACATGCCAATATCAATGGCTCAACTAGATAAGTGTGGGCTCGTGGACTTAAATGGGTTCGGGTTTCTCCCTGGGAATTTTGTTACTTTTGTAATTCTGCTCTCCTACATCATGAGGCCCCTCAGTAAGACAGTATAGGGTCTATCTGTTTATGTTTTCAGTCTGAAATTAATGCTTTTCTTTTTCACTCATTTATGTATTGCTGGTTGCTTTTTTTAAAATTTTGTAATTGTTCTTTGGGGTGGGGGCCGGTAGACTTGGTTCAACCATTCCCTTTGGTAGTTGAACCAATGGCCAATACAATGCAATCTGAGGACTGTGAGACCATTTTGACAAATAAAATTGCTGGCGGTTGCCGTATGTTCCACAAAAAGGTACGCCCACGAACATATTTTGAATATGAATTTATGTTTCTATATAACCAGTGTAACAATATAAAACTAGAATAATTTCACTATAAAGTCAGCTTTAGAACTGAGTCACGACTTATCTCAACGTCAATTGTCATTTGAACCGGAAGAATCACTTGTGAAGACATTGACATTTAAATTGAAACGAATGTTAACTATTTCTGAGAATTAAGAATTGGGACAAAATCACATTCAGACGATCCTTCACTTATAAGAAAAGAAACATCGTCCTCTGTCACTGTTCTAAAGGAATTTGAGTGAAAAAGCTCATTACTTCTAACTTCGGTATTGTTTAATTTCTTGTGTGTGTGTGTGTGTACAATGGGGTAGGTACTAAAGTAGTTTGCACCCTCCAATCGTACCCCCACTTCAATTCCAACAAACTTATGAATATGAATTCTCTACGTTTTGTCCAAAATATGTGTCAGAATGCACCAAATAAATACTATTTTTCATATATTACATAAATGGGACCCTCCAAGTAAGACTAATAATTGTACTTATGATGTTCCCACAGAGCTACTATATTTTGAATTCAACCTCGACAATTGTACCCTATTGAATTCATTTTCTCCTTATTTGTGTTCCTGCTATGTATTCATACCAAATGTATAGTTTTTACATGGAAATAACACCCACGAATCTCTTCCTCGACTTTACAAGTTGAATTTTGATAAAAGTTATACATGTAATATTTTAATAAAGTCATCAAATCTCATCATTTAAAGGTTTAGAAATGGGTTTGAAATATTATAGCCTTTTTAAAAATTAAGTCGAGGTAGTGATTCAAAATGACGGTGAACTACGTTCGTGTGTGTTATTTCCATAAATCAACCATACATAGTTTTGTATGCTATGTATTCAGATTAAATACCAGGATTTGAGGTCAATTTTAATACATTAGCTTTTTATACTTTACACTTCGTGCATTTTGTAGGTGATTCGAGGAAAATATTAAGTGTCAATTCTAGTGAAAAAGCTCATCATTTTTAACTGGATATTGTAAAATTTCTTAGAAAAGAACAAGGCAACCTCTCTGTATTACAACGTATAATCTGGTCGTATCATTACAACTAGAAAATGTCTATAGGCAATATGTTGTTCAAAGTATTGTTTTTGGGATTGATCCACTCTTTGTATGGTAAGTAAATGCTTATTATATAAATATATAACATTATTAGCTTATAGATGTAGGCCGATAGCCAAAAAAAGGCCCTCCTTGATCCTCGGACGTAATGTGCCGATATCCCATCCGTATATCATGTACGAGGAACTGGTGTGACCAGTGTTGTCGGTCTTCTAAATATACAATGTGCATTTTCGGAGGTGAATTTCGAATTGATATGTACACGGTTGGGATAAATATTCCTGAAAAAATATGCACAATCTGCTTGGTCAGCGACGCCCACTTAGGTTAGGTAGAGTAAATATGTGGCTAAAGGCCTATTTGACTCCATACTTGAAGCTAACTTGTTGCCGAGGATGACTTTTCATGGTTGACTCGTTTAAATTGCAGCATTTCAAAACATTGCGAAAATTCTATTAACGAATTATAGGCTTCAAAAGTCAACTGCCTGTCTTCACCTGACTTTATTTTGCTAGATACTCCTTGCATCTGTCTATATTTAAGGTTAATTCAAGAATTGTTGTGTTTGTTCAATAGGTGCTTCATACTTCGATTGTCCACCAGGATGGAAGAGCTATGGTGAAGAGTGTTGGCTGGCATCGACACATCAGAAGTCATGGGAAAAGGCTTACGAATTTTGCAGAGCTCAAAGCCCCGATGGCGCTTTTATTGATATAAGAAATAATGAAGAAAATGATGCAGTGGAAGGTAGAAGCCTATTTCAGCTTTTAAATAATATCAAACTTATTCTTGAACATTTTTATAGCTTCCCAAATATTTAAAATGTTTTAAAGAGATCTAAAAGTGGTGTTTTTGTATTTGTATCGGGGACACTGATAGCATCAATTTTCATCATTCTTATTTTCAAACAGCCGTCTGTGGTTCCTGCAAATCCACTAAAACTAAGTGCTTGATGACGTCACTCATGAAGTCAGACGTCTGATTGAACATTAGAATGGTACAAATTGATGTTATCGGTGTACTCATGCACATTTTTTTTTTTAGAAAATCTCTTTACAATCTCTTTAAGATAGCCTCCAATAAATCGTGCTTTTAAAATGTCTATTGGATGCTGATCTGCAACTTTCAATTCATTTATATACTAAAATATTCATTTATGATCTTTATTTGATCTTTCCCCAATATCTATTTCACAGATATGTTAAAGGGAAGTAATTTCGAGTATTGGTTTGGCTTGGAAGTGGGAAATAACAATATACCTTATGTTTATAATATGTATCTAAGATGGAATACGACAGGAACAGCCGTCACGGTTAACTTTTTAAATATTTAAATTTCATATTATTGAAGTTTTAAAAGGCCTATATCCTCAGCTCCTATAGGTGTTTATTATATTGTAGACTTCTACCACATTCGTACTTCTAATTTTTGATTTAATTGTACACAATTGGTCGTCAGATATTATTCATGTTGCTAGAATTTAGTCATTAAAGTCAGTAAAGCTAATAAATAGATTCCGACTACATCCGCTTCTAGTCAAATGAATGATAGAAACGAAAATGACAGAACAGTGGGCAATTAAACCCCATTTTGTTTCTTTATCTTCTTTTGAAGGAATATGGGCAACAAAAATTAAGAATGTATAATTCTCATTCACGACAATGTGGTTATGTAGATGATAAAGGTTCTTGGTTTCTAACCAGTAGTTGTAATTTACGGAAACAATTTATATGTCAGAAAGAAACAGGTAAAAAAGAAACTTTCAGATAGTCTTTCATTTGACAATTATTACAGACAAATTCCTGGGTTGTCATAACCCGAGCTGTTGAATTTTTCTGCTGACACGGAATCCGCTAGTTTGTCACGTGACGTCTTTCGCTGAAATATATTCTAGCATATTTGGTAAAAACTGAAATCCGCCATTTTGTTCATGTCAAAGTATAAATTAATACATTTTACCTTGCTTGAAACTACTGGATTCATTCTGCTATCTGACATTGTACAGACAACCCATGTTTATCAATTTATCAAATTAAGTTACTTGACTGTACTTGGTTTATGTATTAAAATCATGTTGGATCACCTCTGAGACGTTAACAAGCACTTTAATATAATGAATCTCTGTCGTAATCTATTACCGTGAGAAAATTCCTTGGATTCCAATTAACATGTTTTCCCATATTATTATATCATATAACAGATTGTTTACGGGGATATTATGGCGAGTCTTGTGATCAGAGGTGTAACTGTTACAAAGCTGACTGTAACAGAACTACGGGAGTTTGTCAACATGGTTGTTCTAATGGTTGGATTGGCGATCAATGCAACATAGGTATAGTATAGGTTTTTTTCGCTAGAAAGTAGAGATGTTCTAATGACTTAATTATTTTTGTTTATCCAGACTGTACGTCATACATGGACATTTATGATTGGATAAAACTCTTAATTATATGCTGATGATAATGATATGATTAAGAATACATTAGAAACAACAATTAATCAAATAGTTTGCTTAATTTAAAACACAAAAAAAGGAAACCCATCTTTAACATAAGTGAATACTAAATCTGATCAGCATGATGTTTTGAGGTTTTTTTTAATAATACGACCCTTTCTATAATGGGTACCTGTTATCATTTTAAGAGAATCTTTCTAAAAATAGACCTGCAGAAACATGTATTGCGAAACAATTTATTCCCAGCATGGCTCGAGTTCCATTGGAATTTTAATGTCGTTTATTTTTCAGAAAAACAACCTGCTCAAGGTAATTCGATATTTTTTAATATGACCTTTAACCCCACACACTACCAAAATAGGCAGAGGGACATTGTAGAATATCCAGAAATGTCTTGGTTTCGTTAATGATTCGACTTCATACAATCAATTCTCCTATATATTTGGTTTTAGTTCTTATCTCCCTTTTTTTGAAACAATGCAGTGATTTGACCAATTAGCAAACTTCCGGGTGAGAATAAGCTGTTGAACATAATACAGAGTGGTGTGTCGATGCTGTTCATATAGAAAACCTTGTTAGGAACGGGTGATTTTTATGTAATTAAGTTTTTATTGTCCGTTCGTCGGTCCGTCCACAATTGCTCGTAAACACTCTACGAGGCACAATTCTTGATTGATTTCGACGCAACGTGGTATGGTTGTTTGTAATCACCCAAGAATGAACCTTATTGAAAATCAGAAAAATCAAAAAATATTTAGTAATTGTCGTAGTTCTTAAAACACTAGTAAAAACACTCTAGAAGGCGCAATTCTTGATGGATTTGGATGAAACTTGGTGTGAGTGATTGTTATCATCCAAGGAAGAGCCCCATTTAAAATCAAACAGATAAAAAAATAATTAGTATGAGTTATTGCCCTTGTTCTTGAAAACGCGTTCAATTTTAGCTCGTAAACACCCCAATAGGCACAAATCTTGATGAATTTAGATGAAACTTGGTATGAGTGTTAGTAATCACCCAAGGATGAACCCTATTTAAAATCAGAATAATCGAAAATTAATTAATATGAGTTATTGCCCTTGTTCTTGAAAACGCGTTCAATTTTTAGCTCGTAAACGCTCTAGAAGGTTCAATTATTGACAGATTTTGACGAAACTTGGTGTGAGTGTTTGTTGTCACCTACGGATGAACCCATGCGAAAATAAAAAAAATCGAAAAATAATTGGTAAGAGTTATTGCCCTTGTTCTTGAAAATGCGTTCAATTTGTAGCACGTAAACACTCCAGAAGGCACAATTTTGATGGATTTGGACGAAACTTGGTGTGAGTGTTTGTTGTCACCCAGGGATGAACCCTATCGAAAATCAGAAAAATCGAATAATATTATTGCCCCTGTTCTTAAAAACGCGTTCAAGTTTTAACCTGTAAACATTCTAAAAAGCCCAATTCTTGACAAATTTTGATGAAACTTGTGGTAATATTATTGAGTATCGCCTCAAAAAGTTCAAAAGAAGTGTATGTCTGAAGGTTGAATATTTCATACTGGTAATTGTTACTGTACTGCCAAATATTTTTATTTAAAATCAAAGCTGTCTGGCAAGCTATCTTTTAGTAGTTTATTGATCTCTTCTGGAAGGTTTCTCAAATTAAATGTCTTTCAAAACAGATTCATCTTCTTCATCTTCTTTGGTAAATACACAAGTGAAGAGTCCTGGCAGTATGTCAGCCCTGTATCACTTATTCTTGAAATGCAACTCAGAGATACCACCTTTAGATTTTCTTTTCTAGTTTACATAGGACCAAACCGTCTTGCAATTTGACTTTGCTGACTTTGCATTCATTTAGAATATAATTCATTTAGCTTTCTCGTTTTCGATACATTATAATTAAATGTACTGTTAATGATTTCAGTGGCAGTATACTGTATTAAAAAATCAGAAACGGAACAATACGCTCTAATAAAAATGGATTTAAAGAGCGTTGACTATGATGAAGTCTATATATTAGATGAGAATGATACCATTGTGTGTAATAAATCAGTATTTACACGAGATTCGGATGATATTTACACTCTTAAAATAGATATGCTCACCGATCCTCTACAATGTTCTCCTAAACATGTGAGTAAAAATGCATGCTCCTGGTCGTTATTTCTCACTCTCGATTCACATATTATGAATTGGAGCTGACGTTAGTTGGATGACCGATATCACAATCACTTAAAGATCCAAATGCCAATGGAGGTACATGTACGGTGTAGGATTCAGTGGCGGTTTATTAAAAATAAAGTGGGGTATAATTTGGGGTGCAAACCATTTTTCTAAGGCGCAAATGACGCCTCCACCCATTTATTCTCCCACTGGCGTCACCACTGGTGGGATTATCGATATAATAGAGAATAATTCACAGTATAATGTATATACATGTATTGTGTCATTCCAGATTTCAAAAGGGAAATATCAATGGACACTTCGAACAGAGGAAATTGAAGGGTTTCTAAGTGAATATGATAGAAAGTTTGACGTAAATTGTAATTTCAATGGCGCTGAGAAGTTGTCTCGTACAAAACAACAGTCTTTATCAGAGTAGGTATTTTAACCATTTAATTGTATACTGATTTAGTAACGACGGCTTATTACTCAACCCGTTTCCAACTTTCCTTCTGGATTGGCTTGGTGAGACAAAAACTAGCTTAAATAAGCATATTTTTAACACAATGATTAACGTCTCATGTTTAAAGATTTGAAAGAAAGTAGTTTAAAGTTTTAAGATTTTAAATGAGATATCGGGGAATTTGGTTCAGTTTACAGTTTTTTTTTTTTTTATTTTTTTTAACCTTAATAAGAGATTCAATGGCCCAACTCACCAATACTGAAATTAAACAATCAACAGAATCGGTACGATTGATTATACAAGATCCATCTACAAAAACTGCCGTATCCCAAATTAAAATTGGTGCCAAGATTCAACTAGCTATGGTACTGAACCTTCAAAATACTTCCATGTCTGCCAAAGGTAAGTTTGGTTCAATAAACCTTTTCCTTCCATTGCTGTTGCTTTAGAAATTCAGTTACTTTTCCAAAGTATTGACGTCAACAAAAATTCCGCCAAATTGACTAGTTTCGTTTGTAGTATCAAAATCTGCGATCCTTAAATTTAAAAAAACTAATATGCGCATTTTTTTTTATTTCTGTAGGGCGATTGGCTTTTAAAACCCACCCATCACTAGGCCGTTTCTAGTATTTACACGAAATCAGATATATTAGTTTAGCAAATGAATACTCTCAAGTCAAAAATAAGTTTACTTGACCAATGATGTGTGGAAATGTGACTATGTTTCAATTGTGTTTCTATAGGTATTTCTCCTTTTAACTGTAAATGTTCTACATCCGACGGTAAAATATCTCAAGCTTTGACTGATTCCAATGGGTAAGTTGAATTCATTCTGTCGTGTATGTCCCTTCTCCCTCCCTCCACAACCCACACACCCCACACCCTACCCAGCCTGGGCTACTTCACTCATGGGACACCATTGGGCAATCCTCGGCAGTTTCCATAAAGCTTAATCTGATTCGGTAACGTATAGTGAATTTCGTTGTATCTTCTTGGGCGAGACTCTTTACTTCCGGTATTTAGCAGTGATTTGTCAAGTGATAGTAATATTGCGAATTAAATATAGTCCTTAAATTTATGGAATTTGGATAATTCTGACACTTACATATATATTTAATGCTATCTTACAAAGTTTTTGTTTTCATTGACTTTGTTTACAAGTCGAAGTCATGAACGACCAGCCTCTAATATTTTAATGGCCGTTCATTACCGTGATATGTTGCAGAGCGCTAGCGTAACTTTCACGGAGGTCGGATGATGGGACACGACATCTAATATTAAGCTGAACAATTTTCATTGAACACGATGACGTTAAAGGAATTTGAATTTAGAAAAAAAATTACTAAGTCTTGAGTATAAATTTTTCGAAACTTACTTTGTAAAAAATTGTAGGTATAGATTAACCAAAATGTCCAAAACTTGTGTAAGGGATTACAAGAAAAAAAACCTCTTATATGCTTCCATATCTTACAGATGTCCCTTGAAGAATTCACCCATATATTTGATTGATAGTGAAAGCTCACCGTCTCGTGTCGTTTCAAACCATTTTGATGCTTTTACAATAGAGGGAAGATCTGATATAATATTCCAGTGTCAATTTCAATTTTGTTTCAATGATTCTCCACATAATGAATGTCCAAGCGTAAGTTTTAAATATTTATATATCTTATATAGTATCCGATTCGAGTTCGTTTCTTGCTCTAGATTCAGTCGCAATTTGTTTATGATTTCAGATCGAAATGAATTCTTATTATTATGCATTTCGTTACGAGCAAATCTAATTCAATTTGATTTTTCTGATTTGTCTACATTGTAATCTAAGAAGTTTTCTACCAAAAGCCTGTTCTATTGGTAGTATTTTTTAACCAATCATGCGTTTCAAGTTAAACCCCAATCTTGATAGAATAAGGAACTTTGAGATTGCGAAACCCAAAGAGGTTGTCGAATTGTTCCAATTTAGGTTTCTCCTTCACCTTCATTCGTATCTTATGAGTAGTATGTACATTGTTTTTAATATTATTGTTTATCGTTTCAGAGATGTCAGTATCTGAAGACTAGAAGGCTTATTAAAAGATCAGTAAATGTAGATAATGGGATGTTTTCAGCTTCACACATCTTTGTTCACCAGAATTAATTCACTATGACAAGTTTATGTAAATAGGATTAGAATTTGAGTCTGTACTTGTATTATGTCTATTACAATAAACCCTATATTCAGTATGTTTTAATAGTAATATAATTGTCTGATGCCATTCTGTCACTGGATTTGTCAACCCAACAAAAAGCGTCCAGGCACCCCTTAATGAGAAATTGTTCCATTGTCTAGAGAAGTGGTATTTTAGTGAACGTAGATAGTCGATTGATTTCCTTGTTTTGGAAGTGTGGTATATAGAGTTGTTTGTTCCACTTGCCTTCAGCCCCTAGAATTATGTCAAGATGTTTGTGCTCTTCAGAGTCAAATATTGATTTGTTGTTAAAGTGGAAAGTTGGATGGATTTTTTTTTCACCCATTGTAGAATCAGGAACAGTATGAGTGTCCGCCACTTGTACATGTTTGCTCGATGACCCCCCTAACTTTTTTCTGTATTTATCATCTTACCATGTCCGACGCTCAGGGGCTCTTTACACTCTCCCTACGCATCTACTAGACATGGGGAAAGCCCCCATCCCTCTCGCGACTGATGGTTGCTGATATCCCGTAGTCGTAAATCTCTAAACTACTGTAGCGTCGTCTTGATTTTATTCTGTTAAAATTCGGTGTGGGTTACCTCCCTTCATGTAGTTTGTTTGTAATTATTGCTGAATTAGATACTTCGTGCATAATTCATGGCATCTCAATATGTGGTTTCCATCAATGTAGCTTACTGTGCCGATAACAGAGTAAGGTGCAGACAATCAATCGAACGTTAAGCCGACAGTAAGATACGAGATATTACGCATCTATATAGGTCAGATAAGAATTTAAGTGTCCTTGCATTATATAGGTGCATTACTTGAAAATGAATGTTCACGAAACAGCAGAGAAAGGCTTTAAACATGTTGGTATTGAGGTTCTTTTCCATACACGGAGTTAGACCTACAGACTGAATTATTTTGCAATTCTACAACGCAACTTTACATTCGGCAGTATCTGTTGGGGCGAGACGATTTTCTGTGACGGTTCACCATTAGTTTGTCACGTGATAGTAATATTGCGACGCGAATATAGTCCATAGCTTTAGAGCCATTAGGACAGTGACGGGGCTAAAAGGGGGTTACAAGACCCCCTCGCAGCCCCGAATATTATCATATTTAACTTTTGAATCACATTTCAATTTGCATATAACAAGACTCTTGAGAGAAATGACAGGATGACAAAGCATTCGCGTCAACGAAGTAAGCTTCGGTATGAGAACATGCGTAAAGTCAACTATACATAGTAAAAGAAATGACATTTAACATGAAGATTTTCTTTGTAGCCTCATATTGCTACAGGCTCCTACCTCTCTTACTTGTCATATGTAAAGCACGTTATTGGAAGCCTGGCTTGTATCCTTCAAAGATTTTACAGTTTTGATTCGCAATTCTTTACAGGGAGATTTTTATGACAAGTATAGACCTAGTTATACCGACGAAGTAATAGACACAGTTTTACAAATCATACGTAACAACGCAGTAAATCCAGAAAATAGTATGTTTCCAATCGTTATTTAACAGTATTACTACGGCCGAGCGAGAATGGAGCATGGTACCTATATACATGTAAAGTAGAATCCACTGACTAATTTGTTTTAGTTTTGTTTACACATTAAGCCTACTGTAACAGTCATAAATTGATATCACTTTTTGTCAGTTTTGTATCACGTCTAAGTGTAATTTATTCATACATTTTTTTACAATCATTAGTAGTAAAATGATTTTAATTATTTATAGCGCAAAATGTTAAATATGAAATTTTGGAACTTGGTGCTGGAACTGGAAAATTTACTAAGAAACTGAAGGATAAACTAAAGGTGGGTGAATTCTGTTATGGAATTTTATGTACTGGGAATGGGGGGTAAATTCCAAGTATTTTTGGCCAGATGTACAAATAGATATTCTAGATTGGCTTACAGACAAATAACATTCCACATGTTGAACCCTATCCAATGAAACACAAGAGTATAAGTGAAATATATCGAAACGACATAATAATTTTTAGTATTTAATAGTATTCTTGTATTATGTTCTAGCAAGAGAAATTAATTGCTGGTGAACCTTCAGAAGGATTTTTGACAGTTTTAAAACAGTCTTGTCCAGATGTAGAGTGTTTACAATTTGCTGCCAATAATATTCCACTACCAGATTCTTCAGTTAAGGTAAACATGTTACTGTTAGGTTGCGATAAACTTATTAGATTTTTGATACAATCTGTCATCTGACGGATGTTTTGTCCTTTCTGTATACATGATATATAAAAATGTCATTTCCATTCCAATAAATTACTTAGTTTCCTTGGACTCGGCTTTTCTTATTGCTTCTAGCACGACGTAACTTCAGATAAGAATATACCAACTATAGAGATTCCAATTTAAAGTAATCATATGTTAATATTCCAGGCAGTGGTATGTGCTCAGGCTTTTCATTGGTTTGCTAATGTACCAAGTTTATCAGAAATTGATAGAGTTCTTGTACCAGGAGGTTTACTTTGTAAGTAACCTACTTCTTAATGTCTTCTTGGGATAATGGAAAATCTTCTATTGCTAGAACGCAAACATGTTCAACAGCAGAGTAACAGTCGTGATAATAAGAGTGCTGCGATTACAAGTGTCAAATCAAAATCAAATGCAAACTCAATAAAAAAAACGGACTGGAACAAATCATCAAATCCCTAAGCAAATCCAAATGTCTGCTTACATACTTGTCCTCAAACTCAAACTCAAACTCAACACCTCCGTAAGCGCAACGTATGGCTCGGTTGCGAACATGCTTCAAGATGCCAAAATGGGGGAATCCATCAATGACATCATTACTGTGGATGTTTCTTCACCCATTTCCACACAGTTTGATTTCGGCATAGAGTTACGCTGATTGCTGAATTTCATTTTTTTTATCACTATTGCCTTATATAGTTCTGGTATATAATAGAAAAGACAGAAGATATCCTATGGTTTCCGAGTTATCTCAGAAGATAGAAAGTTTTATGGGAGACAAACCACCACCGCAATATTCAGATATGAAATGGAAAAATGTTTTCAATGAAACAGGGTCGTTAAAAAGACATCAAGATATTATCTTGGATGGAATAAAATTTAAGGTAGTTATCTATTTGTCTATTCAATTATCCCTTACGCCCTCCACCGAGTCTTCCAGAACTGGATCAATTTTCATTTGGCTCCAGCTACAGCGTTTTTTGTTTAGTTTGACCAGACGTTAAATGTTTTTCTGAAAATTCTGTATTTAGAAAATTGTTTCTTTTACCTTCTCTTATATTTTTAGGGACCACTAGACGTCGTTATTAACAATGCATGCTCAGTGAGCTATATCAACAACCTACCAGACGATATGAAGGTCAAGGTTAAACAAGAAATCGCTGAAATTATCAAGAGTTATGTAGGAGACCAAGCCGAGATACATATTCCTCATTATTCAATAATACATTTATATAGAAAACAACAATAATTCCAACTGCTTCCATAAATCTTAAATCTTAAATAAATTATAACTTTTAATTAATAAATCTCTAAAATGAACCTGAACAGACAGTTATAAACATATTGTTCCCTCCAAGGCAGGCCTTTCAAGCTGGTGATCTTGGAGCTGCCAGAAACTAACGAATTTCAGATGACCTGTGATGAATTTTGACCATTTAGAGGGCTTTTTATCTAGGTCTTTTTAAGGCCTGGGGCAGGGGGTATGACCTAATGGCAAATAACGTGCTCACTAACATCACCTGAATCCGTGTAATATTTTCCTTCCTACACTTACAAACATAATGTAGTCATTGTAAAAGGATGTCAACAATCTATTACTTCACACAATAATAGGACATCATAACTTTATCAATTGTTTAAAACTAGGTCAACATTTACATGTACGCTTGTGACATCAAAGACTTAGTTTAATTGGAATTACACGAACCGCACTGATTGAAACTTGGAATGGTGCAAATTGACGCTTCCCCGATACACATACAAACATTACAAAATCTCTTGACAATTCACTTAATATTTTTGTATTTAACCATGTAAAACAATTCCGAAAATATTGAAGGTTTTGATATGGACACTGAATTGTTCTTCCCCATTTTTTCGAAGCTCTTCGGCTAGTGAGCACTTAATATGGTTTTAATTGGTCTTTTTATCAGTTTTGAATAGAAATGTTCCTTGTGCTTACTCTAAAGGTAGCAACGAAATCTTTTATCAGTGTTAACTAAGTGTTAGTGCCATCATAACTATGTATGCTCAGAGCTATATCCACAACTTGCCAGAAGATATGAAGGTCAACGTTAGTATGAAGTTATTGAAATTATTAAAGTTAACATAGATAAATATTCCATTTTATCCCTTGATAAATGTATTTAAAAGCAAAACTAAACAGGGCCCATGTAATGATTTTTTATTTTGAAATTAAAAATATTACTAAAGCATGATCAGCGAATAAAAATCTTATGAATGGATGAATAAAAAGGAATAAAGATAAATTCAATCAACACGCACGGTGGATTTATTTTGAGCATAATAAAATTTGTTAAAAACTGTAAATAAATAATTTAAGAATAAGCCTAAATTGAATTACATAATAAAACAATTATTTTAATTAAATAATAAAATCCCTAAACGGTTAAAACCTTCTTATTATTCACCTTCCTCTGAAGTCTTTTGGCTTTTAATAGGGGGAAGAACCTTTTCTCTGTTCCACTGTCTTGATTGTAAAGCAGACGTTACAGATGCGGAATTGGGATGTTTTGGTATCGAAGGTTTTTCTTGAACTGCCATGTGACGTGGACCCAAGTTTGGATTTATATCTGGTAAGATATAGGCTATCCCTAAATTTGGAACTGAGAATAAGGCTGAAAGGAAGAGAAATACTTTAATTCAATAGAATTAACATATATTATAATTAAAATGCCTCTTTTTAAGCGATACATCGTAGTTCACAAGAACAACTTTGCTATCGCCATTTTAAAGCAAATTATGAGGGCCTCTCATAGGTCCGCGCTCAAGAGTACTTTGTGGCCACAAGTGCAACAGGCAAGTAACACTGATATACGGGTGATGCGCCACTCTTTGTGAATTGCAATACTTCCAAAGGGGCGAGGGGGGGGGGGGGGGGGGGGAGGAATTTAACACCTTTTGTTCATTATCTCACCTTGTCCGATATTTGAGTCTTTCCATTGTTTACCATTGGCAGTTAAAATTTTATTACCTCTATATACAGCATAAGGATGATGGACAATATTACAACTTTTAGCCTTGTCGGTGTATAAAAACATCCTAGAGCGAGGTCTACATTGGTAATGTACTTGTTTAGGTCTCGGTATATATCGATTTATTAGATCATTCACTTTTCCATTATCGTATTCCGAATCAGGAGTAAATTCCTTTCCACTGTTAGCAGTAGAAATTCTTGTCCTTGTTTCAGGAGTAATACGACTATTTTGACTAACTGAAAAGGGCGACGGTGCTGGTACAGGTGGTGATGCTTTGGCAGATGAACGTCGGCTTTGCAGTTCAACTTTCTTACAGATACTAACTGGACGAGGCTGATGCTCTCCTCCTCCGTCCATGGTTGGTGAGAAACGATGGTGTTCACATCTAAAACGTTGGCGAGAGTAAATACGATTTAAACCTTCTCGTAATTTATCTACTTCACATTGGACACATTCAATATCAATTCCACAGAGTTCAGGTGATTTCACAAAATAAGAAGCTCGATGACAAGTTTTAAGTCGACGAGCTCTGGCCTCAAGCTCACAAGCTTTTAAAAAGTCTCTGACACTAATATCAGGGAGTTTTAATGGTTTTGACAAGTATTTGGTAGCGATAGCAATTGCATCACGTACTCTCTGCCGACTTTTTTCAGCTAATCCATCCTGCCTTTTGTTATACTCTTGGATTCTTTGCTGTGTTAGACGATATTCAGTATTTGGTGAATACACATTTTCCCTTCCACTTCCAGAAGAAGAGCTCTCAACTAGATTATATCGAGATGCTTTTGGTGAACTTAAAGATGATTCTGGAGATAATAGTGCAGTTTTCCTCAAGTGATCTGGTGACTTCGAAGAACTCCCTTTTGCTGACGTACCTCTTTTTTGTAGTGGCGGTGAACAAGGGCTAGTTGGTGTTCTCCTATTTGCTGATTTCTTTGTAGAATTGGCACTCCGCTTTCCCGAACCTCTATTTTTATGTTTTTCTTTTGAAGAAGATGAGTTGGGTGAGCTCATAGGCTCGCGACACTTAAAACAAGGTAAACATTTTCTTATATCAATTCCTGATTAAATAGAGACGTAGAAAACAGCTTCCTCTTCCTTTTGTGCCAACAGATTATGGAAGACGTCAATTATCTATGACGTAATAATCGGTTGTATTAAGATATACATGTAATATCCGGATCTGTTTTTGAAAAAATGTCCTTAGAGCAAAGCTTCATGAGATCTCTTTTCTGGGAAGAGCTTTAATTGTTTTTCTTTCTTCAACTGATTATTGTATATACTGTCGATTTTCAACGTCAGATCAGTATACTATCAGGGGTGATTTCTAAAGTAGTCGTTGTCCACAACCGTTATACTGATGGGTGATATTTTTTTGATGGGCAAGATTAAATTGTTACTTTTATTTTTACTACATTATTAGCAATAGAAAGACAAATTCTTTCATTCTTTTTCTTTATAACTGTCCATTACACATTATGTGGGTTCATAAATTCATTTTCAATGAGGTCATATTCTCCGACATGAATACACTGCAGGGAAAACCAAATAGAGAATCCCGAAATGATGAGGATTTTTAGATGGAAGAAGGGAATTACCGTCGATCAAGGATCCTGAAAGTGTTAATGGAAGTCAAAAGAATGAAAACCCATGATCTAGAGACTACATAAGAATGAATCGCATATTGTAATTCTAAAATTCCTTAGAAATTACTGTGTGAATCTGTGTTTGTCATGAAACGTCTTTGAACCACGAATGTAATAACATGTCATCAATAGATATTCTGTCTTTTATACATATTGTCAACGTTTTGGTTAATAAATCTTGGCACCCTGAAAATAAACACATTCCATTAGTACGGAATAACTGATTTATTATTAGTATATTAGGGGGTGAGAGTCGACACCGGCATCAGAATTTTTCTTACGTTAAAGAGGATTAGTGTGAACTTCATGAAAAGGATTTTCATGGAACAATGTCTGACGGGTCGAACCACCGGATCGAGGGTCAAGATGGTTCAAGGGTACTATACAATTCCGATTAAAAATATTTTTGAACAAATATATTATGTTGTTGTTTTTTTTTTAAGGTTTTTTTTTCATTTCGAATTCATTGGATGGTCTTAATGCGATGAGAAAATTGAGTACAACTAGGAACGATAATTTGAATATTGAAGTGTGGGCCCTCGGAAATAAATTGGTCAGAGAGTCTAGAGCTGCACAATTCGTCAATCCGCCAATAGGCGTCAGGTGTTTTATCTAAATCTTATATATTTATTACCTTGTGTTAAATGAGATGGGAAAAATAACTTTCTGTGAATGTTCTCTATTATATCATTCTTGTGTTTTGTTGTCAAGTCAAAAAATGGTGGACATCCACTGACCATTTCATACAACACAACACCTCTAGATAGAAAATAAAACTACATAATATGTATCCAACATTTACAAACATATGCGTTTCAAAAGCTGTCATTATAATTTCATGATCTCAACAGTCTTAAATATATGAAATCGTTTTGGATACTACTTCATAAAGAGTATACCGTATGACATTTTTTCCGATCCACATTGTACTTATATGAGACCGGTCTTTCCGATTTGTTTTTGCATGCAGATTTCAACATGGACAACTCCAAAGCACTTTTAAGGAATGTGATGCATGAAATTTAAAGACTATATAACTGTTCCTGTAAATTTGGAATTGCAGACATCACTGACGCGTTTAATATAAAATGTATTTTGAATGGTGACAAATTGAATTCTAAATGTAGCAAACTTCTTACATGCTCCATACATCTCTTGGAAAACTATGCTGAATACCAAGATATACTTCTGGTGCTGTATACACAGGTGTTCCACAAGATTGAGTCATACATTCTTTCTGATTTGCATTACAGCTTAAACCAAAATCTAAAATTAACCAACAAATCAAATCACAAACACTCTTTGACAGCGTTCGTCTTTAATGCTGTTGGTAACAGATTTATCATCATACGATTAAATAAAATGAGTTACATGACAGGACTACCAACGTACAAATTCCCTAATTCAAATGAATTCAAATGAAAATTGAAATTTGATAACTTGTACGCAGACGAACTATAATATCAAATAACACCGACTCCTCCGAAGAGACTGATGTAAATATCTAATAATTATTTATTGTTTTATAGAAGAATATAGCAATGGGCTCCCGACTTACCTATAAGTGTAACGTGAAGTTCTCTGTTCACCATAATGTTACTAGGTTTAATGTCTCTAAAAGTATACAATCAAACAGTTAAAGTCAACTTTATATATACAATGGCATTGCGCCAAAATCCTTTTTCCAAATATTCAACAATTAAAGGGTATTGTTTTGTGAAGTCAGTTTGGTACATGCTCTTAATTGTATCTATGACTGAAATTTCAAAACATACCAAAATATGTATATTATGTATATTCACCAAACAAGTGTTATTCTCGTTTCTCACATTATTGGTAAGCGACTTCGTAGTCATAATCCTTTCAATTTGTGTCAAGTTAGCCCACACAGCAGGCCCGTAGATACAACTTATACCGACCAATTCCAAAACTGCAACCATTGTCCCCCTGAATATATTACTTGCCCCTCCGAACAATCAAATCTGGCTACGGTTCTTCCACACAGTGATATATTTTTGAATGAATGATATTGAATTATTACCTATGTATAATATAATTACTATGACAATAAGACACAGCAGTCACTAGCTGATACATTAAGAAACGAGACATATCTTCACCCAAACCACACCTGGAATATATAGTCCATAGTCCAGACGTTATAGTTGAATTCTAAAGACATAGTATTGTGGTTTTCACATTTTTATTTTGATAGCGAATTATTCGACATCAAATACTTACAAAATAATTCAAAGATTTGTTCTATTCAAGGAGAATGGCATCGGTCGCTTTGAAATCGATGTAGTCTGTCGACGGCAACCAAGTAAAATCCATTTTTATCTGTCAACAAGATTCTTTGTATTCATGACGTGTGGGTTAATGAAGACGGGCAACGCCATTCAGAGTGCAATGAGGGAAATTTTGCCAGGAGATTTGTCGAGGGAATCTGTAAGGGGAAACCGGGTCGAAAATTCTGAAGGTATGAGTGGAGGGGAGTCCATGGGGAGGAATTATTGCTAATGGGGGAAATGGGGAGGATTCGTCGGACCAAGGAGGAAAGGGGAGGAAAGTTGATCTACGACTGGAATTTATGTCATTCACCACGAAAATACAGAAAATTGGGAACGAACATCCGTCCAATGAACTATTTCGATATGTGGAGTGTGATTTTATACTTAATTATGGTTAATCATTGCATGCATTTTTCGTGTGAAATATACGTTTCAAAACGACTGTTTTTTTTGGAGAGGAATAAATTTTAGAAAAAATCTTCCAGAGAGGAACGATCTCATTGAGGTTGAGAATCCATTTCAGAATCGTCTTTTACAGTCATCTACCTAAAAATCAAATTACCATTTACTGAATTCATTTAATAATTATTTAAGAATCTCACCTTTCTTTGATTAAAGCGGACAATGTTTTACCGTCAATATATTCTAGAACAAGGTACATATTATCAGCTGTAACCATGGTTTCATACATTTTTACAATATTACGATGCTTTAAAGATATCAGAGATTTGTATTCTGCCTTAAATAACAGTATTTGTTTCTGGGACCTTGATTTTCCAAGTTTCTTGATGCATTTCACTGCTACCTATAAATATATAGAATAAGCACTGAATTTGACCGTGACACTACATTGTAAATATTGGCTAAGAGAATTTAAAGGTGGCATTGTAGAATATGCAGTAAAGTATGTTTTAAAAAATGTTTTTCTTTTCAAATTACGAACTGGCGTAATCGATTAATGTACAAAGAAGTGGGGTTATATATGAATAAGCTATTATTCAGAATACTATATCCTTTTCATCCCTTTGTTACTTTCATTAGGAAGGAATAAATTAGCCTTTGCGTCTCCTAAATTACTGATTATTATGGGATGTCTACGTGTAAGGAAGCTTGGTACAATCTTAAGAGGATTTTATGTGATCAAATAGTCTAAGTCTAAGTTTTCTGATATAGAATGCTGATATATGGCTTGATTGCAGCCTCTCAAAAATAGAACACCAAAATTTATTTTAGTCCATTAGTACAACTAAATACTTTCTGGCTTACTTATTTTACAATTTGTTATATATGAAGTTTGTTAGACCTGCTGATGTTTAAACAGTTAAAGAGACAGTAAATTAGTTTACACATAACAAACCTTATGTCCATGGTGTAGATGAAAACCAAGTCTCACATCAGAGAAGCGACTAGACGTAAGAATTGATGACAATCTATAATTGCCAACCGTTTTCTCCCTATCTGTTTCGATAAAGTCCTTCTGGAGTATTTGGTCTAAACTGGAAGACATGTTTACACTATCACCAACGACGCCGACCTTCCGTCCCGAATGATATTTTACACACAAAACTGTCTACCAATTTATAAGAAACGATCCTTCCTTCTCATACACATGTTAATTTTGACTGAAAAATGATATGCTGTCAAAAGAAATTAGAACACATATCCCCTTACAATACCGTTCGATTTCTCCAGATAATTTTCTTTTCCTTTTTTGTAATAAGCCGATTAATTTATTTCTGTTTTCATGAGAAATTGATCTGATTATCCGACCTGTCAATATTTATAATATATCACATTGTTATAACCTAGCCCACATACTCTTCTATTTAACCTATTGTTAAAGAATGCAGATCCTTTCATGAACCCAATATATTGTACACTGTAAAGAAATATTGACAAAACATTTTGTAATATTTTATTTGAAACCTATCACAAAAGGTTGACATTTTTTCATTTCAAGAACACTATTATATATGATGACAATTTTGAATTTGTCCTTTGACCAGTTTAGTTTTTCTGTCGACTTGAGAAAATCTGCATAAAAGTGACTTTGAAAAAAAATGTTAATTTTTTCCCGTCAAACCAGTGGTAAATTGGTACCCTGAACCAGCAAATGAATGTCTCGTGACCTTGAATTAGTCATCTTCCTCATTATTTCTGCCAACCCATGGATCAGAAAATCGATGTGTCTACGTTTAATCCGGCAATTTGACTTTGGGCCGTCCATGCAGATTTCTAGAACTTGTTCGCCCTATCCTTGTAGAAAAATGGACTTTGCTTTGGTCGAATGATCATTTATTCTGTAGCGTTATCTGTTGTATATCTGTGTACAATAAATTTCCTCAAATTTAAATATGTCCCAAATGTTTAACAAAATTACCTCCCTTTTATGTCTACTCTTTTATGACGAAGTCCGAAAAGTGAGGAAAGGGGAGAACGATAATTTATGAACAGCTAAATTGCAATTTGAGTAATGGCTCCTATGCATAGGTGACATAATATCTTTATTTCTGGGGATTTTTTTGGACACAGTAGTATTTTGAGCTTATCAATGTATAGATATTTAGAGATGGGACTGTAGCCTACTGACCACATGTTTGTTTTAACTGTTCTGTCGTGATCAACATTCTGGAGTGCAAAAAAGGCACAGCCGGATGTAAACAAATCATTTTGATAATAACATTATTGGACAATCATATTTTTTTTTTGTCAATAATCCATTGAAACAAGTGTTTCTTCAAGACCCGTCGGCGTGAAATGTTAGGTTTAGTAGATGAATATCCAACATACTTATTATTGACAATGGAACTGGACAGATACTGCTAGTGCTTCTGTTCTAGTGGAACATGTTTAATGCAGCCAGAAATTGCTGCTGCCTTCTTGTCTGTGGCTGTCTTTTTCTCAAAACCGGCATTATAATTTGAGGACTCTGCTTTTAAGAGATGAAAGAATGGCCTAATGGAAAGTTATACATTTTGTTTTTATATATTTGCAGCTCTTAATTTCCCTCATTGCCCAGTGGTGATGGCTGAACTATAATATATTGAAGCAGTGCCAGCTGTAGTTTTGTACAAGTAATATAAGTTTAAAATGGCAGTAAAATATACTAAAATACCAACTACAGATAGTTATGACTCTAATTTAACCTTTGATTATAGTTCTCCATTTTCTTATGATGAAGGAGATTCGTCGTATAAATATCGTTCAGCATTTAAATACACAACAAACCAAGATAGAAAACACATTTATTCAGATCTAGATGTTCAAACTTGTGAGTGTTAACAATTTAGTAAAATTTATACAGACTGATTTTATGCAGACTGATTTTATGAAGTCTACTTTTGATAAGATTGGTTTTGATTAACCTTGATTTACACACTTTACTATAGGCAGCCAACAGGGGAATAATATATAAGTTCTTTATGAACAGAACTATGTGTTTGTATACAATGTAAAATTTCCAATATAAGGAAAAAAATGAATGAGTAAGAGCAAGAACATGAGAATTCACAGAACAGCAAAAAGAATTCAGCAACTCCTAAGTACTCTAAAACCTGCTGCCAAATGTTATATTAATAATTTCTAAGCTAATTTTATCATTTTATTGCAGCACAATCTTCAGTTGCAACTAATGTAATCCACGGTCTACTTAGTTTTATATTCATCATACTTCTTATTCTAACTTTTCCTGTATCTATATGGTTTACATTCAAAGTAAGTAAAAGATTTGTCATATATTATAAAAACTTATGCTTTTTTGTAAGCTTATACATTTCCACAAATCTTATTATTTTGTATTGTGGTTGGATTTTTACATAATAACGAGAGTAGTCTATATAAAGTCAGATTTTATCATTGAGTCAAGTCTACATTTACATCATGAATAATGCTCTGACAAAAACAAGACGGTTTTCATTGTATCTGATGATATTTCATCGTTAAGTTGTTATTTTGACTTGTATTTTGCAGATGATTCCTAATTTTCAGAAGATAGTAATTTTTAGACTTGGTAAATTAATTGGTGCCAAAGGACCTGGTAAATACAGTCTACTTACTATTGTTGTTGCATCTTCTCTTGAAAATATTATTGGTTTAAGTAGACAAAAATATTGAAAATAATAGATTGGAGACTCAATGATATATCTCAGGATTCTATACATCTGACGAGAGAGTCAACTTTTATAAATATGCTCAGCTTTAAGGAGTGATTGTATGATTAATTCAGACCATAACTAAAGATAAGATTTGTAATTTTTCTTGTAGGAATCGTTTGTGTAATACCTTTTATAGACAGGCTACATAAAGTAGATGTCAGAATTAAAGCTTTTAATGTTCCACCTAAACAGGTATCATAACAACTTCTTCTTTATCTTGTTTCATTTATCTGCAATTAAGCAGTTTGGCTTTTTAGAATTTTCTCTCTGACCTTGATTCCAAGTCTGTATTCAAACTGGAACCATCTTAAATTTGCATTATAAATATTTTCCATGATTTCCTTTACTTTATGTTTTAATATGGGAACTTAAAAACGTGTTTGCAACTGTACATTAATTGCATAAATCATATCTGTACTAATTTGATATACAAAATATTTTCTGCTATAATAAGAAATGTTACGAAGATTAAGCTCTAATCAAACATGTCTTCCAAATACAACTAAGATTATATTCATTTGAAATATAATATATTTTCTAGATTATTACTAGAGATGGTGCAGTGGTAGAAGTAGGATCTGATGTACATTATAGAATAGCAGATGTAGTAAAGTCTATAACTTGTGTACAGAATCTAGACCAGTCAACACGTATCTTAGTTCAAACAGCATTACTCAAAATATTAGTTAAACACAACCTTGCTGAGATAGAAACTCAGAGAAATGCTTTGGGCAGAGCTGTTCAGGTTTGTAATAATACTTTTATCATTGGTTACATGATTACTTTGCCTGCTTAACAGGCCTACTTGGTTAAAGTCTAATAGGCCTGTCATGCCTTTATGAGATGCCATTTCATTGGTCGTTTATTTCAAGTAACTTAGTCCCTGGGGTTTCCTCTAGATTCAACAAGTACACAAGTAAATTCCAAGTTAACCGAAATGCAACTTTTCAGCATTCTTTAAATAAATGAAATGAAATGACCAAATCTTGAAAAGACCTCAAACTTGCCGTATGTCAAGGTTTGATGAGGGGAAAGTAGAACAGTTGAAAGAATCTGAATTTATTTACCACTACTATTTCATGATATTCAAATCTCAATTTGTGTTGAATTCCTAGAAATTATTAGAAGTTTTACTACATAGTTTATAGAAATGTATTGTATTTTATTCCCTTTAAAACATTTTGTGCCAAAGTGGAAACATTTTCACTAAAATGGTGTAGGGACCAAAATTGATAAAATATTGATATGTTATTAGGAATCATCAACAGAAGCATCTAAAGAGTGGGGTGTAGAGATCTGTAGAATAGAACTGTAAGTGTTACCATTGATATAACATTCATTACAATATTTTTACATGGAACAAAAATCCATCATTTTATGGAATGACATTGTAACATACTATTCTAATATTAGAGATGAGAGTGTTTAATTCTTAGACAAAAACAAGTTTTGGGAAATTGAATGAGATGTAAACTGCAAATGTGTCCTAGATACCTAGATACAATACTGCTCAAATTTATCTCAATCATCAGAAATGGCTCTTTATCAGATTTAACTGGCCATGTAGTTGAGTACAAATTAAGATCAGGTCGCTTCAATATAGTATAATGAATCTGTTTAGGTCTCAGGTTAAGGTGATACGAGGACCTCCACCAAAACAGACTCCATCTGTAATGTTTCCACCCGGTATGATGTCAGCTACAGGTTCTTCTACTAAACTACCACCTGCATTACAAAACATAGCTTCTGCTTTACTTAATACTGCTCAAGGTTGGTTTATCTTACACAGTATTATCATATTAAAAATAATCTGACTTGAAAATGAAATGAAATGAATGGAGTTTTCGTCCTACTTTTCTGCACCTTATGAGTTAATGAAGATGGGCAATGCATGCAGTATGCAATGAGGGAAAATTTGTAAGGACAGCAACATTAGCATGATGTTTTCGATTTTTAACTGTATCACTTATTATTTCATGTGTAATCTCAAATGAGTTTTATGGTTGACTTTTTGACCGAGGCTTTTTTTGATGATTTTGAAATGTTGAATAATTATTTAAATTTTCAAAGGAATTAAGTACAAAGCTATTGTTATCTTTTAGTGATCATATATCTTGATGATTTGCAAATGATATTGATGTAATAAACTCCATTTCATATTATTTCTCTTAAACTATTTGTAGGTTGTTCAACACAAGAGACAAACATGTTACCATCAGAGATAGTGGGTACTGTCAATAAAGAATATAACCAAGATAATAGTACTATGAGTGCCATAATCAGTTCAGTACAAACAGTATTAAATGAAACATTAGTACGTAAAGTAGATGCTGTATATCAGTTTCATGTGACTGGAGATTTTAATGGTTTATATTATCTTGATTTAAAACATGGTAAGTTTTTTTTATGGTTTTAACAGTTTCAATACTGGTGGTCATTCTACTGGCCATATTGTTATGTTTTATTTCAGAGCTGCCTGTAATTCATTTAAGTCATATTAAATGGAGTTTGGGGTATATGAGGCTTTATTTTACTCACATACTCAGTGTTCAAGATATAAGGTTTTCAAGGTATAAATATAGGCTGCTGACTTGGTAGTCTTTACTAGTCATGTCTGTTTGGAGCTCTACAATGCTTATGATTTTAGTCTTAAAACATGTTTCAATAACTGGAAATTAATCAGAGGTTAAATAAAAAATGTTGTTATCATATAACCCCAGGTCTTCTGAACATCAATGATTGATAAACATACTGCTCTTTCCAAAATTTGTTACATTGTTAAATTTCTGAATTGTTTTCTTTTGTGGATTTGCATTAATTTTTTTCTTACCTTACATTGAGTGTATTTTGTATTTAGGTCGTGGATCAATAGGGGAAGGTATGTCTCCAACAGGTGAATCAGATGCTACTTTAATGATGTCTATTGATGATCTACAAGCTATGTTTAAAGGAGAAGTAAAACCATTTCAAGCCTATATGAGCGGTAGACTACAAGCTGCTGGTGATTTAGATGCTGCTATGAGATTAGAGGAAGTCATTAAAAAGATCACTGGAAGATAACTCACTGTCTGGAAGTAAGTGAAAGTGGTTGTAAAAACAATTTGAAATTGACATTATGGACAATATTGAATGAACTTCTCTTAGCTAATATAAACTGATATGCAACAAGCATGATGAGCAAAGATTTAGATTTTGAAATCAAGTGTTGATGTGGTCTTATAGAGAATTTGTGTGTGATTGAATGTATAAATGTAAAAAATTAATCATGTCAAGAACATTGTTAGTAAAATCTTTAAAATGTATTGTTTTATTCATAATTAAGTTATATTTCATGTTACGTTATGTATTATGTTATTTATCAATAAATGAATGTTATTATTTTGTAATAAAGATTTAAAAGAAAATACAATCTTGTAAATAGAATGCTTCATGACAATGATAATTTCTTTGGAGGCATCCCTCCACTGTTACTTTCTTACTAGAAGATATTCCCATGTAAGACACCTTTTAATTATTATTGAAGCATAAAGTATTGTATTCGACCTTGCAATCATCGTCAATGAACAACAATTTGCTTTTAGTATGCATAGTGTTTAAACTCTTTGGCAACAACGCTTACAAGAGTAACGTCCTCTGAGCACATTCACTTATCGACTACAATAAGGAAGTTTAATGCAATTTTTTGGTTTCAGAAATGTTTGAAATCAAGTACAATGTTGAAGTTAACATCAACAAATCGACAATTGGCCTGCAGAGTTGTGAGGTGATCGTGATCATTTATGAACGATCGCCTACGTCATGCCAGTGTATCTCACACCTTGGAAATTCATAAACTATATCATGTTTTTTTTTTATCACGCAGAGCAATTATTGTTTGATATATATGTATTTTTTTAAGGTTTTTCAAGTCTAAGGTCGATAACAATCAGTGTAATGGCCCCGTCACACCGGAAAGGCGTCCCCACTGTGGTGCTACGGCGACGGAAAATTAGCTCAGAGCATGTTAAGGTCGCCATAAGCCTTATAAAAACGTGAAGGATTCGTCAGATATCGTACGGTGGAGTACATTGTCGCCAATAATCGCTGTTGAGATCGCCACAGAATCATAGATTTTATTAGGGAATGCAATATAGTCAACTACAATAGGCGGTCAACTACAATTTTAGTCGGGGTAACATCGCAAATGATCGCAGTCCAATGTGACGGGGCCGTCCGTGCGAAAACCGAATGACAATAAATTTGTCGTAACGAGAGAATAAATAACTAATATGGGTTTGACGACATTGAATATTGGACCGTTGTGGAATAGGGCCCCATCGATTTGTATCGAAATCTACCCAGATACATTTCGATGCATTGATTTTTAACGCCCCCTTGTTCAGTCTTATCGATTTGGTATTAATGTTAGACCTACTTGGGAGTATTCAGAGGACTTAAGAAATAAGCCGATTACACCTTTCCTTCAACTAAAAGGCTTCCTCTTTTAGAATGGTCAACTAGTTCAAGGAAAAGGCAGACTTAAATTTCTTTAACTCATTGCGTTTAATTTATTTTTGATTGTTTAGTTAATATTTACATAATGGAATCATAAATAAAAGATTGGGAATAAAGATTAGGTGAAGTAGAATGTAAAGCGATAGAATGGTATTAATATAGTGTATATTGATTGATAAATTACTCGCTTATTCACCACAGGTATGTCCTGAGTGTCGAGTAAAAGGGAATTACGAATGGTTTCACTGCAAGCAATCATATTATTATTCCAGTGTTGTATTGTATAATGTGGATTTCAGGTAAAAATTAAATATATTTTTTTTATTCCATAATTTGATTGAATGAAATGTAGGCCCATGCTAATGGAATAGACCTCTCATGACAACGTCTTTGCATTATTGAGCTTATCAATGTAAAAACTATTGCTTTTCAGAAATTGGTATCGAAATCCAAAATTGCCTCAGGAAAAAAATTCATTATTTTACTATATGATGTTCATTAAGTATTTTGACGTCTGTTCCTACCAAATTATTGTATAATCATCCCACACCAAAAATATATAATTATGTGAACCCAATCTATGAAAAATACCAGCACCCATGATATAATATAATTGTTTGTACAAAACCTATGTATAATATCCCAAATCCATAATATGTAATTGTTGGAACCAAATCGATGTAACAAATCTCAACACTCATAATATATAATTGGGTGAACCAAATCAATGTATGATATCCCAACACCCATAATATGATATTATACATTTGATTTTGGGTCGAATTTTATACATTATGGGCGCTGTAATCACATGATTATATATTGTGGGTGTTGGGATTCTATACATTGATTGGGCATTGATTGTATAATATACAATAGTGTAGACCCAAGCAGTGTATACCCATAATACGCCTTTGAATCAAATCGTATGTATATCAAACTCTTATAATACTGTGGTGATCCGAAACAAATCAGAATAAGAATTTAATAGCTTAATGGAATTGCTATAGTTTAAGGCAGGACTAAACTGACTCTCGTGGGAATCACTGTTGATAATTGCGTGATTAATCATATTACAATGCTTATTAATGTCCAGCCTTCACTTATTAAATACAATGTTTTTTTATATTATAGATACCAGAACTTCATGAAGACACCACGCCCTCTCTTTTCCATATAAAGCCTGTAGAACATGGAATAAATCATATCCGTGAAGTCAGAGTTTCCTCACAGATTCAAATCTGAAGTAGTCCCTTATATCCATTAACACCAACGTCGACCATAGCATCAGGAGTAGTTAAGATCAGATTCAGTCAATTCTGATCCGAATTTGCAATTCCTCATCTTCCCTTTACCCAGGAAACCCTTTCTATCATGTAATAATTAGCATGAAGGTATAGTTTCGTCACATGTGTTCAGATTCATTCATAAATCTTATTACAGCGTTAATTAACACCAACGTCAACGATAGCTCGGGGACCGGTTGGAGTGAGAGCACCCAAAGGACAATACCAAGGAGAATTAAGGTTAATTAGACAGAACTACACCGAAAAACATTGGTTAATAAGAGGAATTACGAGATATAATTAACCAGCATCAAGGGATTTGATGTAAGAGACCAATAACTAGGAATTCCATTGTTATTTCTATATTTATATTTCTATTGTTGATTGTTAAAACATTTCCAATTAACAATACGTTTGATAATTCTGGTTGTGACATACGAAGTTGAGTGTGGAAACAAAACATGTATGGATTTATGTGATAACAACTTATAGTAAGAGACCCTGAGGTAGATCACCAGGTGACGCTCGCAATAAGAATTAGCGTAGACAGATCTGTTATCTTCCCGGTTGGAACTCAGATCTGAATATTGACCGACAGATCATTCATCATTACATCTAGGACAGAGGATGACATCGGAGACAGATTTGTGCGTTGTACAGAAGAATTTCATATGAGGGGAAATAAATCTAAATGCTTTAATGCAAAGGCTTAAAAGTGAAAAGGGTGATCAGAAGGAAGACGACGAAGCTGTAATTGCTGGAATATAACTGGCAATAAATAAACCAAGTATTAACGATACGAACCTCAAAACGAAACCCGAAATCCAAAACAACATTTCGGCGAAACAGACAAAGACCAAGAACAGCTACGATTCTGATCCGAACAATGTGCTAGAGAAGGGCGGTCTGCAAATAGAAGTGACACGTTGAAGCGTCATTGGAATAAGGAGTTAATACCAATGAAATGTTTTAAGATATTGCAGGGTCTCTTTCAAGGGCACCTGTTCGTTGTATTACATATATTATGATAGGTAGTTGATAAGTACCAGTGTCGTTGCCACGCCAGTTCCACATTACAAGGTTATTTAATTCTTCATTTTAGATAGTGTTAAATTTATAACAGTAAAGTGAAGAAAGTGCCTAGCTTAAATATGATTTATAGGGAAGATTTCGACAAAACATTTGTAATAATATTATCATCTATATTAGTAGTGGAAATGCTAATAGGTCTGACGGCTAATATTTGTGTGTTGGTCGTTGGTCGCGATGTGATGAAACGATACTGGGAAAAAGGAAATAATTTCAATATGAATCTCCACGTGGTGGATTCTGTGATATGTATCTTTACCATTCCATTAACCATGGTTTATCTCTTAACTTCAAGATTTCAACATCCTATATTCTGTCTAGTGTTTGAAGGAGCTGTTTCTTTCACCAGCAGTGCCAGTTCTTTAACACTATTCTTCATCTGTTTAGATCGCTACTTTGCAATGACAGCACCAACTGAACCATGTGTAATTTCAAGACGGACTAATGTATTTATAGCTCTAGTTTGGCTAGGTGCATGCTTTGCCTTCTGTGCACCGTTTTTTGGTTTTGATGTGGAATTATTTCACACAACGAATTGGACTCATTCTACCTGTGGTGATATATTGTGGCAAATGGATGATGGTTATTTTTATGAACTTATTTATATCATAGCATTCCTTATGACTGTTATAGCCATGATATTGTTTTATTGCTCTGTCAAGAGAATTTATAAGAAGCGAAATGCAGTAAGAACAGCACTAGTGAATGCTTCTTTACCTTTTGGTATGAAAGGTGCAACTCCGCGAGGTGAAAACAAAGGTGCAGTGTTATCTATGGGAATTGTGTTTGCTTTCCTAGTATTTTGGGGACCTCATTTAGTAGTGACAATAATAACTATGTTTGTAAGAGATTCGCTGTTTCTGGATGTTACTCAGATTCTATGCTTAGTTTTCGCCTTTTTAACACCAGTCATCCATCCTATACTTTATGCAGCACTGAGACCAAAGTTTCGTGAAATGTTAAAACGGAAATTAACGCGTGATACTGTGGCAATAGGTTGTGCTTCATACAATAAAGATAGAGCTCTAGCAACTATTGAGGTACCGCGCACCATATCATGACAACAATCCATTGAGAATAGTTAGTGTACTATGGTGTTCTAATGCAGCAGGTTTTAAATAGCCTCCGAGGAACGAACAATATTATGCTATTCCCAGTAGGCCTACCATTTTCGACTATATAAAAAGAGGAACCGTTCCGGACGATTACAAAATATATGGAGATCATAACAAGATCCGTCCAAAACACAAACTTATTGTTTTACACCTTCGTCTCCTCAACACAAACTATTTCAAATGGTATATAATATATGAGTACGGGCAACCGCTCTCATACGAAGCTTTTTTGGTAACATGGACCTGTGTCTTAGATATTTATTGATAGGGATGTGAGGATGTAACATGTAATGCCAGTCAATAATCAAAATGTAATGTACTTATCTGCCATATAACTACCTGTAAATGGAGCATAATCGGCTCAAATAAACAACATGTACATGTTATGTAAACTAAAAGTGCATCGAGATACAGCGAAATTAACCAATTACTAAACTTAAAGCCGACTAATGTTAATGTACTGATTGTGCTGTGCACTAAATATAATGATAATCGAATGATTAAAACTATTGATTCACCCACTGGCCATATTCAATAGTTAGAAGAAAGAAATGTAAACAAAGTTTTCTTAAGTGAAAGTTACGTATGTCTAGAGGTCTGCAAATATGTTTACGGTGCGGTATTATCGATACAGTATTAAAAAAAAGAAGAGAATCGTTTCCGGACCCATCTTCACAATGTCAAGATATAACTTCCTACGACTTAAACTTTGACTGCAATAGCTGTATTCTTGTACAAGAAAGGTGACAATTGCAGCCAAAGTATAAGTAGGTTCGTATAGCTTGACAATGCGGAGATGGAACCAGAACTCCTGTTTTCATTTTCTTTTGGATTGTACAAAAATATTCTGCATTGCACAGATACAAAATCATCCTTAAGCGACATTTAATGATAGAGATCGCATTAGAATACAATCTTATGGTATACCATAATCGAATAATAATAACTTTCAATCGAATTTGTTTTTTTTTTAACATTTCCTGAATGATTTTGCTATATTCATTTAAGTTTTTAGTGTTCACTGTGATGTATGAGATCAGAATAATATGAATTTGGTCTCCGAATGCTTTTTTTTCAAATTCTATCCAGAATAGTTGAAACAAACTAGGAAATGCATGTTTTCTTTTGACCGGAAATTATTCTCTCTTATCACCAAAGCTCAATCGATTCATTTTTTATATCTGACTTTGATATAAAACGTTTTATGTGTTCCTTAGAAATCACAGTGCTTGAACATTTCTATTAATTGCAACGAGAAGACCCCACACTAAGATATCATAAAGGCTTACAGCAATACAGTCGTAGATGACGTTGGTGATTTGCTAACTCTATCTTTTAACATATTGGAAATTTCATATCATAAAGATCATAGGTCGAAGATACACCTTTTGAGTAGAAGATCACAAAATAAACTTGTCCTTTTTCTATCATAAGATGGTTTTTAAACGGATAAGAGAATCTACCCTCATATAATAGACCCGCCAAATACCGATATGTTTCCAGAAGTTTGTCAGAAAACCCTACTTGCCTAATCTCAACGCACAATAAAGAACCTTTAGATGTGGAGTACTATTAGTGAAAAAGCTTTCAGGTGTCTATTATCTGGAAGATATAGCTGCTTCGGTACCATTTCAAATTTGTACAGCTTGTTTATTACAAATGAACAGTACGAGAAGTACTTCATTTGCGTTACAGATTATGAGGTCACTATTACACAAATGATTTGGCTCATAATCTTGATAGGGAAATCAGTACCAACCAACACAAAGACAAATATAAAGCCAAGAATATCTTTTAAGAATACTCTTTTTTAAAAAATAGTATCATTATGATTCTGAACGAAATATAGGAGCTTTCGGAAATTTAAATATAATGTAGAATGAATTTTTCCCTAGTTTACTCTAGTTCTCAATCAGTAAGACAAATATCAGTAAATACAAATTTACATTCATTTTAATTTGAATAATAATTTGTACATAGAAATAACATGATCTATAGTACAATAAACACATAATATATACAATTATTTGACATTACACATACTGTATACTCCACGTGCATTTCATGTTTAAAGGGACAGATTCACCACTTTTTTACCAATCGTACCTTAGTCTAAGAAATGGGATTTTTTTTTACCTAAGCCAAACAGTAATAGTGTCCACAGTTAACGTCAACATTTTTAGCCTTCAAATCCTTGTGTGTCCAAAATTATCTGCCTTTGAAAGTAAAAAAGACAAGTCGTCTTTTCTTGAGACACTGCTATATAAAGAAAAGAAATCTGAAGAAAAGGGTAAAGAAATTCCTAGTTTGAGATATTTTTGTAAGAATTATGCTATTTTCGTACATTTCTAGTACTTCTGAAGAAAAATAACAAATCTGTCCCTTTTATATTGCACATTATTTTCATACATTGAGGACGATAGGTCAGGACCATTTTTTTTAGATTTTGCAAGCTTCTCTCAATCGATATAGCCTAACAGTCATTTGACGTCAGGAAATAATGAGCTAATCATAATGACAACCATGAAAATAACCGGATACTATAAGCCGCGTTTAGACAGCCATAAAAACTGGCCCACTTGAAGTGAACTGTACTCGGTCCGGTTGGCCTGTACCGTTTACACAACACTGTTTTCACTGGGCCAAAATCAAAAGTAGACCTGCTCTCCAGTAAGTGGAGGCGAAAAAAACACAAACATACAAAATGGCGCCCGCTATAAACGAAGTTTTTGTTGAATTTGTCTCGTTTAAAGCGCAAACGAATCTTGTGATTATGACGGAGACTTTCCAATAGAACTTGTACGATCTCGTCACCCCAAATAGCGAATAGAGCTTCGGTCTCTTCATCACTCCATTTAGCTCCCTGTTGGACACACATTTTAACAGTAAATCGATCCTTTTTTGTCAAAGTTTAGCCTAGTTTGTTGTTAAGGCGAAGAAAGTAACAAGGTCAAGGTCATTATTGCGCATGCGCACAAGCCCCCGGCTAAGTGGGCCAAGTTGGCCCGGCCCAGTGGCGCGTTTACACAGCACTAATATTTTGCCATGCAGTACTCGGTCCGGACCAAGAACACCTCTTTTTGCGGGACTCGGCCCACTTGAAACTAGCACGGTGCCGAGCCCTCTCAACCCGTTTACACAGCCACTTTTTGTGCCGAACCGTACTCGGCCCGGACCGAGTCCAGACCTGGCCCGGATAAATTGTGGCTGTCTAAACGCGGCTCATGACTTTGTTAAGAGTTTATTTCAAAATTAATTCCATTATTCTGAAACAAGTAGTATTTTTTTTTGACACTGGTGGATGATGGACAAAACACAACTACAAAGCCACGATGAATTCTGTATCAAGTGATGATTTGGTTGGTTGTATGTGAACTTGTTGACATTTACTATTATTATAAACTTCTCCAGTATTAAAGGGTGTAAACCTGGTAATATTCTGAGATTTTTTACCATCTTTTATTTCACTATCGGATGGTTTTCTTACCCATACTTCTACAATAAAGAAAGAGAATACACTGATAATTATGATGACAAGATGTAGTGCAGTCCTTTAAATTATTGAAATTTGACATCATTGATTCATTTGCTTGGTTTGCTGGCTTATATCGAACATATGGTTTTCATGGGTTCTTATCTTGGTCAGGCAAATATTCAAGCTTATGGTGAAAGCAACCAAGCTAAAGTAATTGGATTCCAATTATTAGAAACAGAATATATAATACTTACCATTCTGATTTTGATTACTATCAACGTATTGGTATAATGTTACTAGGGGTAAGTGTTGTAAACCTGATTGTAATGGTATTACGTCTATAGTAGTGGAATATTCATCATCAGCTATATCAAATACACCTAGAATAGAATATTAGAATGAATCAGCTATATCAAATACACCTATAATAGAATATTAGAATTAATCAGCTATATTAAATACACCTAGAATAGAATATTAGAATGAATCAGCTAAATTAAATACACCTAGATAAGAATATTAGAATGAATCAGCTAAATTAAATACACCTACAATAGAATATTAGAATGAATCAGCTAAATTAAATACACCTATAATAGAATATTAGAATGAATCAGCTATGTCAAATACACCTATAATAGAATATTAGAATGAATCAGCTAAATTAAATACACCTAGAATAGAATATTAGAATTAATCAGCTAAATTAAATACACCTAGAATAGAATATTAGAATGAATCAGCTATATCAAATACACCTAGAATAGAATATTAGAATTAATCAGCTATATCAAATACACCTAGAATAGAATATTAGAATGAATCAGCTATCTTAAATACACCTAGAATAGAATATTAGAATTAATCAGTTATATCAAATACACCTAGAATAGAATATTAGAATGAATCAGCTATATTAAATACACCTAGAATAGAATATTAGAATTAATCAGCTATATCAAATACACCTAGAATAGAATATTAGAATGAATCAGCTATATAAAATACACCTAGAATAGAATATTAGAATGAATCAGCTATATTAAATACACCTAGAATAGAATATTAGAATTAATCAGCTATATTAAATACACCTAGAATAGAATATTAGAATGAATCAGCTATATCAAATATACCTAGAATAGAATATTAGAATTAATCAGCTATATTAAATACACCTAGAATAGAATATTAGAATGAATCAGCTATATCAAATACACCTAGAATAGAATATTAGAATGAATCAGCTATATCAAATACACCTAGAATAGAATATTAGAATTAATCAGCTATATTAAATACACCTAGAATAGAATATTAGAATTAATCAGCTATATTAAATACACCTAGAATAGAATATTGAATTAATCAGCTATATCAAATACACCTAGAATAGAATATTAGAATTAATCAGCTAAATTAAATACACCTAGAATAGAATATTAGAATTAATCAGCTATATTAAATACACCTAGAATAGAATATTAGAATTAATCAGCTATATTAAATACACCTAGAATAGAATATTAGAATTAATCAGCTATATTAAATACACCTAGAATAGAATATTAGAATTAATCAGCTATATCAAATACATCTAGAAATAATAGAGAAATTAAATTTTGATTTGTAAATTTCTAGGAATCTACCCAGCTATAATAATCTCTCCAAAACTCCCCGTAAAATTGTATGACAGAGGGTCAAATTAAAATAATGACTTCCTACCTGTAGATTTACCAGCAACAGCCCAGCTGGTATTGTCACTAACTTGATATACAAGTCTACTATCTGGTTTATTACAAGTAGATGCCTTTTGAACATGTATCTGTAGTAGAGTAGATTCACCAGTCTTACAACATTTTTCTTCTGATGTTTTTAGTTCATAATCCAATAAATACTGGGTCTTAAACAAATCAATAAATCAATTAAAGTATAACCCAGTAAAAATGCATTTAAAATAATATATAAAATAGAAGTCAAATAAATCAAGATTGGAGGAATTGAAATTCGGGTGTCTGCTAAAAGACCAAATTAGCTCAAATATGTCCTTATTTTACATTTTTATGCCAACAACAAAAAAGATTCAAGAAGACAGATGTGGGTTAACAGTTAAAATTAACATAGAATAAAAGCCTACCTGAAATTGTTCAAGATGACATATATAACTAAACAGTCTCTGTTCACCAGACTTATCTTGTATAGATGTATATTTAACATTAAAACACAGGTCAAGGTTAGGTAACTCTGATATATTTGACTTGATTGACCAGACAAAAGTTGCTGTTTGATCACAACTAACTTTCTATAAATATAAAATACAAAATATCTCTGAAACTCTTTACATACAAAGCTTCAGTTTACCACCTTCACACCTTTTCCCTGTCTTCTATCCTGTCATGGGACACAACAAGAAAACATGTGATTCAGATAATAGAATTCAACTTACCCACTGATGTTCTAGTTTATTAAACGGAATTAATTCTAAATCTAAACAATTCAAACAAGATAATTCTGGTCTTAACAATGTAAATTCTGACTTCACATTACCAATGACAGTCAATTGTAAAAATTTTCTGAAAAAAGAATTTAACACATTTCCAATGTATTTTGTCATTCAATCAGGGGCAATAACTCTTTCTGACTATACCAACTTGCTCTTATTCGCTCATTTTGTGAGTTCTGCTCTTTGGGGTTTAATGAATCAACCTGAAGTTCAATAAAACAAGTCAGATCAGGGATGGTTCTGAGATATTTCAAAGGTAGACAGTAGCAGTTTATTATTACACATGTATTAAATAAGTTGATGTATAGAATAGACTTACTTTTCTTTACTAGTATGTAGTTTATGAGTAATATGGAATGGATGGTAAAAGATCAAATTATATGTCATTATTTTATCCCAACAATCTAATTTACAACTCATCTACAAAAAATAACAATGCAAATTGACAATTTTGTCAAATATTCATTGACAATAGAATTGTGCAGATTGTGCTACCAAATCCCATAGATCTCTAAATACATTTAATTATATGGGCGTGCTTAGCAGATCTATGAAGTGTACTGTGCTTTTTGTGCTGCATTTTCTTCAATTTTCATTAATTCTATTTGCATACTGAATGCTAAATGCAGTATCAGATCAATATTTTGGGCAGAGTGTCAGTCAGCCAAGTACTTTTTAAAGTTAAAGAGCAGCCGTACGTAGCTGTCTAAGCGAAAAAATAACAAACTTGACAGCCATTTCAAATCCTGACAAAAAAGCACATACCTGAATATCTGTAGTTTGTTTCAGTTGTTGTTTAGTTTCCAAAAATAAACTTAGTTTATACTCTACAGTTTCTTGACTCTCTGCTGCATCAAGTTTTAATGTGTTGTCTCCCCTGTCTGTTATTAAAGAGACTGGACCATTAAATTCCAGTGATATAGTGGAAGCATTTGGTATATAATAACTACCAGTGTTAATCACTAATATTACATCTTGTTGTATACCAGCCAGAAACTTGTCTATAAAAAGAATTGTTATGTATCAAATGAACACGGATGATTTTATGATGATGATATTACATGTCCTTAGACGTGTGAGTTTCAGACATAGTTGTCTTGACACAGCCATTAACAGATTTACAATTAAAACTCAGGAAATTTAAGATTTACAAAATTTATAGCTTAAAAGAAGCTTTTTGTTTACTAAAGTTTTGTCAAAAAAGGTTGTGAAATGGACATGCACAATGATTTTTTGAGGCAAAGGTCTAATTGATCAATAGTCTTAAAAGGATGTAACAAAATTTGGCTACTTACCTAATTTCAAAGGTTTAAGTTGAACTGATGGTTCATTACAAACAACTTCAAATTGTAGATCACATTGAGATAATGTTTTTAATAATTCTAGCTGTTTTATTTTATAACATATTTGACTTAGTTTAAACATTCCTTTATCTTCAGTCTGAAAATAAGACATACTGTCATTAATCACCTGATATCATGGTTATATCTTTTGATTATGCTAAACTAGAACTAACTGGAAATATAATTTTTTGCAACACATTGAAATATTCAAACACAGGTACAAAATATATATCTTTATTCTTTTGGAAAGTTTTAGAACATAGCTTTAACTTACCTTCATCTTTAGTTGAACTTTATTTTTGCCTGGTTCCAATGTTACATTATTCATACTCATACACAGAGAGTAATCTCCCTTGATAATAATATCTGATTCTACTTGATTTGTTGTACTATCAGCACGTTTTAACAATTCATGAGCATTAGCACATCCTACAGAGCAGGATACAATTTTACCATTCCTTTTTTCATACGTAGAGTTGACATTGATTTCTGGTGGAAGTTGTTTTCTGATTGGTCTAAAATTAGGTAAATGTTCGTGATTTTTAAAAGTTAAACTAGGATTCCGAATGTGAGTTTTCTTTCTAAAGGGAGATAAACCACTATCACTAGCCTTGATAATAGATATCAATATGTTATCACAGTTTATACGTAAAGGAAAGTTACTATATATAATAAAATCCACTATAAAGTCATCATGTAATATAACTGAAGTACTGGCTATAACAGCTTCTTCTAGAGTAAATATAGCACTAGCTCTCATCTGATATAAACCATCTGAAAAACAAAACTTTATTTCTTAAACCATATACATGTACACTTTATAACATGTTATATACACAATATACCATATAACTTTTCTTTATTCTGAACTCAAGCTTTATCATGAATGAGTGCTTGAATGTGCACCACTAAATAATGTGGATCAAAATTTTAAGAACATGTTAAGTCATGTCAGTATACAGTAAATGTCTAGATATGGATGTTAAACATGTTAAATATCAAATGCTTTATCAAATTGATAGAAAATTAACAGTAGAGAATCTTACCTCTATGTTCAGATGCTAATCTGAAAACTTCTTGAAAATAATGACATCTATCTTCTTGTTTCAAACAACAACTACAAGCTATATGACAGGCTGACTTCATATATGTTCAGATATGGTTATGGAATATTTTAATTCTTGAACAATAACATTTGCTGAACAAGCAGTCTTATTTTAAAAAAAATTGCTTTAATTTCAAAAACTAGCTGACCTCTGTTTTCTATCACCAAGGGTGAATTTGATACTTTTAATTGTATTTTACACCATGAATTAGTCATTTCTACAAAGAGTGAATAAAAGCATTCCATAAAGTAAAAGGATATTTATCCAATTCCCCCATCTTTAATAAACATTGAGCTAAATCTAACATAGTACCATCAGCTAAATTGCCCCAATTTTCTTGTTGATACATCTTAATAGCATCTAATAAAAAACCCTCAGCTTTCTGTGGTTCACCTATTTTCCTGAAAATCAAAGTAAAAACAGTTAGACAGAAACTCTGGAACGAAGAATGTTCGAAATGTTTTTATGGATACATGTCTCAATATTTGAGCTGTTAGAGCTCAACTTTAGCCATCCTTGACACTTTAAATACTGAAACAAAAATGCTATGGACTGCTATTGCTTAAAAATTATATCAATTTGTTTTGTGTCTTATCTATAATATTAACTTACATATAGAATTCTGCCATATCTCTACCAAGTATTCTGGCTGAACGAAATCTACTGACATGTTTGTAGGTTCCCATTGTTAATTCACACATTTCCTGAAGGTAGAAAACACCAGATATAAAGTATCATACTAATTTTTCAAATTTTCAGTAATTAAAAACAATTAAATGATTTGGCTAGAAAAGGACAGGCAACGCCATAAAGTGTGCAATGAGAAAATATACATAAACAATACATAATAATAAATATCTTACTAAATAATGTTTTTTAAATGATGTTTGTGAAGATAATGCTTGACGTAATCTATCTCTAGGATGAACATATCCATCTGGTAATTCTACAAAATATCACAAGTAGACAATACATAGATCTGGTTATAGCAGAGAATAGATGAGATATGGTGTCCAGTGCAATGTCAAATGCAGTGTTATTGATAATAAAACGGAAGGAGAAGTGAATACACAAGATACAGGTCCCGACAGGATGGAATTGAAACTGCACAATTCAACTATCGGTATTGATTGAAGTGTCTCTCTGCTTAAATACAGAATAAGGTGTAGTACTAAGACTTATATTATCATAACATACCATCATCTGAACTTTCTCCCATACCAGCTGATAAATCTACCACACGACTTAACTGTTCTGATGTTGGCTCACAACCTGGCATTAAACCACATAAACTTCCCAATTCTTTCAACTTAAATCCCAAATATAAATATGATAAATAGCATAAATATATCTGTACATAACATTTAATTTTATAGGTTGAAGAAAGTATAACAGAACACAAACTGAGTAAAATAATATGTCTGCCTTGGGTTATCTATAGAAAATCAAATCAAAACAAGTGATTATTTTGGTAAAGCTTCAATACAATGAATACTGAGAGAATCTCCGCACATTTTAAAAGTAGTATAAAATTAATCAATCTCTTACCTTTGTCCTAGCATAGTCTCGTAACGTAGCTGTGTACAAGGAATATTTATCTGATTGTAAGGGGGTTGTCTCACAATATCTTAAAACTTCTAAACAACTCATAAACATCCAACAAGACAGGGCACCAATTGGTACAGCAATCTAAACACAAACAAAATAATAAATAACAAAAAGTTTTATATAGTACTTGACTTGCATCTGACTTGCATCTTTGGATGTCCAAAAATACCGTTATTCATCTAGACATTTCCTGAAATTTCACAGCCAGTAAATAGCATGAATTAAAGATTGAGTCCGTTACTGAGACATATAACTTAACAACATGGTGTCTTAAGCAATTTTTTAGATATGTGCAATTTCTTTCAAACATAATAAGAACTAATCTTCACATGACATTAAGAAGTAGATAGAATATTAAATAAGAACACTATTATGGATATTCTACTCCTTTCTTTAATTTTAGCAACGTTTCAATTCACATACAGGAATCTTTTATAATTTGTAGAAAGATCACTATTATTTTGTGCTTGATAAAGATTCCTGAATGTCAAGTGAAACGTTGCTAAAATTAAAGAAAGGAGCAGTATATCCATAATAGTGTTCTTATTTAATAATAAGAGCTGCTCATTTGTTGGCATGTTGCATGCTACATCTTTGATAAAAGGTTAAATAGCTTACCTCTAGTGCATAAACTTCTTGAGCAGTATTATAGAGAAAATCCATGGCTCTCTGTGCAATGATCCAGGACTTATTCATCAAGAATAACAAAGCACTTTGTCTTGAATATAAATAGTTTCTAAACTCTATTAAACTAATTAAATTTTGCTTAATTAAATCTCGTTTCTGATGCTGTATAGGTTTATAGAGGGACAGTCCTTCCCAACTTGTACATGATTTTACTGTAGTTTTTAACCATTCTGCTATAGCTGTAACAAATTTACACATAATATAGGTGGTTGGTTGCCTGAAGGGATCCAGAGGTGACAAGCTTTACTGCTGAGTGAAATGGGAGATTTAAAAGAGTGAGCATGTTCAACCATTTCAAGATAAATTTAGTAAAAAAGCTTGATCTACAGTCTTAGGCTAATATCCATAATAATGATTGACCCTGTAGAACCTATACTACTCAACACAATTCAAATTATCATAAATAACTATTATCATATAGAGATATTATCATTCAAAATGGAGTAGGGCCTTTCACTTTGAAATAGATTAGGTAATTAGTTTTGTTCTTTAGGTTATAAACTTATATCGAAAGGCTTTAAAAAAGGTATGAATATTCATGAATCTAAAAAATTCCCTGAAAGACAAACCTCCATTAGCATGATTCTCTACAAACTGTGTAAATAAAGCATCTAATTCATCATACTGTATCAGGGCATCTTCATATAAACCTAACATTTCAAACATAAATGCCAGTTCTTCCTGTAAACACAAAACATAGTTCATTTAGTACATCATCCTGTACAACCATTTTTAGTCTAATCAAGTGACTGCTTTATGTGGCATCAAAACCAAGCTTTTCTACTTTCATGCACTCTTATAGATATATATAATGTGAGGCACTTTGTAGACTTCATTCTTATATTTAGGATTCAAGTAGGTTCAGTTATCAGTTAATTATGACATAAATTCGAAACAGTTTCAAAAGCAATCATTGGACATATCAAATTACTATAATTCTAACCTCTACCCACCTGAAAAATAAAATAATCAAAATAGTTCCATCCTTCTTGAGTTCTTTTTTCTCTTAAACTTCTCATTTTATCTTCATATTTATCAAGATGATGGTTGAAGGCCTGTAGTAGCAGTTGACGTAATCTTTGAAAGAAACTATACCAAGATTCTGCTGTTTTCTGATCAGTTTTCATTGGCTCCGATAGAACTATACATCTAAATAATAGTATAAACAAAGCATTAAGGTAATATGGATAATAACAGTCCAGATTTTGGCCATTAAAAGACGTAAGCCATTAAAAGATAAAAGTTTCAATTCTACAGGCTAAAAACATTGATTCAATTAAAGCTGTTCCACCTCAAGGATCTTTTCTCATTTTCAGCGCAGTAAAAAAAATCCATCTCATTCAATTCATCTCATTCAATTCATCTCATTCAATTCATCTCATTCAATTCATCTCATTCAATTCTCATGCATTCACTGGTTTGAAATGTAGACCAGTTCTTTTTGCATTTCAAATTGATGTAAAACCTGAGTACCGGTACATGTCTTTAAACAAATGTTCGGAACTCGTCTTGAAATTTAAACATGAGAATAAGTTGTATTTTTCTAAAGGAACTCGTCTTGAAATTTAAACATGAGAATAAGTTTACTTTTCTAACTGAAATAGGTCAGTTGTCTGAAGATTGCATAGTGTGAAACTCTGAGTAACAACATGTATATTTTATGTTCTGTTTAATATTTCTAAGAGAGAAATGTATATATTTCTTCTTTCGAAAAATTCTTTGGTAAATTATTTAGCCCTCAACATGATGAGCTATTAGATTCACTCATTTTCAGGTGATGACAATGTAGATCATTGAAATGTAGTGTGTAATAAAACTAAGGAGTAGTATACCATAAAATTGTGTTCCGTTATTAAATGTGATCTCTACCCTAAATGCGCTAAAGGATTATCTTTTACCTGTCAGACTGTTTGGAACAGAAATCATTTCTAACTTTATCTATAACAGAAGATCTTGGAAGTAATTTGGATTTAATTTTACTTTCATCATTAATAACTACCACTATTAACCAATCGGGTATGGAGGCTTCTTTTAGTGCTGAATGCCATTCTGCTATATCATCTCTTACAGACTGTTTATAACTTTCTAAATCCTAGAAATAAATGGTACAATATATTATTGAATGTTTATATCCAACTAAATAAATAGAGACACTTCTATGTATTTCTCCAAGTTTGTTATGTAACATCAAAAAAAATCTTAATGACCTTATTTAAAAATAACATGTATAACCTTAAAAAAACAATAAAAAAAAGATAAAAAACTCCATGTTGAAATTTGTCATGTCTTTAAAACTACCTATAAGATTATTATGACTGTACTTATTGAAAATAAAATTCTGAATAAACACATCCATACTAAAATATTTACCCATTCCTTGGCACTGTAATAAAATAAAAGAAAAACTGACTTACACAATCAGTCCAGTAGATATGGAAGTAAGGTCTACTAACAAGTGTTTTAGTTGTTTCATCTGGTAAGATATCAGCATCATAAGGAACAAAACTTGCCTCTAAATGAACTGTTCTGGGAGGCCTTCCATATGATCTACAAGTTTTTACAATAAGTAATTATAACATTAATGATATCATTCTATCAATATCTTGTTGATAGTGAGCAATAATAACTTGCCTAAAGGTGGTTGTAACTATAAAATTCCGATGGAATGCATCTTTGTGGTGCATGTACTGTAATGTGTTTTTTGGGAAGTGATATATTACCTTCTCCATTCACAGGCCTCTTTTGGTAAACCATGCAATGTAGCAGAATGTAGTGAAGAAAACAATGACATGTCGCCATGACCTGGAAAAATATAAGTTGATAATAACTTGTGTTATTTAGGACATTTTTACGAAGACATTTGTTGTGAGGCACACTTCATTGCCTTATTCATATTGTCTTTTTCACAGAGGATTTTGAAAACAGCTTATCATCAATGATCAAAGCAATTAAAATACTTTATAGATATGAGGGAAGTTGAATATGACATGGAATCTTTTAATCATATTAAGTGATATACCTTCTTGTTGAGAAAATGCCATTTAGTGGGTCATATGAACACAGGGTTTTGAAGTTATCCTCCAATGCTCCACTACCTCACCCTGCATTTTTATGATTATTCATTGTGAATTATTTGATTGAAAAGAAACTGAAACCGACAGAAAAGGAAATAATTACATGTAACAATTGGTTTAGTCTCCATCGTTCAAACAATTTATCTTCAATTCATTTAGAAATGTAGCCCAATACTGACAAAAACACAGCAAAATATACACATTATTTGTCTGGGTGGTTTATTTATTTTGATGGTTAAATTAACATCCTTGACCTTTACAGGTGGATTCAGCCTTGACCTTTATGCATAAAATCAAAAGCCAAAGTTTCGTATGCCACAAAAGAGAATGATGAAGATTTGACATATTATTAAAAGAGGTAAAATTAAGCTAGTACAAACATAAAAAACTTACGTTCAAGTATAATAGGTTCAGTCCATTTACTTTCTTAATGTCGTGCTGTTATTTGTTTATTTGTATTTTACGAAACTAAAACTTACAATCTTAGGTCATGACCTTTTAAAGATGGCTGACGATTTAGACGACGATTTTTATATATCAGGTAATTGTGCATTATTTCTCAATTATTTTTCTTTTTTCATTTATGTGCGAATTTAAACATTCCTGTGATATAAGCCTACAAACCACGTGTCGTCATATTCTTGGACTTTGCCTTCAGATCAGTAGATTGGCATAAAACTTTAAATTACTATTATATCAAAACACACGTGTGGTACTTGCTTGATGATAGTTCTGATTCTACAGTCCGATCACTAATGACACAGTGATTACAGAATCACAATATTGTAAAATTATAAAGGAAACTTTTACTTTTTTGGTTGTGGGGGTTTCCCTGTTTAAAATTATGAAAAGCTACCCTTATGTATAAGGCTGAAGATACATTTTTACAAGACAAGCCAAGGCACTAGTTCTCAGTAGCCTAGTGAGTAGAATGTTACTAATTGTTATAAAATGATTTCTGTAGGTAAGACTTGACTACCCCATTTATCACATTTCCTTATTCTATTCAATGTTTCTGTAAATGAAGGTTTTTTTTTATAATTTTAGAACCAGTTGTTGCTGATGAAGGAGAAGGAGACAGTGGAAATGATATTAATGATAAAGTAAGTGAAGATGAAAATCAAACAGTTTCTGAAATAACTTCACTACCTATTAAAAGACCAAGCAGTCACATTTCACCAGTAGATGACCAACCACCTAAAAAGAAGAAAAAAAGAAAAAGAAAGGTACCATCAAGCAAATTATCTTATTGTGAACATTTTTGTTTTCAGATTAAATTGAAAGTTTCAATTTCATGTAAGGATTTTGCACTGTGAAAGTTTCTTCCATTAAGACACTGTAAGCTTATTCTTTGTTGAAAAATCCTAATTTTTTAATATTTTAGAGAATTACAGAAGAATTAGCTAAAAATAAACCAACCAATGCCAAAAAAGATGATCTATTTAATTTTGTCCATTCTAATTTTGATGGAAAACTATCTTCTGTGGAATGGGATGACTTAAAATTGAACACTGACAAAGATGTGTTTGAATCAAATCAAAAGGGAAAACCTCCCAGTGAATACTGTCAAGAAATTCTACCAAAATGGGAAAAAATGTTACAAACACCTTTAAAGGCAGGTTCTCCATTAGTAATAGTCTTAACCGCATCAGCTATTCGAGCTGTAGAATTAAATAGGTGAGTTCAAAGGTCACATATTAAAATAAAGCAAATACAGCCATTGGCAATACTGGCTGAAGTTGTTTATGTTTTTCAATGATTAATGATCTTAAGATATGAATGAATTGAATAGAAATATCAACAACATTCAGTCAGCTTTACATATTTTCCTTTCTCCAAATATATTATCATTGGTTGCTTTACACATTATTATTGTAACATCAGATAATGCAGTTTATGATTTTTCATTAATTTATTCATTAATTAGGTAACATTCTTATATTCTAGAGATCTAAATGATTTTAAGACAAAAAAGTGTAAAACAGCAAAATTATTTGGAAAACATTTGAAGGTAATGTAATATGGTTTGATTTCAGAAGTATTTTAAAAGTGTTGGTTGTCGCTTTTTACCTCTTAGACTTACTTTTAGAAGTTTTAATTGAAACTTTCCACAATCTATTTTATGAATATAAATCTGTACAAGCAAATGAATATTTCAACAAAAATCTTGTTGTCCAATGAAGTTGTCCATTGAAGTTAATCAATAGATTTTAAACCATAAATAGCCCTGCAGGTATTTTGTACTATTGGCTAATGCATCTTTTGATTGGTCTTGTAAACATTAATTTACAGGTGTCAGAACAACAACAATATTTATCTAAAAATATTTGCCATGTAGCAGTTGGTACTCCATTACGTGTTCTAAATCTCATCAAATCAGGTATGTAGATATAAAAGGCCTCAAGTATCTTGTTTTACTAGTTGATAAGACTTGGATTAACACTTTTCAGAATGTGAGTCTGACTTACTGTTCTCTTACAATTACATGTTCGAGAAATAAAATAGTACAGTTGAAGTTTTGACTTTGAGTACCTCTAGACTGCTACACAGGTTTTTTAATGAAGGTTTTTATCAGACCTGTCTCTACTGTAATTTCCCTTTATACTTACAGACTTTTACTGTTGTTTTTGTAATAAACGTTTTGTTGTTTCAGAATCTTTAAAATTAAATAAATTAGTAGCAGTAATATTAGACTGGAATAAACGGGATGTGAAATCAAAGCGTATGATTGATATACCAGAAGTTAAACAGGCATTATTAGACTTATTAAAAGGTGGTTTAGTATCAGCTGTTCATAATTCACAGTCAAAGTTTGCTATTTTATAGTAGTATAGTTTATAAAGATGTTTTATATTGAATGTTGTTGGATTAACTCCCTAGCTCTTATTCCTCTTTGGGCTGCTCCAAACTGCCAGTCGCAAACCATTGAACAGAAAAGGACGTTTTACCTTTCTAAAAAAAATTTCATTGTTCAACTTCCTCAGTTCCATTCCTTGAGCTTGCTGGCATCTGATATAGCCTTATTACATTGCCCCGAAACGTTGAATAAAAATATAACGTCAGTTTGCTTATTATTTAATACAAACGGTGCTGTATTAAGTTTAGAAGTGATCTCAAGTAAGTTGAATAACCGCTGGTTAAAGCAGTTCATCTATACATGATTGTTGATGGAATTAAGTTGTCAGGCAACACAACAGTCCCGAAATTATCTATTGTGTATTTCTTTTGATCCTGTTCATTTTTGTGAATTGCAGTTCACTTACAAAGGGAATTCTAAATACTCTGAAACGAATCGCTTTACACGTCCATGAAATTGTCATGCATTATTAGTGTAATTTTGCTTTTCTTTCGTTTGATCATCTTTCCATAATTAATTAATTCTTCTGTACCTTTGCACACAGACAATATTTGAAATTATTCTACTGATCTAATAATATGACGATTTCTTTTTACCGAATGTTGTTAACGACAGCTGATAACTACCATTGACTACTTTTCAGTCGAATTACGATCCTAATTTATCAAACAATCAAAAAGTACGCTGACAATATCAGACAATCGTTAACAATGACTATGAGATAAATCTTCCAGGCAATTTAGTATTAGATTGGTTGAATATTTTAATGACCCATAAGATATGTTGCATAACAATATCGTCTGATTATTGGTGGCAAGTGGATTCACCTTAAGCATAAACACAAAATGTGACATATAGGTCTGCATTTTAATCAATTAAATATATATATATGTATATTTTTTCTAAATTTTTTCATGGAGAAGACGTTTTCACGAGACCACATGATGGATAGTATCATACAGTAATAGGTCATTGGGGACACTGACCCCTATAGGTATTGGTATAATATTGTATATCAACATACTGTGGCTTTATCAGGGATTAAACTGATCGACAATATATATCGTATTCAATTTTCTCTTTGAAACTATAAGTTGGCTTAGCACAGTAATTTGATGAGAATTCAATTTATATACTTCACAGATTTGTAATTGAAGATTCTGGTGAATTGTAACATGTTCTCACACTTTTGATCAAATATGTGATCTGAAGTATATATTCAAAGAGAATCAATTCAGATGCTCTCACGAGAAAAATTAGGAACAAAATATTTTCTTCAAAATCACGTCCTAACTAGCCAAATTTCTTGTACGTTTATTGCCTTTTATCCTGAAAATCAGGCTCTAAACGTTCTTTGGACGTGATATCACATCCAAATATCACGTCCATGGAACGGGTAGGGTCAGATTTGCTGGGCTGGTTGCTTTTAAGAAGACTGATGATAAATTTCTAGATCAGGGCCACAATAAGTTTACAGCTGTAAACAATAATCGGATATCAACAATGTGTATACAAGGCCAGATATGAATGTGCATATTTTAAACTAGAATAGGGCTACAAACTTTCAAACTAGAGCTGAACCGGTTTTCAGTTAGTTTTTAAATCTATATCAGGGTAATATTGTTGTTGAAGAACTAGCTTATCATAGCATGTTAAAGAAAAGTAGGCATACCTACTGAATCGTCTGGAGGACAAAGGACGCGATTCAATTTAGGAAATTTAGCCCAATATTTCCGATACGAGATTTTGATTTGCCGAAGACACTTCTCGATAAATATGTCAAGATAAATATTCAAACGAAACTACGCATGGTTCTTAGGTGAAAAAAAAAACACACGAACGTAATTCACAACCATTTTGAATTATTTATTCGACTTGAAAACGGATACAATGTTTCAGCAAAGTATCCAAATTATATTTCTAAACCTTTAAATGTGATCTGAAAGCTTAGTTGAAATATTATAGCATTTATCAAATTCGACTTATCGAGTCGAAGAAATGAAATGAAATGAAATGAATGGAGTTTTACGTCCTACTTTTTTGCACATCAAGTCGTAGGAGGGATTCGAAGAAGAGATTCAAAATGGTTGTGCTCTCGTACGAAAATATATATATCGCACAAAAGTGATTCCAAAGTCCAGATCGTATCTGTTGCGATGTCTGTGAAGATTCAAACATCCATGAGGACATTCCTCTAAATTTAATCCAATCCAATTCCGTATTGAAATTTTGACAGCTCGGATGTCCCACGGACGCATTTATAACTGGTTGATATTGCTTAGTATATAATTCATTTCATCCTTATTGAACCGATAATGAAATGACATGTGACATGTGAACTTAAACGACCTTTGCGTCAGACCCTCATTTAACACAGAATAGGAAATTATTTAATTTTCAGAGAACATAATTACTTCCTGAACTGTGCAGTTTAGAACGAATGATATGAATGAATCAAACGTCACTCTCGTTCGAAAATCATAAGAGTACATTTGTCTCATTTAGTAAGCCTATATCTGGAACTACTGTACAAGATTGCTGAATTCAAACGTTAAATAAAATCGGGGATGTTAAGTCTATAATCAGTGCATGTAGGTCCTATCTTTATGATAGTTTTTCATTTATTTCATTTTAACTCGAAAGTTTTCAAGTGCGGTAAGTACCTCTTACTGCGAGTTGAAACGGTTTAATCACAGAACTGTATACAGGTCTATGGTTTAAAGATGGGTTCCCTTATTTTCATTTATGAAAATAAAAATACTAATACTTATATGAATAGAAAGTAGAGGTGTTCTAATGACTTGGAAATATACCAGTTTTCTCACATGTCCATCATTTATTCATAATTAACTACATTAGAAGAAAATTTCCAGCAGAATTCCAATGAGTGACCGATCAAGAAAGGTCAAAAAGTATCTTTTTGGTTATCCAGACTGTAATACATGGATATTTATGATAGGTTAAAAAATAAGGAAACCCATCTTAAATGTTATTTGTGTGGAATATAAGCGATTAAATATTATCATGCATATTCTACACTTCCCTTTAGGTCAAATAACCTGAATACAGCTGACAGCCTCTTTAAACACCCCTAGTTTTATTTGTACCTTATACATGTAGGCCTATACTAATTTTGAAAACCACTGAACCAATAAAACTAATAATAACCTATACAAAATAGTGATTTTGCGATGTACTGATTAATCAGAATGTCAAAAAACTAAAAAAAAAAACCAAAAAGAAAAAAAAAGCAGCAAACTGCGCCGTAAAATTTTTATTCTTTTCTTAGTCACAAAGGTCTTCCATTAGCCTACATATGCGCATCAAATCAATGAATTTGTTACAAGTAGTTTGGGGCAAATTGAGAAAAATACAACACTTGCGACCACTGTGTACGGTCATGAAACCACAACAATGCATACGAACTATTATATTCTCTGGCTATGGATCTCTATTGAATCAAAGGCCTACTATTGAATAAGAATAAATCAAACATTTACATTTCGGAAATGTTAACACGGAAAACGCGAACTTCAAAATCAGAACTACAGAACTGTTGCTTTTATAAATATAGTGAGGACATGTTGAGCAAATATGAAATGATGAAAGATACAAATTTAATATAATATCGTGATGTAAAAAATTTAGATCCAAATTTTTCTGTTTTCAAATTGATAGCTGATCTTAGATCTTCGGATCTTTTTTCTGTGGTCAAGTAACAATGAAGATGTCAACAGCAGCGCTCAACTAGTCTCTCTAATTCGGACGTACAGAGGGATGTAGGGAACTTTGAGCTTTGTGACACTTGATATTCTTAATGCTATTAGATTAAGTTAACAGGTCAAGTTTATCACCTATAACCTGTGTCGAATAATAAATTATTGAAGTCAAGTAGTAAACATATTGACCTATTGGTTGGACTAATGTTGGAACAATAAATATACTTTCAATTGATTGGGCGTGGATATGGTAGTGCGAAACATCTGCCTCTGTTACAGCCTCTGATATCTGAAAGTTTTGAAAGTTATCGGCTGGTGTAGAGGCCGAAAATCTAGGCCCTGGACCCCTTTCCCAAAAACTAGACGTTGAATAAGGAAAGACGGTATTTTTGACATTATAAAAGCGTTAATTTATAACGTTAGGCTCGTACGTAAATCTGCGATATTATTTTGTGGTAATTTTCCGTTCCTCCGATGGTGCGATTATTTAACCTATTTTTTTTTAAGTCGGATCGGCCAAACCCAGATATATTCGGATTGATGAATATATCCCCCTCCAGATACCGTTATGTTACGGTGATGCCCAACACTAATTTACAGCCACCATATTATTAGGTTAAAAAACCTAGTGGAAAATCCCCACAAAACAGGTCCTTGTTTTTCTGACTCGAACTAGTATATGGACGGCGTTTTTAAAAATCCGAAAAATACCCCACTGCTAAAAGCGCCCCATTCCTCATCAAAACATCTGGGTACATAAACTTCTGGTAGGAATAAATGTTCTTGGCACTTTGTTCTTTTGAAGAGAAACATCAGGTGAAGGGGCCGAGCAGGGGCCACAAAATTTCTTAGAGGAGCAGACCATTCTTTCACTATATGTAAAATGATTTGAAAGTATCCCCCACCCTCTTCGTAGACATTGCAGTCTAAATGTCCTCGAGACATTGTTTTTTTTTTTTTTGAAGAGTGTGAATGATCTGTCTGTGAATGCACAGCTGCAAGGTTGATCGTCACATGTTTTCACTGTTACAATGATAAATTTCTTATATTGTATAATCATAGATAACAAAAATTTCATCTCAGCAGAATTCTCACTTATGGCGGGTTATGTATGTAATTATTTTGTTTTAAAGTGACCAGATGGATGAATGAACTCAAATAAAGTTATCCTTGCTTGATACTTTTCAGAACGAATATTGGTACTAGAACTCTGATTAAAGTTCGGTATTTTGTTTTCGTTCGTGCAGCAGAAAGAAATCAAAAGGACAACGGCTTAATTTCAACCCTTCCCGTGTCATTACAGATTTTATCATTATTATAATTATCATCTTTCATGAAATGACAAGTCGCTCTCTTAGCTAATATGTAAATATTTCAATGTAAACTCTATATTGTATAACGTAA